GATAAAACCAACTTATTATGTATAATAGTTATTGTCACATTAATCTAAATATTATGTTTCAAATAAATAAAACTAATTCACAATTATATAAATAATAATAACAAACAAATAACATTACTCAAAGATAGCAAAGTTATTTGCTGTTTGAATAACCAAACCTTAAAAGTTACAGTGAATTCAAAGCGGTGTCTGTGGTTGATACACACTATACACAATATACACTTAATATGTCACTTCTTCCAGTTTCTGCAGCTCTGCACTCAATGAGAAAAGGGAGCCGTGTGACATCTGAGAAACGTACTCAGTAATGTGGCAGAGTCGCCGTCTATTGAGTGTGAAGACAGAAGAGATGTGGAGGTGTGGAAAACAAGTGACTTCTGGAGCCACTGCTCATCAGTGCGGAGGCTGCTCGCCAACACAATGTCCCACATAACGGTCGATGGTTCACTTTTATCCTGATTAACGTGGTCAAAGAAGATCAATGCGTGATAGAATTGGTTTTTCTCTTCTAATTCATCTCAGTAGCATCCACGGTCCACTGTTGATGTGTTGGCCCCTTGCTTAGTGCTCTTGATTTGATGTTAAACGGTGGCAATTATCAAACGCAAAATCGCCTGTGTGCAAGAAACAAATGTGTTCCCTGATGCTTGTTGTTGCGCACAAATGTGGATGTTTCTGCTGCTCCTGTAAAAAGCGCTGGCGATGCAGTAGCCCGTCAGTGTGTGAGGATGGAGGATGGTAAATTCTCAGCGGAAAACACGGGTGTTCTTCAGACAGTCACGCGCTTCATCAGCTAATGGCGTTGTCTGGATAATCAATTCAGTCTGCCAGACAGCAGCGGACAGTCTGGTGCTTTCCCACCACGTTGTCCTTCACTTCCCTTTGGATGCAACTCATTGCTCAGAGGAAACGGCTGTAGCAAAAAGTGTGACAGTTCATTTGTAACGGCCGTGGCTACGAGGGGTTCTGTTGGGGGTTCACAGAGACGAAGTACACACAAATTTCTGCTTCGTAATCAACTTTTATTTTGATTCGTGCTGGCAGCAGTAAGTTTACTGTCCTCATTCTTGCGTTTAGAAGTGGTAGTTTGTAATCAAATGAATGTCCCCTTAAGATGGATAAAGCATGCACCTGCACACACACTCACAGAGACACCCTCTTTCCCTCTCCGCACTACCCCAGCTGTTGCTTTCCCTAGTAGCCCTATATATTATTCAGTATTATAAGATAGGCAGCGTAAAAGCTAAACACACACACACACAGCAGTGGGTTTTCTCTCCAGCTGACTCATGCTTTTAAATGAAGAACGTAGTATGCTGAGCCCCATGTGCCAGGCATACACCTACTCCATGAAACATAATTCAAACTCATTATGAGCTCCTCTCTCACTCTCACTTTCTACAATAATCCACGTTTTATTAACACACATCACTAATTCAGCTTCTTTCCCTGAGCTTTTGGTGCTTTCTCGCCTCACAGGTTTCCATAGATCATAGTTCCGTTTGGACCCTGTTCTTGCCTCCTGCCACGGCCCTGCTGTGCTGCTGCTATCACCACCATTAATATCATCATTAATATTATTGTTAATATTATCACATTACTATTACTGTCAACGTAAATCGACATCACTCTTTCCTAAAGTCTTTGTGCTTTCCCTCCCCACAGGCTTCTGTGGATGGTGGTTCTATGTGATGGTGGTTGTATCAGATGGTGGTTCTATGTGATGGTGGTTCTATGTGATGTGGTTTTATCTGATGGTGGTTCTATGTGATGGTGGTTCTATCAGATGGTGGTTGTATCAGATGGTGGTTCTATGTGGTGGTGGTTCTATGTGATGGTGGTTCTATGTGATGGTGGTTGTATCAGATGGTGGTTCTATGTGATGGTGGTTCTATAAGATGGTGGTTCTATGTGATGTGGTTTTATCTGATGGTGGTTCTATGTGATGGTGGTTCTATCAGATGGTGGTTCTATGTTGTGATGGTTCTATGTGATGGTGGTTCTATCCGATGGTGGTTCTATCAGATGGTGGTTCTATCCGATGGTGGTTCTATCAGATGGTGGTTCTATGTGATGGTGGTTCTATGTGGTTCTGGTTCTATGTGATGGTGGTTCTATGGTGGAGAGAGAGAGAAGCCTTGTGTTTTTGTATGACCTGGCAAAGACGTTGTGTTGAATCCTGTTGGGTGAGATCCTGTGGTGCTCTACTGGAGTTCTGGAGAAGGGGTCGGTAGATCTGCCCATGGGTGTACATTTCATCACGTAGGAAAGTCTTTGTTACACTGGGCGGGGGTCACCCCTGTAGTTTTGGCCATAGAGAGGTAAGCTGGTTAGGGATGGACTGTGTTAGGCAGGGAGAGGTGTGTAGAAGACTAGGGACCCAAAATCCCCTTCTCCTCCCTTCCTTGGTAGTGTGTGTGCCTTTTTTTGTTTTGGTGTTGTCTTTTTGTTTTACTAAATGTCCCACAAGGACCAAAAAGTGGATTTTGTGTGTCGCGTCTCAGCTGCACCCCACACTCCTTCACCGTCCCGCTGGTTACACTGGGTGCGTAAGCACAGGTGTTTACGTTCCCCAGCCCCAACGAGCTTCACCTGAGGTGTAACCATAACTTTGGGGGTTTCCTTTTGGAGGGGGTGGGTCCCGTAGGTTGGTGGTATGTTTTGTCCAATGGTGTAACCATGGTTTATACATTGGAGGGGTCCAAATTAATCCCTTTCCCCCATATTCTTTTTGTTAAGTGCATTGCAGACAATTCTTTATTTTTATACATGAAAATGTGCACATTTAGAACATACTTTCGAGGATTACATTGACCATTTGAATTGACATCTAAAGGAATAGTGTCATTTCTCTGAGACCGTGACTGCCCCCCCACTTTGTTTTGGTGAGTTCAGCATGCCGTCTCGCTGCTGCCTGCATTGTAACACATTTAGCTCGGTATCAAATTACTTACTGTCTGAAAAAAAAAAACGTGTATGCTGCTGGTCCGGTTTTCTCTGCTTTTTAACCTAAAATCCTCCATTACTCTACCTCCTCTCCAAGTTAACTAACGTCACTTTCTTTGCTCTCAACTGAGTGACGAAGAAGTGACGACGCAGAATGACGCAAGTTGGTTTCAAATGAAATGTACAATCAGCAGGGGGGATTCTCACACTTGGTTTTCTTAACAAACGGAAATAAATAAGACCTAACAAGAGACTGATCCATTGACAGGGTTCATAAAAGAAGAACATGAATTTTACATATTTTCTGCTGTATATTGGAGGGACAGATTGGTATTTTCTCACTATTGGGGGGACACGATGCTCTGTTGTAAGAGGAGAATAGTTGTGCGTTGACTGAAACATCGTCAACAACCTTGACACAATGACCACATTATCAAAACTGTGCAATAATTCATATTTAAAAATCATATTTAAATGTGTTAACTTGTCTCAAAGAAACTGAGTATAACTGAATAATTGGGGCTGAAGTTAGATCTTCTTACTTCTTTACATAGATTATTGTTTTCTGTTTTCAGTTTAGTGATTTGTAAAATGTAACCAGGTCAATAGCACATCTGGAAGAATGCTCAAACAGCATCTGTGATTCATCAGTCCACTTCAATCTCTACAAAAGATTCTTTCAATCAACTTCCCCTGTTTTGTGTTTCTGTGTCAGAGGTCGTGAAAGTTAAGAGTTCAACTCAGGCTTGTTGAGCATTCCATCACAGCGTTGCTGTCACTTGCACGTACACCTCGTGGCAGACGCGTGAACCTGATGTGTGGTGTGCGCTGACTGTACCTGTCCCTGTCCCTGGGGGGGTGAGAGTGAGCAGAGGCAGATCACTGTGGAAGATCTGATCCTGCCATAGAGGCCACATTTCTCCCAGTGCAGAGGCCGCTGCTGTGCACAGCACATGTCCTCCAGGTGAAGAACGTGCAGAGACACAGAATACCACACAGCTTCCAGGCAGGCGGTGGCGGGGTGGTATGCGCGGCTGTGTGTGCCTGTGTATCTTTATGTTTCAGGGGAAAAAAATGAAAAAATTGGATTAGACTGAGTGGTGGGGAAACTTAGGGCCTCCATCTTGGCCCTCATGTCTCTCTGGGGTTTTGTCTGTCAAATGCCACGACTGTTCCAGTAAAGACAAAAAACAACAAGATGAAGACAAATGCATTTGTGATAACTGGTCAGAGCATCAATAGACACTGCAGACAAATCTACGACTTCATATTTCTATTTAAACAGTTTGAAGTGTCTGTGTGTGTGTGTGTGTGTGTGTGTGTGTTGTCTCCTCTGAGGGCTGATGCTTTAAAGCTGAACCTGATCTCCGTTTGACATGGTACCAGCTCTAAGACATGCTGACGCTGCATCCGTGCTGAACGTCATTGCCTCACAGACCGGCTGGTGTTACAACTTGCCCGGCGTTCTCCCTGAATTTCATGTAGCCACGGCCCAAGAATCCAGTGCAGAGGAATTTGGCCCATGGAAACGGAATAAAACCGTTGGTTCCAGCATTGTCCGTCAGCTGTTAGCACAGACTAATACCATGCAACCTCCAAGTTGTGGAGCCTCGACAAAGGGAAACCATTCCAGTGTTGTCTTTATTTGAAACCCTTCTCTTTTAGGTCTTATCTGTATAATTATCTACTTCATTTTATTCCCAAATTAACTGTAAAAGTAGGTCTATAAATCAAGAGAACTACATTTTTATACAAAAAGTAAAGTTCCTATTCAGACCTTGTTGGTTTATTATAGGTTATGACAAGGAGGCGAGGCATGACAGCCAAGCACAGGGTAACTGTTTTATTGATACTATTACTATCATTATTTGTATTAGTCATGTTGGTGAAAAAGCACAGTTCTAATAGGATACACTTCCAATCTGTTTTCACACTACAAAGTACTTGTAATCGTCGTATTTCTCATGTCGTGCATTGAGAGGCGAGAGCACCGAGAGTTCCGACAGCACGTAAACGTGTCAGCAGCTGGTTGTCGTAGATGAGTGTGTTTTTCGACATATGATTGCGACTTACGGCCAAACATGGCGCAGCGCGGTTGTAGCTGGGTGAAGAACTGAGTTATTGAACTACAGACTGCTCGCCTGTCCCGTCTCTCTTCTTTCACGGATAGGTTCACACGCTCTCTGAGCCTCGGCACGGCTAGCGAGCAGCGGCTGGAGAAGACACATGGCGGCGCAGGGAGGCATCTTGTTCCAGGAGAAGGTCAGCAGGTTGCTGAGCGGACACAACGGGAAACCAGTGCTGAAACCAAACAGGACTCTGGCTCTAAAAGATGCTGTAGCCAACCGCAAACCCAAGAAAGGAGGTATGATATGTACGTTCCTGCGCATCACATCGCACTGGACGTGAATATGAAATGAACGTTGAGGGTTAGCATAGATAGACATGGATGTCTAAGTGTTGAGGGTTAGCATAGATAGACATAGATGTCTAATTGTTGAGGGTTAGCATAGATAGACATGGATGTCTAATTGTTGAGGGTTAGCATAGATAGACATGGATGTCTAATTGTTGAGGGTTAGCATAGATCGACATGGATGTCTAATTGTTGAGGGTTAGCATAGATAGACATGGATGTCTAATTGTTGAGGGTTAGCATAGATAGACATGGATGTCTAATTGTTGAGGGTTAGCATAGATAGACATGGATGTCTAATTGTTGAGGGTTAGCATAGATCGACATGGATGTCTAATTGTTGAGGGTTAGCATAGATAGACATGGATGTCTAATTGTTGAGGGTTAGCATAGATCGACATGGATGTCTAATTGTTGAGGGTTAGCATAGATCGACATGGATGTCTAATTGTTGAGGGTTAGCATAGATAGACATGGATGTCTAATTGTTGAGGGTTAGCATAGATAGACATGGGTGTCTAATTGTTGAGGGTTAGCATAGATCGACATGGGTGTCTAATTGTTGAGGGTTAGCATAGATAGACATGGATGTCTAATTGTTGAGGGTTAGCATAGATAGACATGGGTGTCTAATTGTTGAGGGTTAGCATAGGTCGACATGGGTGTCTAATTGTTGAGGGTTAGCATAGATCGACATGGGTGTCTAATTGTTGAGGGTTAGCATAGATAGACATGGATGTCTAATTGAGACAAGGGTTGTTGATTGACTCTCACATCGTAATAATAAATGCCTTTAGTTTGAGCAAAGTCAAAGGTAACACAAAAGAGAACCGTGAAAGTGGTTCAGAGAAGGGATCAAGGAGGGGGGTTAGCATGCTGTTACTATGGTTACGGTCACAGACGACCAGCCGGTGTTGCGTCCCAACCAGTAACCAACGGACGGGTGTCGGTTCATCTGATGTCAGCAACTGTAGTTCACCTCTCGAACCTGATATTCATACTGTAACTCTTACCGACTGCACAAAAACGCACATCCACTTATGAAATAATACATTTTATAAATGATATATATTTTGTCAGATCACATCAGGCTGGATAGAGTCTCACTAGAAGAAATTATACTGCATACACAGCATAGTCTCAGATTAATCTATTCTACAGAGATTGTAATCAATCAATTGACTTTAGTCAATTAGTCTGTATCGACTCAGAGTTAGTTTAGCTTGTGTAGACTCGGAGTGAGTTTAGCGGGTGTAGACTCGGAGTGAGTTTAGCGGGTGTAGACTCGGAGTGAGTTTAGCGGGTGTAGACTCTGGGACTTGGTTTAGCGGGTGTAGACTCTGGGACTTGGTTTAGCCGGTGTAGACGCTGGGACTTGGTTTAGCGGGTGTAGACTCTAGGACTTGGTTTAGACTCTGGGACTTGGTTCAGCCTCTGGGACTTGGTTCAGCCTCTGGGACTTGGTTCAGCGGGTGTAGACGCTGGGACTTGGTTCAGCGGTTGTAGATGCTGGGACTTGGTTCAGCGGGTGTAGACTCTTGGACTTGGTTTAGCGGGTGTAGACTCTGGGACTTGGTTCAGCCTCTGGGACTTGGTTCAGCCTCTGGGACTTGGTTCAGCGGTTGTAGATGCTGGGACTTGGTTCAGCGGGTGTAGACTCTGGGACTTGGTTCAGCGGGTGTAGACTCTGGGACTTGGTTCAGCGGGTGTAGACGCTGGGACTTGGTTCAGCGGGTGTAGACGCTGGGACTTGGGTTCAGCGGGTGTAGACGCTGGGACTTGGTTCAGCGGGTGTAGACGCTGGGACTTGGTTCAGCGGGGTGTAGACTCTGGGACTTGGTTCAGCGGGTGTAGACTCTGGGACTTGGTTCAGCGGGTGTAGACTCTGGGACTGGGTTCACGGGTGTAGACGCTGGGACTTTGTTTAGCGGGTGTAGACGCTGGGACTCTGTTTAGAGGCCACCTGTATCACAGAGATGTCCTTCCTGATGGTCTGTTGGAAGCAGAACAACTTTGTGGACGGTCTGTGCTCTAATGAGATGAACTCCTTCTACTCTTGCGTGAAGAAGGCTCAGGTATGTTTACTTCCACAGCAACACAACCGACACACAAAGTGGTGTGAGCTGTAAGATGCAAGTCAAAGTTTACAGAGCGCTAAAGCAGGCTTCTCCTTTTCTAGTTGTACAAATGACTAATTAAAAAACATTGGTAACAAATCGTCTTTCACAGGCCGCGATGAAGAGTAAATCTGACCAGACGACATCGCAGGGAGGACGTCTGCACCCAAAACTAGCCACCACCCTACTGAAGAGATATCCCAACCTGCGCACAGAGATCTAATAATTCCCCATTTGAACTTGTGGCCTTTAAAAGGACCTCAAATGTGTAAGAAATCATCATGTGATGGACCTGTCAACTACTGTATGATTCAACAACGGGATGCCATTTACATGTGTTTAATAAATAAAGGATGGAGCACTGCACCAGCTCGTTCAGTCCCTTCACAGCCTTTGTATTCACAGCACACTTTTATGGTCTGGATGTAAGATAACTTCTGTCAGCTCAGATGAGCATGATGCCATTTTCTCTCGATCCAATTTAACAGAGTGGTCTCATTAGTGGACGTGATGGAATCGTTCTTCTTGGGTTTCATGGCTCCTGGCTCTGAGTCTACCGCAACCTCTGAACACTTAAATGCCTCGTCATTCCAGTGGAAGCTCAGCTCGGTTCTGAATGGAGTACGACCTCTTTCTCTCAGACTGCCCCTCACTGGCCACTCATTCAAGGCAGGAAGTCTAGTGTGTCCACGGGATGCAGTGCATGCATCTGTTCTCACATATTGCATCTACAAAGAATGCTGCTCGACCAGCTCCTGTAACATCTGGGAAACAAGGCCTTTAGTTTTCCTCTGGGGAAGTTGAATCAACTGGCATTCACAAGAAATGTTTAATGCGCTTGCGGTGTCATTTCCTACTGTTCCCAAAATATCACACACGTTGATTGGTTAGTGGACTGAAACTGGATAAATCTCACCAGTCCAGTGGCTTTCAACATGCTGTTTGATATAAGGTCAAACTAAGGGGTCTTCAAGTATTTATTGTTCCCAGAGAGGGGAAGGTTCAGTGGGCCTTTAACTGCTCACATACGGAGTACATTTACTTATTAACGGTAATAAAATGCGACATGAGAAAAAATGCAGACACGTCTGAAGTTGGACTCTTCCTTGGATTCTCTGCCTTTTTTGGTGAACTCCCTCGAAGCTTTTCTGTACATATTTGTGTTTGGATAATTTGTGAAAGGTTCTTTTGGATTTTGTGTTTTGTCTGAGGGAAAGGAAATATTTTCAATGTTTCAACACGCCATTGTCAATGTTTTTTTTTTCTTTATCTGCCCGTCATCACACACAACCATTTCCCCACCCTGCTTATCACTTCCTCCCAAACATGCAGACCCCAGAGGAAGCTACAGCCCGCACCAATTACTGACTACCTCTAGATTACTAGAGTCTCATTACAGGGACAAAACTGCATCAAAATGACACACAAAAAAGATTCTACAGAGCCACAACTTTATCCCAAGCACATCGAGAGGAAGCCCCCTTCTAAAAGGCAGAAGCCCGCGTGGAGGATAAACTGGGACTGTAAGGCGCTAGCATGGAAATGGTTGGACAGCTCCTGGTGCTGAATTGACCTCAAATTAATACAACTTTTTTTAATCAAGTTATCAATTTTTTATTTATATGTTAAATTGAAACAAACCTACAATTCCCCTACATTTTTGAACCATATTTGCATAGAAGGAGCTGTGAAGGAACCGCTGCCCAGCTTGAGAGAGCTGCTGTGGGAAGATGAATGTGTGTTGCGGACTGAAAGATAACATCTTCTCCATCAATTTATCCATTCGCTACAATATGTTGGATTCATGTTAATGGATATTTAAAGACAATACATACAATTCTGATTCTGAAGACATTTAAATTTGAGGAAAGAAAATTGGTTGGTGCTAATGACCACTTAGCGCAGTGCCTTTGAACCCCCCCAGTGCTGTGCTTGCTTTGTTTGTTGATGCCCTTGATAGGATTCGTGCTGTTGATGCAGGCTTGCTCAGAGACAACTGAGAAAATATTACAATCTGACATCCGTCTCCTGAATCGAGAAGCATCTGACGCCTCGGCCCCAGAGGCACACTGAAGAGGTTTGATGATATGATCGAGGATCAAGCTTTACATCTTCTGTGTTTGTGAGAGGTCGCCAGGAAAAACAATCGGCGCCTCCTAATGTGCGCGTTAAAATCCAGCCGATGGGGCGTTTTTGCTCTGGGGAGAGATGGTGGACTCACCCTGCTTATCTCAGCCTGTGGTGTTACACTGACAGGATGTTCCACTGCAGACAAAACATGACTTTCATCAAATTAAGACCCCACCAGATACATGATTAGATATCTACCAGGTGTCGAGGCCAGCATGTAGAATGTAATACTCCTTTAAGGCCAGCGCAAACCCCAAAGAGGGTCTGGTCCTGGGGGCACTGGCCCTGGGTTCCATCCGGATGATCACTGTCTGTTGCCATAAGATCCGTGCTGACTGAATGCTACAACTAACTGCTGCTCCCTCTTTCTTCTGTGCATTGTTTATGGGTTACGGGGGGTCAGACCTGAATCATTGCAGCTTTAAGTGAAGTCACAGGTGTTTACCCTGTCTATCTGTCAGACAGGGAGACAGGTAGGTATAGACTGTACGCCTACCTGTCTCAATATCTACTCATCTGTATATACCAACCTGTCTCCCTTTCTGCCTATACCTACCTGTCGTCCTACCTACTTATCTGTCTCCCTACCTGTCTCCCTACCTACCCCCCTGTCTCCCTACCTGTCTATATCTACATGTCTCCCTATCTACCTACCTGTCGTCCTACCTACTTATCTGTCTCCCTACCTGTCTCCCTACCTACCCCCCTGTCTCCCTACCTGTCTATATCTACATGTCTCCCTATCTACCTACCCTGTCGTCTTACCTACTTATCTGTCTATACCTACCTGTCTGTCTCCTTACCCTGTCTATAGATACCTGTCCTCCTTACCTATCTCTGTCTATACCTACCTGTCTCCCTACCTACCTACTGTAGATAGATAGGTAATCTATACCTACCTGTCTCCCCATACTTACATTGTAAGGAGGTGTCTGTCTACCTACCTCTAAGTGAGGTCACAACATGATTGACACATCCTATCCACTAGTGGTTGACATGCTTACTGAGGCTGTGGGCGTCACATTGGAAAAGGAAACAAGTTGTGAGCGGCGCGCGTTGGCGTGTGAACGCGGCACTGGGCGAGAGGACGTGGTGGGAGGCACAGCGAGTCTTTCCTCGCCAGCAGCGCGTCATTTTTAGCCCCTCGGTGTATTAGATGTCTGGACTTCACCGCCGGGGTCTCTGAACGCGTCTACCCGTCAGGTCGCGGTCGCTCGGAGAGGAGCGCGGGGAGGTGCACGTGGAGGGCCCGGAGGAGATGGTTCCGACTGCAGGATGGACCCCAACAACGTGGCGCCCGGGTTCGTGCTGCTGCTGGCCGCGTGCGTGTGGACGGAGGTAAGCGGGCAGCTGATGTTTACGATCTGTCGGCGAGGCGGACTTTATTCCGGGACGCAACTCACGTGTAACTCTTTTATAACCCCGCGCCGCGCTTCATATCTGCACGCTTCAAACTATAAATAATCCCAACTAGTTATATTTATATTTATAATGAGACTTACACGCGGAGGAGTTTCTCTTTCCCGCTGCGTGGCGCATCTATTGGTGATCATGTAGATATCGATCAGCACCACATGACCTCAACACTTTGAGAAGGTGTTCCTCACACACCAGCAGTCTGTGGGTTATTTCCGTGGGGTTGACACATTGTCCACTGGCTGGACAGTATCCGTAAGCACTGTCCCACGAACAGCTTCAGATTCAACCTGTGTTCCACGTCCACGGTGCTGCAGCACAGACGCGGTCCGTCTGGTTGGTCCGCTCTGTTTGCGTCATATTATCAGCAGGTCAAAGTCTGCGCTCCTTTTGATTCATATCACATTATTGAAACACAACATTTAAACAGCTATTTTCTTCTTGGGTGAGGCATGTTTAAGTGTTTCATGATCCATGATATCCATGATCAATACACATGTAGGTAGGGCTGCAATTATCTTTGAATTGTTTATTTCTGTCTGTGCGTCAGGGTGGAACTAATCCTAGACCTTCTTTTTTTTTGGGGGGGCGATAAGGGCAACCTTCCGCCTCATCCGCTTAACCTATATAATGCAAATATAAATCTAAATATGAAACTAGGAAGGTGCCTTAGACTGTGTTACTGAAGAGGATGTTTATGCAGCCTCAACTTGCCCAGTAAAGAATATAAGATAGCAAACAGTTGTGAATGAGCAACATGTGAGGCTGCTGGGTCCAGTAGTATACGAGATTATCAGTGGACAGACACACATGAGATCTGCCAGGCTGGTTCGCCTCGGAGGAACTTGTGTTTATGCTTTTGAAAGAAACTCTTTGTTGCTTGATTCCTATTTTGTCCGTGTTCACAGGTCACTGAAGGTGGACACGTGGATATTGTGCAGAGTGCAGGTAGGTCGTTCTTTAATGTGAGGTGTCGTTACTAACAGTCCAAAAACTACTCGTCCATGCTGCCCGTACCAGGGAATGTCTTATCCTAGGAACACCGTGGGGATTATTTCAACTGTACACAGACATCGACTTTCTTCACATTCTCATGGACCTGATGTCTCAGGGTTTGTATTTTCCATTTGTGGTCGATTAAAGGCTATCATTAATATGATATTCAGATCATCAGCATCTAAAGATATAGAGGAGGACCGATCGGAGAAGTCTGTCTCCGTGGTGATCAGAGCTTCTCCTCCTCTCTTCTCATAGTTACAGCTCATATCGTCATCCCTCCGTTGACACAGTGACATTAAGAGGTTAATAATACCGGTGATGATGACATCCATCTCTCTTCCAGTCACAGCATGTCAGGGTCCAATGAACCAGCAGCAGTCTGTATCAATCCCGTGCTTCTAGCACATGGTCACGGTTACAACAGGGCGAGGCCCGATTTTCATGCTTCATGGCTTCATGAGGCAAAAGGCCTCTCTGACCTCCTGCCTGTCAGATCCTCCTGCTGGAGAAGGGATGAGGTGACTGTGGAGCATTTTGTGTTGGTAGCTGTGCTGCAATCTACAAGAATCGACATGTGCCACTGTTATTGACTCTCAGGTGTTCCAGTGTGTGTGTGTGTGTGTGTGAACTAGTCTCCTCTGCGCTGCCCAGGATGCGGTTTTATAGTTGCCGGTGCTTCTGGTTGCCATTAAGTTTTTTTTCCTGCACTCCAGCATTGTCTTGTTAAACCACCATCTGCCCACCAGATGAATGAGTGAAGTTTGACATGTACGTCGGCCTCATAACACTGTTTGTCAGCCATCGCCTCGGGGTCCCATAATCCACTGACGAAGTGCGGAAACAGGAAGTCAGCAAACAAAGTCCTGCGTAGCAAAGATACAGATCCTACGGAGTTAAGAAGCAGTGATCCTCAGTGAGTTTCCTCCCTTTAGAAGCTCGTCTAGACCCTGGATTTAGGTTCTGCGCATATTGGGATGGGACAGAGAGGTTGGAAGTGCAGCTGCACGCCGATCCTTTACTTAGGTGAAAGCACTTTAAAAACTACTTTAACTACTTTTACCAAGCTGACCCAGTGTGTGGGACTCCATCTATTAGCAGCAATGTCATATTTATTTCATAAGACTACCGCAGGTTTCCACAGTCTTGGAAGTGGTGTTTGGTGTTTCAGTCAACACCAAACCCTACACACCGCTCCTCTAGGCTAAAGTACAACGTGTCGTCATACAGGATATGAAAACAATCCTCCGTTTTTGGTGCGTTTTCCAGCAACCGGTGTCCATTTTGGCTCAATATATTCACACAACAAAAAGGCAAATGAAAGCCATGTAGCCTGTTTCTGTGGACAGAAACCCTTGTTAACACAATGATGTCAGCCATGATGAGGTCAAAGGACGCATTCTGGCCATTACTAAGGTCAGCTGGCACACAGATGTTGAGGCAGCAGCTGTCTGACGCTGCTGATGCAGGTTGGGGATCCGCAGCGTTCTCGGCTGCTGTTGGAGGTGGAGCTCATCTAACGGTTGGCTAATTCAACAGTGTATCATGTGTCATAAGCTGCTCATATATCTTCCAGCCTCAACCACTTATTTTAACGTGTGTTGTAAAGTGATGTAATAAAGTGCATTAGTTTTTTTAAGGTCCTTAATAGTGATGTATTGTATTTACAATACCTGTCGTGAATTAGTATTATACTTAACGAGTGGAAGGAGCGTCAGTTGGTACCACATCACGATGACACTCTAAGAGAAGAACGGTGGTGAAAAAAAGAAGCTAATGACTTCACACATTCCTCCTGCGGGGACCACACAGCTGTTCTCTGTGTGCAACACACAAAAGTACAATGATTAAAGTCTAATCAGCCTCAGAAGCAGCACAACATGGCGTACAGACTACCTCCTTTATTTCAGTTTACTCTGACCTCATAATGCTTCACCAGTGGCCCTTAGAGGCTGTAAAATACATTACACCTCCAAATATAAATGTTGCTCTCAACAAAACAAGCACCATTATTGGGTCGATAAGATTCTTTAATGAAGGAACATGTTTCTGTAACAAATGTGTTAGTTATGCATCCCATTGGCTTTGGTCTCGTTGTTTTTGTTGGTATGCATGTAATGTCATTTAAGAGTGACAGGCGGAGTAATGTTGTGTGTCTGCAGGTCACCTCTCCTGTTCAGAGGGATTTACAGAACAGGGCTACTACAACGGCTCCGTTTCCCACACGGACTCCGGCTCTGCCTGCATGAAGTGGACAGAATTTCCTGACTACATGCGGCAGTACGCGGGCCGAGGCCTGGGGGACCACAGCTTCTGCCGGAACCCGGACCGAGAGGCCAACCCCTGGTGCTTCATCCGGCAGAGCTCAGGGGCCATCGGCTGGGCGTACTGCGACTGCCATCAGGGTGAGCTAATGGAGGGCAGCATATGGATGGAGGGATGAATGAATGAAAAAGCATATGGATGGATGGATGGATCAATTAACTTGACATCAACACGGGAAACAGAATCTTCTTCAATTAAACAGATGAAACAGAAGTCATTATTGTTGAGCTTCAGTCGCTAATGTAACAAACCACAAAGAAAGCCAGAAATCCAGGTGTAGTTAAGGATTCAGACATCAATCAGTTGCATGCGCACTTTATTTTAATTTCAATTTGATGTTCTCCATTTTATTGTATATTTAATTGTAAATTGAATGTTATATTTCCTGCACTGTGTTGATTTGTGTTGTTGTCCAATGTGTTCGTCTTCCTATCCAACAAAGAACTTCCCTTCAAATCCTGCTGTCGGTTCACGAAGCACTAAATGGTTTAGAGCCAAAATACGTGTCTGACCTGCAGCTTCCTTCAGAACCGTCCCAACCCCTCGGCTCGTCTGGGAAGGGTCTCACAACCAAACGTGCCCCACATGTGGAACAAACCCCTAGAAAGCTGCAGGTCTGCTGAGACTTTTCTGTCTGCTCCTGCCTTTAATTAAACCAGATTCAAGGATGAAGTGGATGCTTTTTACTGTTTATTTCACAAACTTTTTCTTGTAATTTTTGTTTTTCAATGTCCTTTTCTTTTGCTTGATGTTTTGATAGTTTTAATGGTTTTATGTGAAGCAGTTTGCCTTGTTGTTGAAATGTGCTATACAAATAAGTTTGCTTGGTCCCGCCCCCTTGGCGGCTAGAGCAGGAACCACCGTTCTGTTGGTCGGATGGTAGAGCTACCAGTTCCATTGCTGTTGCAAGGAAAGGAGGCTCGTGCTAGATTGTGCAGTTGGGTCTAATCGGTCTTTTGTGCAGTGTCATGGTGGCGGATAGAGGGCTGTGTCATGCCTCCATTGAAGCGTATGAAGCAGCCAATTATTCTTGCCAAGAGGGTTCAGGCAGTAGAGCAGCCTTTTGCAAGCCGCTCATGGAACGGTAATGCAGGGAGATGGGAGGCAATGCCCAGGGGTAAATGCCACCTTTCCACAGTGACCGACCATTGGCTTCAATGCCTCAGTGAAGGGTTCCTTTGAGCCTTTGAAATGCTACTTTTGAAGGTGTTTTTATTCTAGACGATTTGCTGCTTGCACTGATCTACGCTCTGTCGTTGAAGGACTTCCCGCCTTTGTCTTCCACCATTTGGGCGGCAAGGAGGCAAAGCTACTTTGTGGTTTGGAATGTTATGTTGAATGCACTCTGTAAGGAATCGTGTTCAAACATCCTCGTCCGTCGAGGTCCGTCATCCAAATATCTCAGAAAATGGTTTAATACAAATCAAAAGATGTTTATTCTATAAACAAATCTAAAACAAAACGTTTGTGTGCAGGCACAGTGTGAATCACACAAAAGTATTTAAATGAACCCCCTACATCATGTCCTGTTTTCAGCCGGTCATCACCCTCTGCACTATCGCACATCGTAATGCCCCTCTCCCTTGATCCCCAGCGTAGGCATACACGGAAACGCAGTTTAGGGCTTTTTTTCACAACTGCCCCATCAGAAACAGCTGCTCCTGTGCTAACACACATATGTCAAACTCAAGGCCCGCAGGGCAAACCCCCCCCCTGTCGAGCGAAGCATCTGCCCCACCCGTTGACCGCACCGTCGCCTATGGTTTTACTGGTCTGGCCCACTTGAGATCAAAGTGGGTGGGTAAGGCCTATCCCAAAAATGCTCAGAGGGATGGTTTTGTGAGTGGCCAAGGCTGGAGGCGGAAAGGAGGAGACCCTCCATCAGTGGTCTGTGAACACTTCACAAGCAGCGTAGAAGCGTCAGTGGGCTTGTAAACAACATTTCATGGTGGTTTGCCTGTCCCAACACATTTTGGGATCTGGCAAGAGTGTGTTTGTTCATCACCAAGTATGACGTGCCCACTGATGGCTCCTGGCATTAATACATTATTGACAATAAGATTATTAACAAATGGTAACTGGGCACCCACTTGAGATCAGGGACCAACAACTATTGTTTAAACAATACCAATCAAGTATATTGACACGCTATCTACAAACGCTTGTTGAGCACGGGGCTCAATCTGTGATGCTTAGGGGCACTGAACCAATACCAATATTGAGTGAAAATGTGTTGGTATGTGAGAAGTGGACATAGTCCCGTAGTGTCACCATTGGTTTTTGAAATCCTTGAGTTTGGTAAATGGCCGTCAGCATCTTGTTTTTTGGGCTGTTGTAGTTGTGGTGTGGAGCCTGCAATCCGTCAAGGGGGCAAGACCAAATAAACATCTTAGGGGGCCGTGTACAGCTGCTGGTTGGTGGTGTTTCAACAGGACCACCACTAAAAAATGCTGGCAGGGAAGTGGGGAAAGGACAGGAACCGGCTGAACCTTGCAGTAGGAGCTATAGCCCACTGTTTAATTTGTCTTCTACTTCTGCCACAGCAGGACGGATACAAACCCGCTGCCCTTCCGACCAGTCCAATGAACAATTTACTCATTTTCAAGGGTGTCTTAATTTTCTTATCCACAAATTTTAACATGTCTAGTTGTGTATCATTTTCAGGTGCAGTCCGATTGGCAGGGGGGTCATCAGGGAACAACGGGCGTGTGGAGGTCTATCTGAATGGCCAATGGGGGGCAATATGTGACACCCACTGGACCGACCGCGACGCCAGCGTCATATGCGGACAGCTCGGACTGGGGTGAGGCCCGTCTCACTGAACCAGACATTTTTCTGATGACAATACCCATGTGGAGACATGTTTCAAGTTAGTTTCGCTAGTTTCAATTATGCTTGTGAATAGCAATTAGTCAATTGCTGCCAAGGCCACAATGAATCTGACTATTTTTTGTTTTGTTGATGTTTTAGTTTGACTTACTGGCAGTATTTTGGGGGGTTGGTAAGGAATAGGTGTGGTTTAGTTGAGTTTTATTATTTTAGATAACACTACATATTGAGGATGTGGAATATGGACTGTGGAAGTCTCCAGCTAATCTAGGTAGTGATCTCACCCCACATTTTAAAAACTGAATAATGTCTTGGGAGCAATGCTCTAATTGTACAAAGCTTAGTATGAGTAGACAGAGTAGCTCCTGTTTCTTTGATCATGTGACATTGGCCTTGTGTGAGTGTAGTAGCTCACCTGACTGTCTCTATCTGCTGTCCATCCAGTCAGATTGGGACAGCCCTGCAGCATTCCTACTTCGGCCCAGGTTCTGTCTTCCACTATGAGCGTCTGGGTTGCCGTGGAAATGAGAATTCCCTGCTGGAGTGCCGGAGCAGGAAGTTTGTCACCAATGATTGTAACCATGGCAACGAGGCAGGGGTGGTTTGTGCTGAACCCGAGGGTGAGACCCGAGTGTCATCTCGGATAACTTCAACAAATATATGACTGATATGGATCATTTTAAACATAACGCTGTGTACGCGGCATTAGTGGTCTTAGTACTCATTGCTAAGGTCTTGTCTTGTTTGCATGGATGTTTCAATACCTCAATTCCCTACAATTCTAACGTAATGTAGTCAATCACCTTACAGAATTGCTTTAGAACAATCCAGAAGGACTGGAGGTCTTCTCTGAAAGTACAAATGAAAGACTGATGTTAGCGACTTCAGTGCTGAAGGGTTGGAAAACCAACATTATAAAGGGAGAGAAACTAGAGAAACAACTTGCTGGCGTAATTGTAAGGAATCTGTAAAAGCCCATGACAACAGCTGCCTGTTAACAGTTGGCGTTTAGCACTGCAGTCATTCACTTTATCACTATGACACATTTCTGTTGCGTGTAGAAGATTTTGAGACAGTGCAGTACCCAAACGTAACCACTGCTAGATAAGACATTAGGCAGCAAAATGAGGCATCAGCTCGCTGGAACATTTATGGTTTGGTTTTGCTGGCCATAATGCACACGGCTAAGAGAACATGCAGACTGCTGCAGAGACCCAGTACCTGATGTTCTGCTCCGTCTTTTGTTTGTCAGGTACTGGCATCCCCCTGAGGCTGGTGGGAGGCCTGGACGACTTTGAGGGCCGTGTCGAGTTGTACCGTGACGGCAAATGGGGAACCATTTGTGATGACCGGTGGGATGACACTGATGCTGAGGTGGTGTGCCGACAATTGGGCCTGGGGTACGAAGCAACTGCTGTGTGAAGTTTCTTCAGCTGCATTTTCTTGTCTGAGAATGTTCAATGAGAGCATCAAGAGAGAGAGAGAGAGAGATTCCATGTTTTCATACTCATACCAGGCCAATAAAGCTCCTTCTAAGGTAACATGCATATAGACAGTCTACCTTCATTTGTTTGTCCCGACCAATAGGGGCGTGGCCAAGGCATGGAAATGGGCCCACTTTGGCCAGGGTGTTGGTCCCATCTTCCTGGATGGGGTTCAGTGTTCAGGCAATGAACTCTCTCTAGAGGAGTGTCCTCATAACATTTGGGAGCAGCACAACTGTGACCACATCGAGGACGCAGGCGTGTCTTGCAACCCATACACAGGTCAGAGCCAACGAAGGAAACGCACGCTGACGCCACCGAACACCTGTTTGAATCACCTGACCTGTTCTTAAACCAGTTGTATATGCCAAGTGATAGAGGAGAGAAACATCAACCTTTCTACTCTGGTATCCTGAGAATGAATTCCCTGACATCTGATATCCTTTTGCAGCGCTGAGTCAAAGCCACATCTGACTTGCTGTAGATTATTGAAGACAATTTGCTTTTGGAGCAATTTATTTTTGTGTTTCCCCTTTGCGGCGGCAGACGGTGCAGTTCGTCTGATGGGAGGAGACAGTCACTGGGGTGGTCGCGTGGAGATCTACCATCATGGAGAATGGGGCACTGTGTGTGACGACAACTGGACTGAGCTCAACGCTCAAGTGGTGTGTCGACAGCTGGGCTTCAGGTCAGTACATCGTTTTGCCTAAAAAAACTAAATTAAAACCTGTCTCTTAACCCCAAACCAAAGATTTAGCTACCTAGTGGCACATTTAAAAAATATACTTTTTTAGATTTTAGAAGCAGCCCTACTCCTGAATAGGTCCACTTCCTGTTCTCCTGGCAATTCACTGACAGAACTCCTTGTCCCCTCAGTTCTGCTTTACTCATCACATATGTCACTTTCATGTCGTGTCAAAGGGTGTCGCATATCCCGTCACTTTTTTTGTCACATGGCGTGTCACCTGGTGTGTCACAGTTTATGTCATATGTTTTGACACATGTAATGTGTCAAATGCCACATTACATGTGTCAAAAGCCCTCTCCTTGTGTCACATGCCGTGTTGTCTGCCATGTCTCGTATCGTGTCACATGCCGTGTTGTCTGCCGTGTCACGTATCGTGTCACATGCCGTGTTGTCTGCCGTGTCACGTATCGTGTCACATGCCGTGTTGTCTGCCGTGTCACGTATCGTGTCACATGCCGTGTTGTCTGCCGTGTCACGTATCGTGTCACATGCCGCGTCACATGTAACATCGTAAATTGAGTTACACGTTGTGTAAACTATACATTTTGTGTTGCTGTAAGGAAATCTTAGCTCAAGACTGGCTTTGAAATGAAAGGCCACACTGTGTCCTTCACTAAGTACCATGGTACTAATTCTCCGTAGATGTTGTCTTAAGGGGTAACACGCAGATATTTCACATTCACCCGTCATACTCAAAAAACGGTGTACGCCATTATTTTACAGCACATAGTTTTAGCTCACATCTTTTCGTCTTCCTTGTGTCCCACATTGGAGGGAGACGGTCAGACGTTGTCAGGAAAAAAAGGAGACAATGAGACGCAGATGAACGTTGACACGTAATTACATAGCAAATTTGCCATTTTCTGCCATGTTGTATTGTGTACAAAGCAGGGAGTTTTGCATTTGCAGATGGTTTGAAGAAAACACAAAAATGGTTTTATTTCTGAATGCCTTGTGTGCAGGGGTCGATCGAAGGTGGCTGCTGACGGGGTGTATGAAGAAGGGCGCGGGCGGATCCTGCTGGATGAGGTTCAGTGTCGGGGAACAGAGGCCGGTTTACTGGCCTGCAGCCACTCTGAGGTGGGCCAACATGACTGCTCCCACAGTGAGGATGTAGGTGTGCTCTGCGAGAGGGGAGGTGATACCAATGACATGACAGGCCTTTTGACTCCTAGTGGTAAGTAAACACATAGTGCCATTGTAAAATGACAGGCATGAATATATATCACAATGACGGCATCTTTTCCCTGTAACGTCTGTTTGCAGGCCCTCTGGTGCGCTTGGTGGCTGGAGAGAGTAGGAAGGAGGGCAGAGTGGAGGTCTTCATTAACGGCCAGTGGGGAAGCGTGTGTGACGATGACTGGAGTGACGTTAATGCAGCTGTGGTTTGCAGACAGCTGGGATTCACGTTAGTACGATCATACCATCTCTAGTATTTCATGTGCATTTGAAATGAAATGAAAATGATGAGCTCCGAGGCGACAGTGTCTCTTTTTTTGTAATGGACTCCGCTTTCCTCGAGGAGGCGAGAAAAGGAATTGAGGAAAATAGAAAAAGTTCTCATCTAGTTTTCAGCCTCGATGTTTCAACTCAAAAAAGACCTGAGCGTTAGTGCAAAGTGATCTGTCACACCCTGACGTCTTAAAGGTACTGTGTTTGCTGTGATTACTGTGGACCGTTTGTGACCAAAGACGTTTTGGGAGAGGAAATATAAAACCCGATTTATTTCAAGCATGTGAATAAATATTCTCCTCTGGTGTCTCTAGATGGAGCTAACTTATATTTGACAGTGAATGACCCGTTTGGTGGCGGGAGACCACAGCATGCCTTGTGATTTGTAGTCGTGGAGCTCTGAGATCTTCCCTTCAGTCCAGGCAGGAGACCCAGAGGACCACAGCGATAGTTCTGGGTGGGCAGCTGGGCCCAGAGATGCTTAACGAATTGTGACATGTCAGTTCTGTAGTTGGATACATGTTTTGTTCATTTCTCCTGTGTCCATAGTTAATTCAACTTCTGCTTTCCTTATTTGTGGAATTTGTTGAGCAGCTGGTCGACTAACAGCATCCAGACGAGGCGCAAAGACTCATCCACGGGACTCGTTCTTTTCAGAACAAATTGATGAAAAGTTTGGATTGGAGGTCAGGCTCCCCGTTATACAAGTGCATAGTACATAGCAGTCATTATATTTATTACGTTAATAAGCTGGTCTGTGGTTTAAGTCTTCACATTGCATTTTGCTAAATATGATGTTAGTAATTGTTAGCAATTTTTGAGGATATCCGAACCGTGTTATCAACCAGTAATAAGTTGTGTGTAGTTACACAGGAGGGCATTTAAAATCGTTAAGAAGAGGAAGTATCTCAGGTGCGTGATGGGATTCTATTCTAGTTGATATGGGACGGAGGTCTCTGCCTATGAAGAACGGCGCAGCCGTTATTGGATGGATGGGATGAAGGTCAAAAACAGGGTTAATTGCACAGTTCAGATTTGCACCAAAATCAGTAGGAATTAAAATCTTCTACGTTTGTGATAGTTGTTCTTTTAGGTTCATCATCGGTCCACTTTACCGGCTATAAGTTAACCAAATTGAAAGCAGAGCGCCCCAGTGGATCCACGATAACTGAGAGCTGTTGGACATAATTCTTTCAGGTACCAGTGACGTTGTCCCAGTTTCCCAAAGTCCTACTTGACCTTTTTTCAATAAGTGGGTGCTTGTAAAACCCTTAAAACTTAATGTCACATTTAAACTTGCAAGGGGATTAAATGCTCTCACTGTCTTTTTAGGATCTATTTTATTCCTTTTACAGTCCGGCTGGTGATTCATACTTCAGACCTTTGTTCTATGTTTAATCATAGAAGGAAGAATGATAATGACCATAGTAAATAAACTCTGTACGGACAACAGAAAGGGGGTATATGTTGGGGTGTTCCTTCCCACAGCACCAGTAGAAGCTAAAATAAAAGTGTACTTGTGCCTCTCTCTGAGGGAGTACTCCAGTCCACAGTGACTTACAATGAATTACAATCTCTTAGTGAGCTGTGTGCTGAGAGAGATGGAGCCTTACTATGGCCCCGGCTGCCTGAACGCGGTGCAGGCTCCTTCTACTGGAGTCACAGCAGCAGCTCAGGGTCCAGTGGGCTCTCTCCGGTTCAGGGTCCAGCACTTTGTGCCATCAACTCTTCATCCTTTCCACTGCCTTTAGGGAATATGTGGTACGCAGAGATTGTCTCTCTGTCATCGGTTCTCCAGTTTGTCCTGAAGAGAACTTGCTTGGATTCTGATCAAATTTAACATACATACCGGATCTTTAGCAAATCGGCTAGATTGCCATTCGTGATGTTTGTGTGCAACATGGTACTGGGGGCCAATCTCGGGTTGGCGACAGGTGTCAGTGTGTATTAGTGTGACAGGGAGTCTACACAGGTGTGATCGACGCAGGTAGTGATGCGTGTGTGTCGGGCAGATCGCACACGCAGAAGGAGATCCGGAAGCAGAGTGTATCAAAAAGTGTAAAACACGAATAAACGGGAACTTCACCCAAAGGAAAGACCTGGAATCTGTGTGTTAGCGAGTGAGGAACAGATTCTTCTTCTCGTGCACCCTGCCGAGTGTCACTGCACAGAGCGCGGATTGACTGCTTTTATTCCAGCTGGTTCCAACCTCACAGGGATATTAGTGTGTAATAATAAATAATATGCATGCACATTATTTATTCATTTACGAGAAAGGAAGAGATTCACGATGCCGTTGTGTGTGACCTCCCAGCGGCGTGGCTAAAGCCCGATCCGTGGCCTACTTCGGCGAGGGTCAGGGTCCCATCCACCTGGACAACGTCCGATGCTCGGGCGCTGAGACCTCCTTGGGCCAATGTCCAGCGCTGGGCCAAGACCGCCATGACTGTCGCCACAGCGAGGATGCAGGCGTCATATGCGACTACACCCTGGATCGCGTGGGAGACGCTGCTTTGGCAACGCAGACCTGTGGCGTGAGACTCAATAACCAGCGCCGCCGCCGCCGGCGGATCATAGGGGGAGATAAGTCGCTGAGGTCAGTATACATACACATACATCAGTGCCTGAGTCACATGATGAACCTCTGTATGTTATGTAGTATGTAAGAGTCACTCCAGGGAGCCAGCACGCACACAACCCAAATGAAACACACTGATACTGTTGTCACCTCTTGGCATAACCAGTCGGCGACCTCTGGTCCTGCAGGTGAAGCCAATGCAGTGTCTCTAGCTAAACGGGTGGCATTACGATGACTATGTTCCCTCCCTATATGCAGTCAGACTGTCAGGCCTGTAGAAGCGGCCTTCAGGCAGAGTGGTGAACCGTTTTCTCCTCCAGTGTAGGTGGGACACACCTGCGTGTGTGTGTGTGTGTGTGTGTCTGTGGTTCGTGCACACATGTAATGAACCCAATGACCAGAGCACATTCATGACCAAACAATCCATCAAAGCAGCGCACGGGCCATTCAAATATTATTGACATGAGGGGAACGATATTAACTGTATGATGAAAACAACACGGTAGACAAATGAACACGCTACGGCAGATGTGAAAACACAAAAGCAGTTCACTCACCAGCGCTGCTCACTGTTTACAATACAGCCTGGCCCACCGACCAATCAGGACGCACGATGGTGCTCCGCCGTACGTTGATGACGAAGTATACGTAAAGAAAGTAAAAACTAAAGATCCGTTGGAGACTGTGACAATCAACAATGTCGCCCACAAAGACTTTAACGTGCAAAGTCTAGCTGGAGAACAAAGGGCCTCTTACGTAGAGACAAAGGGGCTCTTTAAAACAGGCTGCAATTGCAAAGTGTATTTATGAAATAAAAAAATAACTGTGATTCTATTCAGGCCATCAGGGACGGCTTAGTTGACGGTGTGTGTGTGTGTGTGTGTGTGTGTGTGTGGCTGCAGGGGCGAGTGGCCCTGGCAGGTGTCTCTGTGGCTCCGCTCTCAGTCCAAAGGAAGCCACCCTCTGTGCGGAGCGTCACTCATCAACCACTGCTGGGTCGTGACCGCTGCCCACTGCTTCAAGAGGTAGGACGCGCGCCCTGCAGCGGGCCCTGTTATGCCCAGACATGAGAAGACGTTCTCGCTCACGTATGCTCGTGCTGTAGGTGGACTGTACCTGCTGAGCCCTTTCAGAGGCGTCTCGGCGCGAATGACGTGGTCTTTTTCTGGTTATTTCTCTGCAACGGGATGGAAGTTCGCTCCACTTGGGAAGCAGCGCAGGCTCCTTCTCAGTAGTTCAGAGCATCACGGCCGTCGTTATACGCACAGGGAAGCACCTTGGACTCAACGTGTTACACATACAGACACCGGCCCCAAAGGGCCCCTGGGGATGTAGTCTCATTAGATGTGGGAGCCGTCGTGGCCCCTCTGCCTGGTTCCTTCATATCAGTCAATGACCTGAATGAATAAACCAGAGACAAGGAGACACGTGTCTCTGTGTCTCCTCTGGTCAGATCGAACGTTCTCACTATTAAACGCATCCTGGCAATGATTATATTAAATAAAGAGAACAATCAGCACGCCGCCGGCTTTACACAACGGTGTTATACTAAAAACACACTTTGCCCAAGTTATCAAAATGTGGTTGTTTGAAATACTCAATAACTTTTTACTTTTTTAGACATATTATTTTTACAGCACATTACAAAGAGTGTGCGTTTGCATGTGGAGAGAGACATTTATATTGTGGGCTTTTTGTTATTTTGTGATTTAAAAATACTCCTTTTAAAAAAGTTTTAAATGAATTGAAAAATCAGAATTGAAGGTTTCAAAGCTTCTGTTTTTTAAAGGATTCTTTCATTTCACGTGTTGTTACCACATGTAAACAATGTAAACAGACGTTTTTGGCTGGATTTGGACACTGGTCTCTCTGTCACTCTTTGCATGTCTTTACCACGGAGGTTGCATGTCTGCATGTCTGCGCTCTCCCGGTCCACGTCAATGTGTCCTCAGGCAAGACACGGTCCATCGCATCGCCGTATGAACGCTTCGAAAGGACACGAGGTCTTAAAGAGCTTCGAGTAGTTGAAAAAAGGAATATATCGTTTTGACGTAGTAACAGGCGTCACTTACAAACGTCCATTCCTGTCGCAGGTTCGGGCGAGACCCGAGCCGCTACCTGCTGCGCCTGGGTGACCACCACACGGAGGAGCAGGACGACTTCGAGCGCACCCTGTCACCCAAGCGCATCGTTGTCCACGGGAAGTACCACAGTCAGGGGTGGGAGTATGACATCGCCCTGCTGCAGCTCAAAGGCACGGAGGGCAGCTGCGTGGCATTCAACCCTCACACCAGCGCCGTGTGTCTGCCCGAGCCGGGGAACAGGTGGGAGGAGCGGCCGGCGGCCTGCGTGATCACCGGCTGGGGCGTCACAGGTAAACCCGCCGCTCGGCCACTCGCACGCCCCCTGTGGGGGAAGACGACGGTCGTCCTCAGCGGGACAGAGGCGGTCGTAGCGCTGGTCTAGCGTCTAGCGTCTAGGTGGACAAAATACTATATTCATCATCTTATACATAAAAGCCACTGACGTTTTCTTCAATTTTAAATTCCAAATAAAAAAGGGACCAAAGCAGCTTTGTTTCGTATAAGAGATACTGTGAGGGTTCATTAACCACAGCGGCTTTCCTTTTTACTTTTAACTGTGCACCAACCTTGTGATTCCTCGATCCCTCTGACGGGTCCGTTTGGATTCTTCAGCCTAATCACAGCGTCCTTCACTGGTGGCCACGTTTTTTTTATTGAGAGTCGAATGCCACATATTCCAAATACAAATCCCACACTCGAAATGACCTCTTATCTGCTCCCTGTTAACCGAATAATGAGGGAATAACATGGAACAGCTGATCATCCAATTGGCCAATTAGTTTTGGTCAAGAGGGAGCGCGTATATTTTATTTATTATTATTCTTAAAATCTAAAAAACCTTCAGTAAGGACTTTCTTCCTTTTCTTATTGTTGTTGTTGTTTGTATCATGCGTTGTTGACCTATTACCGCGAACATGAAGTTCCCGTTTATTTCTCCTCCTCTGCTCAAGAGGAACCAGGTGGTACTTTATCAACGTCCCCAGAGGCAGAAGTATTTAACGCAGTATTAGTGTGTCTGCGCTGCATCGTGTGCGTGCACATTACCCCCCCGCCTGCTCTGCTCTCAGACTCGGAGTACTCCCGGACTCTGCTGCAGGCCTGGGTCCCCCTGCTGCCGGCCCGGAGGTGCAAGAGGCGCTACAACGAGCGCTTCACCAGCCGCATGCTGTGTGCCGGGAGCCTGTCGGAGCGCCACCGCGTGGACAGTTGCCAGGGTGACAGCGGGGGTCCGCTGGTGTGCCAGGGGCAAGGGGGCCGTTGGGTGCTGACCGGGGTCATCTCCTGGGGGCACGGCTGTGGCGACCCGGCGTTCCCCGGAGTGTACACGCGCGTTAGCAGGTTCCTGCGCTGGATTGACAAAACCATCAACAAACCCTACAAAAGCTGAAGAGTTCACACCATCAGCAATGTTCACACTTCTGTTAGCGACACGCAGCAGGACCCACATCTCCCGTCACAAACCTGTTGTCCCTCACAACATGATGACCTGAACCAACCATAACAGGGAGCCTCACAATATGGATCACTGTCGCAGAGTCATTCATAGATTCATGTATTTAAATGATCCAGCAGAAACCAAGACAGCACCACAACCAAAGCATGTGCCACTTGTTTATTGCATGGCTACGATTAGCTTTTTGCAGAGGACCTGAGATGACCTGATTCCAGAACTATACACATCAGCTTACCTTTGTCGGGGGTCGCTGGGGGCGTAGGAGTACCCGCCCGCTCCCCTGTAAGCATGTTTCCATCCACCGGGCTGCTGAATCAGTCCTCCAGTCTGATCTCTGCCACCGTGAAACGGTGCTGGTTGCATTTTGGGTCAATTCTTTTCCCTTGCTCATACGAGTGGGTTCAATACACACCGTCAACCAGTGGACTCTTCTTCATATCCTGTGTGAGACCAAAAGTAAGAAGCTAATTTGAACCCAAACTATCATCTTTTACTGAACTACTGAGTAGTTTTGTCGTTGGAACTAAAACGTAATCAAGAATGCAGTTTTGAAACAGCAGCAGCGTTGATGTGCACATACGAACAACTGATCAGATGAACCTCTTTTGGTCAGAAACACGCAGGTATATTTATTTTTGGCTGAGAAACAGTAAGATCCTCTCTTGCAACACAGCTGCATTGTAGAAATGGGAATGTGTAAATTAGCAACTAATACGACGGCGTAATGTGTCAAAAAAAGGATTTAGAACCTTTTATGGTTATATGTTTTATGTTGGTTATATGGTTGATAATCTGAAATTGATTTGTATTTATTTCTGGATTACACATTGCCTGTAGTTTATATTCGTTTTCTTTTTTCTGTGTTCTGCATTGGCCAAAGTTTCATATTTTATTCATTTAGTTTATTTGTCTGTATTTATTTGAGTAGTGCTAATTTTAACCTGGTCAGGTTCCACTTTGAGCAAACTAGTATTCAACCACAAGCCGCTTAACAAAGACTAGCTGGCTAGTCTGGATTCACAATTGAAGAGTTTTAATTTTGGCGATACCATTTAATACAGTCTGGAAGAAAATGATTACAATCTTATTCTGTAAAACCAGTGCTGAATACACAACGCTGGTCAAAATAACTTTCCACTGGTTAATTTACTCATTGTACTCTCTCTTCCTGACGATCAGCCGGCTACAGGAGGGTCACTGCCTTGAGAGATAGATGCTAATGTAAAACAGGTTTAGGAAGCAGTAGGTTTTCACAATAATATTGACAGCAAATATTGCAGCAAAATCTGTATTCCTTGGCTTCTGCACACACAACAATACACAGAGGGACTAAGACTATTATCATATTCATTATGAATGAATATGATAATACAGGTTTCTGGGCCCCTGAAGGCCCCTCTTCACACTAAATCCAAAGACACACCCAAAATACTAAATGACTTCCATCTTTTGCAAAAGCAAACAATATTGACTTTTATCATTCTTGTGTCACAACTTACTGACTTACTAAAAACAGTATTATCTGTAGTCTTTGTTCTGTAAATGTAGACTATGAAAACAAATGCAACGTGTTTATTGTGTGTTCATCTACTGTTTGCATGTTCAAGTGAACTTGCGTGATAAATACACCCGGATCGCTCACATCATTCCACTGCTGCAAAATGACTTGAAAGGGTTAAATCACATGTACCTGTATATGACGATGCAAAATAAAGTTTACTTTGCTTTTCAAATGATTGGCTTTACGTGGTTCCAGCACAGCAAAAGTCCTAAATATGGTGCTCAATCCCAGGTTTGTAAGTCATCTAATTGGTAACAAGGGTTTCACAGGTGCATTCTGGGTGGGTGTGATTGATTATTGATAGTGGCGTTTTAAACAACACACTCTGGCTTCTGGTTTGGAACGACGTGTATATTAGAGAGTAGATTAGTAGTTATTTAGAAAAGGTACTTTTTTCCATTAAAGATGACATCTCAATAAAAAAATGTAACGATCAGATACCTTTAACTTTACATAGAAAGCTCATACAAGCCATTGTGCAAGGTTTAAACAGAGGGTTTGTTCTTCTTCATCTATCAAATCCATACACGGGGCTCGAGGGGCGTGAAATGTCACCTCCCTGCTGCGGAAGGGATGCAAGCTGCTTCTGAAGGTGGAGCAGAACCAACTACATGTAGGTCACTGCACTTGTTCTGGACCCAAGGAGAAGTGCAGACCAGGACTAGCTATTGTCAGGAGGTCTTTAGTGTCAAGTGGAGATCGGGGACAGCGGCCGACCAGACTGGGAGCAGTGATATGAATGGGAGTCACAAATTAGAGGTACATGTTATGTTCCAATGGATAGTTGCCATTTGCTGGCCTGTGTCCTCCAGTTAAGAAAAGGGAGTAAACCGTTAAAGGGTTGACAGACTCAGTACATAAGAGGTTGAAAGTGTGCTTCTGTAGCCCCACCGGAAAAGGATTTATAAGATTTAAACAATACAGCCAATACAGTCCTGCAGCGACGGCAGATTGCAGCCGATCACCCTCTCTGCAGAGCGGAGGACACGCTGCAGCCTGCCCTTGTCCTTGGCTGTGGCTGCAGCGTACCAGACGGTGATGGAGGAGCAGAGGATGGACTCCATGATGGCCGTGTAGAAGTGCACCATCATCGTCTTTGGCAGGTTGTCCAGACTTTGGGATTTTAATGTGTTTTACGATGACTTTATGTTCGGTTATATTTTAAAATGTTGCCCGTTCCTTTGTTATGGGCACCTGTTGTTGTCAAAGCTGAGTTTAAAGTGGAGCTGGAAACCCACTGGTATCAAACCTTGTTTACTGTCGGCTGCCTACGCGTTGGGGTTCAAGTTAAGGCCCAATATGGCAAGTTACATGTAATAACTATCAAATGCATCAGGGTCACCACTAACCGATAGGCCTGCTCCTGAATAATAGCAGTGCAGAGTAAGAATATTTATCATGTATACATGTATCAGCCTAGTTTTGAGGTTGTATTGCATTCTACATATTTCAAGGGTTACACGTATGAAATGAAAAGTAAAAAATGGAAAAGGCTGGACCGTTGAAGTATGCTCAAGACGCTGTGTTTGGTCTGGTGAAGAGACTCCTCCATCCAGGCTGAGCGCGTCTGCTCGCAGCCTCGCGCTGGCAGCCGGAAGCTGTGATCAGCTGATGGGGGAGGAGCTTGAGGGAGGTGAGCCATCTTCCCCCGGCAGAGTGATACTCTCCGGTAGAGCCGGCCCGGCATTCGGGAACCCCGGTGTCATTTGCAGCCAGGGGCGATCACAGGACGCCCGACAGCCGGTGTCAGTCGCGACGGAAGCGAGATCCCCGGAGGACTGCTCAGTATTTCTACTTCCGAGCTGACTGAGGAATAAATCCTCTTTGGACGTCAGCGCGGAGGCTCTTATAGTAATACAAAGAAAGAAAACATTGAGCTCGGAGGGTGGATTCATATCGAAAAATGAACCGTATCTTATTTAGCAGATTGCACGAGTGCAGAAGATAAACGCGGTAAATCAGCATGTAGTCGGTGCGGGAGGTGTTCTGGTCACCGGTGAATGTAAACAAACGGCGGTGTATGCTAGCTCCGGTTAGCCGGTCGGGGGTTAGCTCTCCACTGCTACTGCACGTAGCTTAGCTAATACCCGGCGGTACCGAACCAGGGCGAGGGTGAACCCAGCGGGACAACCGTGCTTTGGGGGCTTAAAACGCATTTCAGTTCAATTCAGTCGCCTGCGTCGGATGTCAGCGGTTTGTTTAGTCGCAGGATGCAGTTATTAGCATAATTAGCCGTCCAGCTAACGTCGGCTAACTTGTTTATTTTGCATTAGCAGCCGGGCACTATAACACACAAGCAGCGCGCTGACAAGGAGACATTTGCGTCATAACTCTTAGTGTGACTCTCGCGTTTCTTGTGCCATGAAACAACCACTTGTGGCTCGTGTTTACGCGCAGATCCTACGTCGGCTGAAAGGAGAGACCCTCGGGATGAAGGAAACAACTTGACTTTTCTAAGGATTGAATCCCATCGCCATCTGCAGCCAGCGCGGCTCGTGTCTGTGTGTGTGTGTATGTGTGTGTGTGTGTGTGTGTGTGTGCGTGTGACGGTAACGACCGTGCGCCGGGGAGTTGGGCGGCGGACAGCCCGGGTTATGGAGCCGTGCTTGAGGGCCCGGCGGTAAGCCTCTCAGCTGTGTTGTGGCCGCCGCTGGCCTCCCCTCCCCCCGCCCCGACGCTCCGCTCCGCCCGAGAGTCGGACCCCGTCCGCCGGGTCGCGCTTGGCCGTTTGTCGCTCGCGGACCAAAGGCTCTGGACTCTGACGGAGTTGAGAAGTGGATGTGATGGAACTGATGTTCGCCGAGTGGGAGGATGGGGAGAGGTTCTCCTTCGAAGACTCGGACCGGTTCGAGGAGGACTCCCTGTGCTCCTTCATCTCCGAGGCCGAGAGCCTCTGTCAGAACTGGAGGGGCTGGAGGAAGCAGTCTGCCGGACCCAACTCCCCCACTGTCAAGATCAAAGGTGCGTGTTCCCATTCACTGCGGGACCTGTTGGTGCAACAGCCTCACTGACCCCACAGTGGTTGTAAAAACGAGCAAACCAGATGCCATAAAATTATCTTTTATTGTTTATCCGCATGGTCTTTCATTCAAAAATATTCACAAAAACCAAACCTTTCACTTAAGCAACATAATTTAAAGAATGCTTATTGTAAATAAGTTATTGTCATGAAACAAATATTTGGTTGGCAACCCTTCGGTTGGTATCTGGTGTGTTCTCCTATGACGCGGGAGGAGGTTGGGGATCTGAGACCGTTGCTCCATGCAGATCCTCCACATTCCAAGATGCTTGTCAGTTCCTCTTCAGCTCCTCCCACACACTTTCTATGGGGTTTAGTTCGGGGGACTATGAAGGCCGTGGCAGAACCTCTATTCTGTGGTCCTGAAGCATATTTGTGGAGATTTTGAGGTGGGCTTTGATCTGCTGAAAGGTCCAACCACGGCGTGCTTATTTAAGCAACACACACGTCCTCTTTCATGCTGTTTCTTAACATCTCCTGTTTCAAACTTCTTAATGATTGCCCTAATAGTGAAAATGGGTATTTTCAACTGTTCAACTGAGATTTTCTTATATCCATTTCCACCCCAGCTCTTTCCCATAGTGATGGATGGCTGCTGGAGTTTGTCCCCTCAGACCACAGTGCAACAGGAAGTTCTGGTTCCCCACTTAAGAGTTCCTCATCAACTAGTGTGAACTATGACTGGAATTATACTACAGTTAGATTGCAAACCAATACACACGTTTTGGGGAAACAATTGATTTAATGGCAACTTTTTTTTTCTTTCAATAAGTTTACTTTAATCAAAAGGTTATTTATTTAAATATTTAAACTTTAAATATTTATAATTATTTATATATTTATTTAAATATTTATATATATTTAAATATATATAAATATTTATATATTTTTAAATATTTTTATTTATTTATTTAAATATATATATATATAATTAGTGTAATAAGATAATATTTACTGTATAATGAAAGATCGGAGGAAAAACAAAGACATTTTTTAAAGCTGCTGGGTTTTTTAAGGCCTTGTATGGGACTAGTTTCTGATTAAGGAATTACCTCTGAAAATGGGGACGCGCGAGCAGCCTGTAGCCGACGTTTAGAGAGAAGACAGCTGTCTTTGAGAGGGACACGTCTCTGGTGTTCAGTTGTTATTGAGGCCTTCGCATGGCACATGTATTCAGAATGGAAAGAGTTCATCCCCTAAAGTCGTGGATGTAGATGCTCAGTTATAGATTTATGAAGATAGTTTATATATGAAAAGTACTTAAACTCATTTTGTAAGAAACTTCACAAAATAACAAAGGGCTTCAAAACATGCAGCTCAACTGTATTTTACTTTCTGTGTACCTTTACTTCAGGTGAAGATATTTTAGTGACCAGTGAGTTTTGAAAACCATTAGTACAAGTTTGTGGCCCCAAGTGGTGTGAAGACACAATCCAGCCCTCATGGGCCATAAGTCCTCTTCAGTGCAATGGAACGTGGTGCAGATTTAGGTTTTTATTCTAATTCTGTCGGGCGTTTCAGGTTATGAAGACGTGTGTGAGAGCTGTGGAAATGTGTAGGGACGATTCTGTCCACAGCTCTCACTGCCGTGACCCTCGAGTGGAGGACCAATGTGTGTTCTGGTGTTCCTCTCCTCAGACGGTCAGGTGATTCCTCTGGTGGAGTTGTCAGCCAAGCAGGTGGCGTTCCACATCCCGTTTGAGGTGGTGGAGAAAGTTTACCCCCCCGTCCCGGAACAGCTGCAGCTCCGCATCGCCTACTGGAGCTTCCCCGAGAATGAGGAGGACATCAGGTGAGAACCTGGACCTGGACCTGAGTCCAGCAGGGCCCAAACAGTGTGAAAGTGATTAACTTCAGCCACTGTTTAAGTTCAACGTTGACACACAGAATCTAGGAAAGAAATGAAAGTTGGACGGACCCACAAGCTCATGTGCACATCTGAGTCTGGGGGACACTGGTTGACACGGTGGTGCATTTCTGGCGTTATGAGTAAACTCGAGCTTGACTTGAGATTTGGGGCATAAAGTCAGGTTCCTGCCGTGTGCATGTGTCAATAATGAAAACACGTTGATATTCGTGCAGCTTGAGCAGATGTTGAGCAGGACGCGTAGTGTGTGTGCTGTGATGGAGGACGGAGGGATTTCCTGCAGCTGGAACGTGAAGCAGCGCCGCGTTGGCCGGGGGTCCTCAAACCACTAGACCCCCCTCTGACAAACTCATTTGGTTCACTGGAAGCCCCCCTCTCTCAAAACACCACTGTTAAGCAACGTGGGTCCAAACGGGCCCCAGACAGTAGGAGGTGTATTCTTACGTATGTCTACACATGAAAAGCATTGAATGTTGTTACTGTTGTCGCTATTTTCTGAATAATACAAAATCCCCCCAAAACAAGTTAAATGTGCAGCTTTATTTAATTATACTGCAGCACTTTGGAGTTTAACTTTTATCTGTTGGGCTGGTGATTCAGATTTGGATCAAAGTCATTTTAGAATAGTTTGCTTCCAGAAAAAAAAGCCAAATGCCCGACACCCATCGACTGTCCGACCCACCCGACGTGGTGCACGATGCCGTGTGCTCGCACTACTGTACAACTTTCCTTGTCTTATTCTCCGAATCGCCAGAAGAAACACACCAACAAAACTGTGAATAATCCAATATAAGCCAGCAACCGACGAAATGAGGCACGCGAACCTCCCTGTAGAGAGGAGGGATTATAACCCTTATCCCATATTCATGGGCTCCTCATTAGCTCTGTACAGAACCTGCATGTGTCTAGCATTACATTCACTGTAAAGAAACATCATGTAAACAGTGTTTGACTTGGCTGCAAAATATTTACTCCAATGTAGATTTAAAAAACCTATTTGTGAAGACAAGCAGGTGGGTGTGTAGCTGTCCTCCTTCAGCCTTCGCCTTAGTGCAGTGCTTTGTTCAATCAGTTGGTCTCTTGGTCCCAGCTTCACATCCTCCTGCTTTCTGTTTGCGTCCGTCCCCCCCCCATGTGCTGCAGGTTATATTCCTGCCTGGCTAATGGGAGTCCGGATGAATTCCAACGTGGAGAGCAGCTCTACAGGATCCGGGCCGTCAAAGACCCTCTGCAGATCGGTGGGTTGAGGTGTCCCGCTCCCCTTCCATGGGCCCGGTTCACATACGTGCGTTCACACGTACCCACTCAGACCAGCTGAGGTCTGCTCTACGAGCAAAGGAACACATGGCTGCTACAGCAGACCCGGCAACGGGACGCCACAGGGACGTCAGTAGTGGACATTTTCATTGGGAATCTCTCAGTTGATAGAACCAGTTATTAATAACCTGCATCGGTGTTTTTACTCTGAAGGAATTCAGTACAAACATGGACTTCACCACCTAAAAGGTCCCTGTGGAGTGAATCCCAGCTGTGAAGAGGGACAGCTGCTACTGAACATAGATTATTGATACATACTTAGTTCATAGATATATTCATTTTATCTCCTCAGGGGGCATCGGCGTGGTGGACATTGTGGATAATGTCCTTCAATCAAAAGTATCTTAAGCTTGTTTGTCATCAAGTATTTATTACAAACGAATATATGGAAACTTCATGAAGAATACACAAATCAGTACAGACGGTTCAAAGTCAGTGATGCTGCTAAACAACTGTTGGATTGAATGAAAAGCTGCTCAAAGACGGCGCGCTGTGAATGTAGATAATGGATCATTCAGAGTATCACACTCAACGTGACGACCGCTGCTGTTTAAAAAGCTCTGCTGCACACTACAAAAGTGCACGTTTTGCGCATTACGACGGCATTAATCGCAGGGATTTAATGCGATTAATGCCGAGTAAACCTTTCCCAGCACTAGTCATTGTGTAACACCGGTTGTGTGTAGTGTGAAAAAGTTCTGCTGTCTCCTGTTAAAGTGTGTAGCAGAAAAGCGTTCTACTATACTTCAGCTACTAGTTGAGTAAGTTATTTGATTTTAAGGCTCTACGTTCACTTCCACTGCACCAATAAATTAGCACGGTATAAATATATCCGTGATTTGAATACTGCCCAGTGAAGAGCTCAGAGAGTTTAGGATCTTTTTCTATGCCTTCCTCCTCCCAGGTTTCCATCTGAGCGCCACAGTGGTGACCAGCCAGTCCGGCCAGTCCAAAGGCGCTTACAACGTGGCGGTCATGTTCGATCGCTGCCGCATCACCTCCTGCAGCTGCACCTGTGGCGCCGGGGCCAAGTGGTGCGCCCACGTGGTGGCTCTCTGCCTCTTCAGGATCCACAATGTGAGTTCATGTCCACGTCGACAAATTCTATTAAAGCGTGCTTCATTTTCACAGAATGCATCGACACTGAGCGCCGACAACCAAGAAGATGTTTCTATATCTACTCCTGTGAACAGCATAGTGTGCAGAATCAGGCCGTTGGTCTGTGAAACCAGCAGAGGGTGAAAGAGTGACTGAAATGTGCCCGTGAAGCTTGTCACGGTGACTGTGCTCATGTGTGTGTGTGTGTGTGTGTGTTGCTGCGCAGGCATCAGCAGTGTGTCTCAGGGCTCCGGTCTCTGAGTCTTTGTCCAGGCTGCAGAGGGACCAGCTCCAGAAGTTTGCCCAGTACCTCATCAGTGAGCTGCCTCAGCAGGTACCATCCATGTCCTGTCCTCCCGTCGTTACCATGGTTTCCATCAGGGCTCAACAGAAAGGGCTGACAGTTGCCAATTGAAACCTTTTTTTAGAAATTGGCAGCCAATTGTTTAACATGTGTCTTCATATAATCGCTGCGTATTTATACAGAGGGACAACAAAACTTGCACCCTGAGTTTTGTTGCATCAGTGATATTTAGATGTTGCAGTTAGAAGCTGAAGCACCCAACGGTAAATGTGTGCTCGGTATCTTCATTCTTTCAACCTGTTCCCCCTCGGAGCCCTGCGTGTGTCTGCTGAAGCACGTGTGGTATTGATTCCTGTTTGTTTGTCAGATCCTCCCCACGGCTCAGCGCCTGCTGGATGAGCTGCTGTCCTCTCAGTCCACCGCCATCAACACCGTGTGTGGGGCTCCAGGTACATCACGCCTGTCCTGATAGGCCCCCTCTGATGTCATCGCCAGAGGAGATCATTGAACTAGGACCAGCCTGAATCATTGCATGTTTCTGCAGCTAGGTGGCGTTGGTGCTGCTGGGATATTTCCATGTGGACAGCGTGTTTGCTTGCGTAACATTGTTGTGAATAGTATCCGCTGAGACCGGCGTGTTTGTTTGTTTGTGCATCTGCAAAATGTTGCGCGTGTGTGTGTGTGTGTGTGTGTGTGTAGACCCAACCGCAGGCCCTTCAGCATCCGACCAGAGCACCTGGTATTTGGACGAGTCGACCCTCAGCGACAACATAAAAAAGACTCTGCACAAGTTCTGTGGGCCGTCACCTGTCGTCTTCAGGTACACACGCTGTTCTCCTCACAATGAAATGCAACATTATCTTCATGTTTTGATTGGTGCATGACGGTGTCAAGCTGGGACTGGCTGTCGTAGCTTAGAAGGAGCCCTTCGTCTCTACAGAGAGCAGGTCCTCCTCCACAGAGTCCACCATGCTTCACACATGGGACAAAGGCGGGCTCTACGCCTTGTGTGGGTGTATAATCCCACCAGCCGCTGGTGTCTGAGGCGAGACGCATTCACCCACAGCGACGGGTGAAAGCAAACTCTAACCAAAGCGATGCTTTTAAGGTTTGAGCAGGATTATTCTAAACGTCAGGTCTACACTCAAAAAGCCTTTTCAACCATTCATGGTACACAAGCCGTTGCTTTAGGTAATCTGGCATGTTCACGTGGGGGGATTCTTACTTTACAACTACATTACAGGTCATTTAGCAGACGCTTTTATCCAAAGCGACTTACATTACACTTTAGACCCATGGCTTTTTCACATTTTTGCCCGGGGAGCAATTAGGGGTTAGGTTTCTTGCTCAGGGACACTTCGACATGGAACATGGGGCAGCCTGGAATCGAACCACCAACCTTATGCTTCCCAGCACACCTTCTCTAACCCCCTGCGCCACAACGACCCCTACTGCAGTACTGTTACTGCCTTCTTTCTGATTGATGACTTGCGTGTGTCCCACAGTGATGTAAACTCCATGTACTTGTCGTCGACGGAGCCTCCGGCGGCCGCCGAGTGGGCGTGTCTGCTGCGGCCTCTGAGGGGCCGAGAGCCAGAGGGCATTTGGAACCTTCTGTCCATCGTCAGGGAGATGTTCAAGAGACGAGACAGCAACGCCGCCCCGCTGCTTGAGATTCTCACTGAGCAGTGTCTCACCTATGAGCAGGTACGTCGTCACATGACCCGCGCATGTCAGCATGTGTACTTGGTCGTTCTGCATTGGCCAGTGTTACCGGACATTCACATTTTGGTCAAAGTTCAGAGAGTTCATACGTAGACCTCTAATGTAGCTGTTGTATACTGTACACTATGAATGTGTGTGTGTGTGCAGATCATCAGCTGGTGGTACAGCGTGCGGACCTCGGCGTCCCACAGCAGCGCCAGCGGCCACACCGGACGCAGCAACGGCCAGTCGGAGGTGGCGGCTCACGCCTGTGCCAGCATGTGTGACGAGATGGTGGTGCTGTGGAGGCTGGCGGTGCTGGACCCCACCATGAGCCCCTGCAGGTCAGCTAGCAGCAGAGTTTGGGTGGGAATGTTGTGTCATCAATTTAATGTGTTTTGTTTTGGGCCGATGAGATGTGCTGTCCACTCCCACGATCTCCACGCTATCTAATATCCATGGACTTTTGGTCCCTTTTGTGCGATGCGAGTCGTTATTCAGGGACTGTGTTTGCTCTTTGCCAGGCGCCTGGAACTAGCAGGCCAGCTGAAGCAGTGGCATTTGAAAGTTATAGAGATCGTGAAGCGGGGGCAACATCGCAAGTCCCTGGACAAACTGTTCCAGGGCTTCAAGCCCGCTGTGGAGTCGTGCTATTTCAACTGGGAGGGGGCCTACCCGCTGGACGGCATCACCTACTGCAGTGCCGATCGGAAGAGCGCCACTTTCTGCTGGTCCAGAGCAGTGCAGCACCAGAGAGGCGTCAAAGCTGCTGCAGGGTTGGGCGGAGAGCCGCCAGAACCCGGGGGAGGGGGCAGAGCCGACGGCGGAGCTGGGGGAGATTATAAAGGGAGGGGTCACTCATCCCAACAGGAGGTGGCGGTGCGTCCCAAGGAGACCGTCCTGACCAAGAGGAAAGGCCTGTCGGTGAGCGGAGGGGGAGGGATGCTGGTGCGCCTGGGAGGGGGGGTCTCCCTGTCTCTGGAGGACGGAGGAGGGAAGTGCGTGTACAAGGGGCCGGGCTCCTCCTCCGGAGGGAAGCTGAAACTGCCGCCGGGAGGCGGGAAGGGGGCCTCTGTGGGAGGTGCGGGAGGAGGTGGCGGGATGGGCGGGGGGAAGCACGCCGGCACCAAGCGGAGAACCAGCAGTGAAGACAGCTCGCTGGAGCCCGACCTGGCCGAGCTCAGCCTGGACGACGGGTGCAGTCTGGCTCTGGGCGTCGAGGCCAGCAACACGTTTGAGTTCCTCCCCCTGCCGCCGGAGATGCTGCCCTCCCCGAGCTCGCTGCTGCGAGACTCGCGCAAGTATAGCAACGGCAACAGCAGCGGGGGGGGCAAAACGTTTGAGGCCAAGCGCGTCGGCCACGCCTCCGCCGGCGCCCCCGCCGTGGAGCCCGCTCCGCCGCACACCGTGCTGGTGGTCATGGACACGCCCAGCGCGGTGGAGAGGGACGGGGCGCTGGTGGCCGCGCCGGTCAACAGCAAAGACGAAGACGTAGACTCTGCTGGCAGTAACCAGCCGTCCGCCTCCACCTCCGCGGTGAGATCGGCCGCCACGCCACCGTCTGCCAAGCTGCAACGGGCCCGCCGGGAGGCGGCGCCGGCCGGAGCAGCATCAGCTGCAGCAGCCGCCGCCGCCGCACGTGGGCCGGCCAATCAGGGAGCAGAGGCAGCGGGAGGAGAGGCGGTGGGGGAGGACGACTATCAAGCGTACTACCTGAGTGCCGCCTCGGAGGAGGGAGCGGACAGACAGCTGGCTGACAACCACCAGGAGGAGGAGCCGGACATCTTCGCAGGGATGAAGCCGTTGGAGCAGGAGGGCCGCATGGAGGTAAGGAAGGAGGAGCAGGTGGTGTCCACACTCATTCATAGTCCTTGCACACGCTCTGTACTCGAGTCATTGAATATAGAAGTGAGGTTTTACATCTTTGAGCGCACATAATAAACCAATGTACTAACATCCACCACTCCGCCTGCCGCCAAAACTACAGAGACCAGAGTGAGCGCTGTGCATGACTGACTGCTGCTGTGGTGTGTGTGCAGGTGCTGTTTGCGTGTGCCGAGGCCCTCCACGCTCATGGCTACAGTAATGAGGCGTGCCGGCTGGCCGTGGAGCTGGCCAGAGACCTGCTAGCCAATCCTCCAGACCTCAAGGTGGAACAGCCACAGACTAAGGTGGAGCAGCGCGGCGTCTTCTTCTGTTTCTGTTTCACAGTTTCAAGCTTCCAAACTCCAGTCAGCACATTTTATATTACATTTGTTGCTGATCCAATTTGGAAACAAGCTGCAGAAATGAACTAATTCACAAAGAAGAACTTCAAAGTCCAAATGTACTTTTCAGAAGTAGCATTGTGTCGTCCTGACGTCATGGTTCTCTGCTTGCTGGGCAGGGTAAGAAGAGCAAGGTGTCCACCAGCCGTCAGACGCAGGTGGCCACCAACACGCTGTCCAAGGCTGCCTTCCTCCTCACTGTCCTCAGTGAGCGGCTGGAGCTCCACAACCTGGCCTTCAGCACCGGCATGTTCTCCCTGGAGCTCCAGAGACCACCGGCGTCCACCAAAGCTCTGGAGGTCTGTCACACCTACATAAGTACACACGCGTTCTCTGCGAGCACACGTATGAAGACTCCTGCAGGTCAACTGCATCGGACGGTTGCAGAGTAATTTATTATCTGTCGGTTGTCACTTAATTATGCCGTAGAAACTAGGCTGGCCGCGTTAACGCCTTATTGATTTAATCATGCGTTAATGGCTTCTTTTAAAAAACCCACTGCTGAAAATGGAGGATGGTACTGTACGTTTAAATGGGACATTTTCCTTTTGAGAAAGCTCTACCGGACGCAGTACTCGATAAAAGCAAAGCTGTTTGTGAGCACTGCAAACCGGGAGAATCTCCTCAGCAGACTACTACGAGCCTGAAGCACTGCTTAAAGCGCTACGCGGCGTGCATGCAGCCAGCTAGCGTCCGCTACCCAGACAACCAGCGGAGCAAAACATCAACCACTGTGAACGAGAACACTGACGTTGACGCAATGAATGGATCCTCAAAGATGATTGACCCCTGAGACTCCTTCACAATGGCTCCCTAACCTTGTTAACCATGTTCTCAGTGTAGACTCAATTCACCCGTTGTCTGCCCTACATGAAACCGGTTTTATTAAAACTGTATATTTAGTTGACGCAGCACAAGCAGTTCTGCCACAAAAGTTGTGCTTTGATTATGACTTGATCGTTGGATAGGAACTCTAAATGGAGGAGACTCCCTGAAGGTCGTGTTTTGCAAATCGCTTCCTTCTGCCTGTATGAAGTCCACGTGTGTCTGAGGTGCTGTATGTCGTTGACATGTAGCACGCGCACTGACCGCGTGTGTTCCTTGTCCAGGTGAAGCTGGCCTACCAGGAGTCCGAGGTGGTGTCTCTGTTGAAGAAGATCCCGCTGGGCCTGGTGGAGATGACGGCCATCCGAGAGCGCGGCGAGCAGCTCCGAGACGGAAACTTCTGTGACTACAGACCTGTGCTGCCGCTCATGTTGGCCAGCTTCATCTTTGATGTTCTGTGCACCCCAGGTGAGCACCGATTGTTTGCTTGCTCAAGTAGTAAAATAAGATACTTTTTTTGCATTCTACACACTGCGTAGTGTCCTGAGAGCGTCTCGTCCTCAACTGTTACCCCGAAGAACGGCATGCTGGGTACAGCCCGATTTCTGACGATGTTCGCGTAATATTCCACTCCTTATCGCCTGGGGACACGCGTCCGTCATGGCAGGTTCCAAAGCCGTGTACCAAAGACCGCTTTGTCCGAATCAAAGCGCTACTGTCGCGGTTAAAAATGCTTCCTGTACAGAGCCGTGATTGTTGACCTGTAGTATATTGGGAACTTCCAGAATTAACATCCCTTTCACTTCTGTCCATATTGTTTGTGCAGTTGTGTCCCCAACGGGTTCCCGTCCACCGAGCCGCAACCGTAACAACGAGATGCCCGGCGACGAGGAGCTGGGCTTCGAGGCCGCGGTCGCCGCTCTCGGTAACTTCACCGTAGTCCGGATTGGATTCATGCCTGGTCCTGTCTGGGGCACTTCCCCTCCCGTGTCCCCTGTCTAAGTCTGTGGCCTCTCCTCTGAAGGTATGAAGACCACAGTGAGCGAGGCGGAGCATCCTCTGCTGTGTGAAGGAACTAGGCGGGTGAAAGGGGACCTGGCGCTGGCTCTGATGATCACCTATAAGGACGACCACAGCAAGCTGAAGAAGGTAACGTGGGAACAGATGGGTTTGAGTCGCTGCTTTATGTCTTTGTTCTGTTTGTTGAAGCTGTGGATGAAAACGTACTGTGGCACGTGGGCAACCTTCTACCCCTCCTCTTCCTCAGATACTGGATAAGTTGTTGGACAGGGAGAGTCAGACCCACAAGCCCCAGACTCTGAGCTCCTTCTACTCCAGCAAGCCGGCAGCCGGCAGCCAGCGCAGCCCCTCCAAACACGCTGCCGCCGGTCACAGCAGCGCGAGCGCCGGCGTCTCCAGACACGCGCCGCCGTCTTCATCCGCAGCGACGGCCTCTTCTGCCTCCGCCGCGGCGCCGGTCAGTGACGCGTCGACCAGCCAGGCCCATCTCAACGCAGCGCAGAACAACAGCACAGCGGGGGAGAGCGCTGCTGAGACCAGGGAGCGAGGTGAGCCCCCCCCGCCTCCGCCCGCCGGATTCAGCTGTAAAGCTCTTAGATAGACACTGACCCCTGAACGTGTTCCTTCCTCCCAGCAGCAGAGGGGCCTCCTCCATCAGGGGAGCAGCAGAATGAAGCGGCCCCCTTTAAGGAGGCCACAGTGCCCAGTCGGCTGGCATTGGGGGCCCGCTGCGGCTACAATCAGCGCTGCTGGGGCTCTCCGGTCCGCCAGAAGAAGAAACACACCGGTAGGCTAAATGAATCCATTTCCCATGACCACACCAGACACGTGGTCATTTATGAAGACAGACATACGGTGACGGATGGGCTCTTTTCGACAGGCATGGCGAGCATCGACAGCAGCGCTCCGGAGACCACCTCGGACAGCTCGCCCACTCTCAGCCGCCGGCCGCTCCGGGCCGGCTGGGCGGCCACGTCCTGGGGGCGGGGCCAGGACAGTGACAGCATCAGCAGCTCCTCGTCTGACTCGCTTGGCTCCTCGTCGTCCAGCGGCTCGCGCCGGGCAGGGGGCGGGGCCAGGGCCAAGAGCACCGACACCAGCAGGTAACCAAGGGCCTCCTCCCGTTGGAGTCACACAGACGCGTAGAAGCACGAACAAGCCGACTTGTCACGCTCAGGGGTGCTGTTAAAACCTTGTTGTACTACTTGCATTCAATACGAGCGCAGAAGGTGTGAGGCATGAGGGCAGAGGTGACCAACGCACTTCTGCTTCTATCTGTGTGTCTGTATTTGAAGAAGGACGAGATCTCAGTCCCGCTCGGTGTATTTCCCTGTGTGCAGGTACAAAGGGCGGCGTCCAGAGTGCCATGCCCCCCACGTGCCCAACCAGCCGTCGGAGGCAGCAGCCCATTTTTACTTTGAGCTGGCCAAGACGGTGCTGATCAAAGCCGGGGGGAACTCCTCCACGTCCATTTTCACTCAGCCCTCGGCCAGCGGGGGCCACCAGGGACCCCACAGAAACCTGCACCTGTGTGCCTTTGAGATTGGCCTGTACGCGCTTGGCCTCCACAACTTTGTCTCGCCCAACTGGCTGTCCAGGACCTACTCCTCCCATGTGTCCTGGATCACTGGTCAGTGTGTTTTGTGAAGGACCACCTTCTTTCTCTCCTTCCTGCTCACACATCCAATCCCGTCTCCTCCTCTCAGGCCAGGCCATGGAGATCGGCAGCGCCGCCCTCAACATTTTGGTGGAGTGTTGGGACGGTCACCTCACCCCTCCAGAGGTGGCGTCCCTGGCCGACCGAGCATCGCGGGCCAGAGACCCCAACATGGTCCGGGCGGCGGCGGAGCTGGCCCTGAGCTGCCTGCCTCACGCTCACGCGCTCAACCCCAACGAGATCCAGAGAGCGCTGGTGCAGTGCAAAGAGCAGGTACTGTGGGAGGCAGGGAGGGAGGAGTCTAGTCTAAAGTGCTCTAACTGTGTGCTGCATCAGTTTGAGAGCTCAGCTGTGGACCAACACGTCAGGCACAGACCAGGTGTCCACTGTCCTAAGACGCTGAGAGGAAAGCTTCCGGCTTGTCCATCTCATTTGAGTTGTATCACATTTTCATCACTCAGTATAATCTGAGTTGATCCGTGTTCTGCCACCACAAGGTGAACTAGACTCTTGTTCTAGTTGAAGTAAAACACTGTGCCATGTTCAAGTGCTTTGTCAAACGCGCTGTCCGTCCCCGTCTCCCTGCAGGACAACATGATGCTGGAGAAGGCCTGCATGGCAGTGGAGGAAGCCGCCAAGGGGGGAGGTGTGTACCCCGAGGTTCTGTTCGAGGTAGCTCACCAGTGGTACTGGCTGTACGAGCAGTCAGTGGGCGGGGGCTCAGGCCCGCAGCGCGAGACCTCCGGGCGCTGCGGGGCCAACGGCGGCTCGGGGAGGAGGCCCCTGGAGACCAGCTGCGTGGTCCTGGACGCCGGCGGCAACATGGAGTCGGCGGGGGTGGCGACGGTCACGGCCTCGGTCACCACGGCGGCCGTCGTGCCCGTCATCTCCGTGGGCTCCACCATCTACCAGTCCCACGGCATGCCGGGCCAGGCCATAGCCCATGCCCACAGCCAGGGCCTCCACCCCTACACCACCATCCAGGCCCATCTCCCCACCGTGTGCACCCCCCAGTACCTGGGACACCCTCTGCAGCACATTCCCCGACCCGCCGTCTTCCCCGTGGCTGGTGCTGCATACCCACAGGTCAGGACTCTCTCCATACAAAGGCTCATTGTCTTCTCATTGGTTGGTTGCTCTTCAAATGGTTAAAGACTTAAATGGCGGATAGATATTCTGTAATGTATATATTTCTATATATAAATATTTTTATATATAAATATATTAATATTTTTATATATAAATATATATATAAATATTTATATATATTTATATATTTATAAATAAATATATATATAAATATATATTTATAAATATATATATCCGCCAAGACAAATTCCTTGTATGTTTGGCATATTTTGGTAATAAATGTTTCCTGATCCTGAAGATATATATTTATATGTATATATTTATATATATATATATTTATATATATATATTACATTACAGGTCATTTAGCTGACGCTTTTATCCAAAGCGACTTGCATTGTATTTTTAACCCCTGGCTTTACCCCCTCAGGGAATGCACCCGGCCTTCATCGGGGCGCAGTACCCGTTCTCAGTGGCCACTGGCCCGCAGCCTCCGATGGCAGCCACGGCTGTGACCTTCCCCGGTGTCCCCGTACCGTCCATGACTCAGATCGCCGTCCACCCGTACCACGCCGAGACGGGCCTGCCCCTCGGCACCACCGTAGCAGGTCAGGAGAGCGCCGGGCGTTTAAATCCAGCAGCTGTCATTGTACGTGGCTCGGCCGGGATGCACTGCAGCTTTGGCCTGTCGTGTTTTACAGTAGGCAGCGTCCACACGGGCCCCACAATCCAGGCCATCCAGGGGACGGCCCTGACCTCCCTCTCCTCCCAGCCCGGCTCATTGGTCAGCACTCCTTTCCCAATAGAGGACGAGCAGCACAGCCAGCCAATCAGCCAGCAGGGCCTGCACTACCTGCATTCTGCCTACAGAGTTGGTGAGGAGTTTGTGCCCCATGATTCCGTCTCACTTGAAGCAATGCGCATACCGTACAGGGGCTCAGTGCTCAACTCTCCGCTCTTTGTGTGAAGGCATGCTGGCATTGGAGATGCTCGGCAGGAGGGCCCACAACGACCACCCGAACAACTTCTCCAGGAGCCCGCCTTACACCGAGGACGTCAAATGGCTGCTGGGACTGGCTGCGAGGCTCGGTGAGCAGCGCTGCCACTTTAACTTGTTTATGGACTCGGCACCCAGTACATAATTGAGTAGGGCTGAAGGCATTAAGTACCACGTGACGCTGGGTAAGAAAAAGGAAGCTCTCTGGGGACTGGCCACACTTTGTGCCAGCAGAAAGTCCTGTTTGAATGGTGGAGACGAAGCTGCCCACGTCCTCCACGCTGCATGAGAAACAGACATCGCTAACATTTAGATCTTTAGAGGGTTAACGGTTCCCGTGTAACGGATGGACAGTACAACAAAGACCAGGACCAGGAGGGGCTGTATGGGGTTGGTAGATAATTAACAAGTCCATATTCAAACGTATTGAAGACACGGCATGTTGTGTTGGAAACAGCCGCCCGTCACTTCACATGGCCACTGGTAGAACCAGGCAGTAACATCTGGTTCACATGGCCACTGGTAGAACCAGGCAGTAACATCTGGTTCACATGGCCACTGGTAGAACCAGGCAGTAACATCTGGTTCACATGGCCACTGGTTGAACCAGGCAGTAACATCTGGTTCACATGGCCACCGGTTGAACCAGGCAGTAACATCTGGTTTACATGGCCACCGGTTGAACCAGGCAGTAACATCTGGTTCTGTAGACAAAAAGCCATGTTTCAAGTGTCTTGAAAGCTGCATCCTCTCTGCTGTCCACCAGGGGGCGACTCCTCTGGTCCCATAGAAGTCTATGAGAAACTGATCCTACTTGCCTCTGCATTTATCACCTTAGTAAACGTTCTAAAACTGGGTTTATGGTCTCAATCTCTAGTTTCAAGTCTGTTTCAATACAGCATGATGATTATATAGTACATTCTCATCTATTTAGAGTCAAACACACCACAGAGCAGGGGACGCTTTGGGGGGGGATTTAATTACATTGCATTATCTGTCTTTGGTAACTACATAACCAACTGCCTTCGTTCCCCTTGCCTCTGCCTGTCCGCTCCGCCAGGAGTCAACTACGTGTACCAGTTCTGTGTTGGAGCAGCAAAAGGTGTCCTGAGTCCGTTCGTCCTACAGGAGATCATCATGGAGGCTCTTCAGAGGCTCAACCCCGCCCACATCCACGCCCACCTCCGAACGCCCGCTTTCCACCAGCTGGTCCAGCGCTGCCAACAGGCCTACATGCAGGTAGGCCGCTGCCCGTAGCGTCTCTGTCTGGGCTGGATGGACGAGTGGACATGCTACTCAACACAGAGGGAAGCTGGCAGAGAACATTCCAAGTGGTCCGATTCATTAGAGGTTGTAAGCGGGTTAAACCGGCTGCTGCCATCTCACGTTGAAGGAAAGTGGCCTTCTGGGCGACTCCATCACCAGCTGACCATTATTGATCAGTGCAACGTGTGGCTGCGTTAACGTGAAGGAAGGACATTTACCTTTGAGAGGCTGCGTCTAGCAGTCGTGGAATGAAACCCAGTACTTTCCACCAATACTGTCCTTCAGGGACTTGTTTCCAGTGTCATCCATCTTTTTACTTCTCTGTTAATTAGTAGTAAGTAAGTTAAAGAAGAGATCTAGGAGTCCACACCTGCTCCATTCATCAAACATCTCTTTACTCTCTGCAGTACATCCACCACCGGCTCATCCACCTGACGCCGGCTGACTACGACGACTTTGTGAACATCATCCGCAGCGCTCGCGGCGCTTTCTGCCTGACGCCCGTGGGCATGATGCAGTTTAACGACGTGCTGCAGAACCTGAAGAGAGGCAAGCAGACCAAGGAGCTGTGGCAGCGCATCTCCCTGGAGATGGCGACCTTCTCCCCCTGAGCAGCCCGCGCAGCCCGGGGGAGCGTGTGCTGGGGCCCGGGCCAGAAGAGCCCCCATCCTGCCCCCCCCCCCCATCCAGCGCCGCTACTGCCAGCGCACCCGGCGGGCCGCCGTGCTGTCGGGGAACGCCGCTCTCCACTCAAACAAACACCGCAGACAGGCGATACAATCGGCCCCCACCCTCCTCCCCACCCACAGAGACTTGCTACGTGTGTTGGGCCTCAGGGGGAGGAGCTTCCCGTTTTATCATGGTTCATGTTTGTGTAACTGTGGAAATTAAAGTGTACTCCTTCCTTTCTTCATCTTACTCGCCTCTTCCGTTCCCCTAAACTGGAGACGTTGACGGGGACCCTCAGCCGCCCTCCTCCCAAATATTCTTTGCTTTGTTTTGGTTGGATGTGACATTCCTGTCCAGAGTGCCGGGCTTCCTGCACCGAGAGCGTGTCACTGTGGACCTGAATGTTTGCCGTGTGGGAGGGAAAGGAATACTTACGAGGGGCAAACGGTCCAATACCAGAATTTCTATTGAGCACGGTGAGGACTTTTCAGCATTTTGTTTAATCTTTTGATACTTTGTATAGAATATGACGTGTATGTAGAGAGGGACGGGATGAGAGAGGGGGGACGTCAAAGGTGTCGTCGTTGTTGTTGTTATCGTGTGGGATTCATATTAACATTTCAGCCTGCCTGAGGAGGGACCAGACGGACCAGAACCAGCGGCTCCTCCAGGTGTCCAGTCAATTCATATGTATTCTTTGGTTTGTGTCGGAGCCCATAAAGGCCACGTCACTTAATAACGTTTATTTGTTATGAATCCTTTTTTTTTCCTCAAATAATTCTGCAAAACTTCAGCCAGAATAGAATAGAGTCCAAAAGGATTCACGTCAAGGACGTGTTTATGTGGCGAGAAACCAACAACTCCACGACGCCAGTAGTTTTAAATTCAAAGTACTACACACACACACCCCCCAAACTACAGCCCCCTGTGTCCTGGGACCAATCAGATGCATAGACAGACCCAGGTGCTCCCTGTGGGGGGGCTGAGCCCTTTTCTTCTCTTCAAACCAAAACATGGCTGATCTCTGGAGCTTGCCTACGTACAGCTTTGGGTTCAAAGCCCCCGCTATAACTAGCGTTGGATCTTCAGTCCCCTGTTGGTGAGACGGGGTGGTGGGGGGGGGGGGCGTTAGCAATGACACCATTCTGGCCAAAAAGACTTGCTAATGCGTACGTCTGGTTTCTCTGGAGCGGGATGTTGGAGGAGCGGCGGGTGGGACGTCTCATCCAGGACTCCTGCAGCGCGAGATGAGCACCTCTGTTTGCTGCGTGGGCAGCTGGTAGACTTGGTGCTGATACCTTAGGAAGGTCCGTCCCTGCTTGGGTCTGATCCCTGCTCTTTGATTGGCTCTGGACCTCACGGAGGAAGGCGACGAAGTAGAAAATGTACTGTAATATTTTTGTATTCCTCAAGTGTAGCTCGATTGAAAAGTTCTATATGTGCAGATTGCAAAAGGTTCTAATTTAGAGTGAAAAGAATAATAAAGAATAAAAGCAATACTTTAAGTGTAGAGTTTACTTAATAAAGATAATTCCAAACGGTGACTTGCTGTGACTGATGTGTGGGATTCAGAGGTCACCACTAGAGATCAGCGCCTCGTCGTCCTCTTTCTCTTCCCCAGCGCAGATGTTTCTCATTTCTGACCCTTGTTAAGGGAAGACTTCACCCTCCGGTTACCTGGGATTGCATCCACGGCCAACGAGGAAGCTTAGAAACAAAAGTCCTTAACAATGTTAAAAGGATATGGAAACAACTCGTGTGATTTGTTCCATGTGTCGGCCATCTATTCCCTACGATCACTGCCTGCCCAACGCCCGCCAATTGGTGGAGCGCTTCTTTTTTATTTAGATCAACGGCATCGGTGTTCCAGAAGAACTGCGCTAAAGTCCATTAGTTTGGACCGGGTCCGACTCGTACTACTGATAATCCTGTCTCCTTCCTTTGGGACGTTTATTCCTGAGCTGACGATGGAGAAAACACATCGCAGTGCTCTAAACCGCTCCCTCAGTGTGCCGTCCTTCACCCTCTGCCCCGCTACTGTGTCAATAGATGGTACACTGACCCCAGCTCAGTGTGTGCACACAGATGCCCCACCCGAGTCCAACAGCCAGCTAGCACACACACACACAACATGGCCTTATCTATTTCAACACGCCCTGCACGACCTCTACAGAGAGGTACACACACACACACACACACACGCGCGTACACACGTTGCTTATATCACACCCCCTCTTCTGGACCACAGGACAGTCCCTCAGTCGGCTTGTCTCACGTGGAGACGTCAGCAGTCTGCGCTTGTTGCAGGGCTCCAAACGTTGGTGTAGAATCAGCTGACCTGGTTACAGACCTGGACTGAAAATGTAAATCCACTAGATCCCGGGATTGAATCACAACACGGCTGGAATCTGTATTGTGATTTACTCCTTTCAGATCAACTGTAAACTCTGATGTTGACGACACGGCATTAAGTTTGCTCAATGCTTTATAATCAAAAACACTCCACCTGTATAAGAATAAGTCCATAACCCGATAAACTAGAGCATCCAGACATGAAGTTCCCCACCTGATTGTTGACCAGATGGTTACAACATCCTGAAATGTCTATTGTCCCATAATGCAACTCCGCAGCATGTTTTTATTGGACCCTGTTTGCCCAAAGCTCAGCGTCCTGTCCCACACTGCACATCCCCTGTCCAGGAGGACGGACTGAGGGGGCTTGCAGCATGTCTGAGGTCCACTCAATGGATGATGAGCCAGGGTGAAGCATCCAGTGGACGCGTCCAGTGCGGTAGTGGTAAAATTAGAGGTGGGTAAACTCTGAATTTTGTGATCATACAGACCTCGACGCGATGCGAAGCAACGCAACACAAAGCGTTGCGACTCTTGTAAGGCTGTCCTGGCTATATTGCATTATGTTATCAGTAAAAGTCATATACAATCAATGACAATGAATACATGTGTATGAACAACATAAGTTAAAGGAACACTCATGTACTACCTACGTCATCATAAATAGCCCATACAGCATGTTTTTTTCACATTGAGAACTGACTTGTTTTCTAATCTACACGTCACCAGGCGTTTTTCTTTGTCCTTTTACCACGACCAGCGAACACAGCGCGCGACTACTACCCTCCCCGTCGGACCTTCTCGACCGGTCCGCGAAATATTGTCTGACATGAAACCGGTCCGTGAGGTAAGAAAGGTTGGGGACCACTGGGCTGATCCACAACGTGTGTTTACACACCTCCTGGATCCTGATTGGTCGCTGCTGCAGCCGCAAGGCACTGATTGGATGCTCACAGACCGTAATACAGCGCAGATGAACATGATTCAGACTACGGCGTTTATATGTTCAACAATAGGAAACGTAGTCTTAGCTGTTTTAAAATTACACCAAATTTATTTCGGATTATACCAAAGGAAGAATACAAGGCGCAGAGAACTTTGAGGTGCGTAAACACTATTTATAGGTGCGTAAACGCTATTTCCAAAATTATAGAGGTGCGTAAACGGCGTTTACGTGCGTTTACCCTCCACTACAGCCCTGGTTATATTATATAGTTTATCACTATATAATCATTTTTACTTGTATGGTGACTAACCATTTAACTTCATGCCCCCTCAACGATAAAACATATTAATTAATTAATGAATTTAGTATTTAGTAATAGAACATAACAAATAAAAAAGGACAACTAGATGTGTTAATGATTGTCTTGAACATCAACCCCGAGAACAAACCTTCTGATTCGTTGGCTGATTTTAGTCACTAAAGATGGTTGAGATAAAGTTACCATTAACATTGGAGTGAGTAAATTATCCTATTAGAATATTTAGAATTTGTCATTTTGGGAGCAGTTAACACACATTTGTCTGATCCGTTTTTTATCATATTTATTTATTCATCTATCTAAACTGTAGGAATGTTGAATGGCTGCAGCTCGCATGCTGCAGCGTGGCGGTTCATTGAGTTTCTGATTGACAGCGTGGGAGAGAAGATGTCGTCTGTCGCCCAGCAGCAGAGAGAACGAACAGACATTCGTAACTCTGGAGTTGCACTTGACTGCGACATTAGAGACGCTCACACGTCCCGATGAACTTGGGGTTTGAATTTGCTTTATTTGTAGAGAATTGAACTTGTTTGTGCTTTGAGTTGCCTGACTTCATTTTTTAGAAGCATTCATGTTTTAATCAAAATGTTCCATATCGGAAACATGTTCATTGACTAAATATTCTCTTCTTCTTCCGCCTGATGTCTGATTACAGGAGGAAGTGAGTCAACAATTGAAATCAGGCTTAAAATGTCGACTGAAACCTTTGTGTGTCATCAAATACACAAACGCTCATTAACTCAAGATCATTGTTGTTTCACTTCATTCAAGTCAACGAGTAATAAAGAACATGTGATTCTCTTTGGTCTGAAGAAAACAAGATGGATTCATTTGGTTTTATTTTTATTCAAATAATAAACAGATGACATATTTAACAATAATAATAATAATACAATCATTGGGAAAACATCTGAAGCAGTTCCTGAGAAGAGAGAAAAGAAGAAAAGTTATTAACATGTTAATGTTAGTGTGTGTGTAAATCTAATTGTTAGTGTGTCTGTGTGTACATCTAAATGTTAGTGTGTATGTGTGTACATCTAAATATTAATATGTCTTTGTGTACATCTAAATATTAGTGTGTGTCTTTTTTTTAGAACCAAATGATAGTGTGTCTGTGTGTACATCTAAATATTAATATGTCTTTGTGTACATCTAAATATTAGTGTGTGTCATTGTTTAGAAACAAATAATAGTGTGTCTGTGTGTACCATCAAAATGTCGATCTAAATTTTGCCACAGTGCCAAATGTAAGTGTGTCTCTGAGTACATCTGTGTGTGTGTGTCATGAGTAGATCTAGGTTTGCTCCGGAGGGGTTGACGCGGCGTCCTGATGGAATCCTGATGGCGTCCCGATGACGTGGCGTCCTGATGGCGTCCCGATGACGTGGCGTCCTGATGGCGTCCCGAAGACGTGGCGTCCTGATGGCGTCCTGTTGGTCTGCAGACAAGGAGAAGAGACGTGAGGAGGATCATCAGGGTGTGCCTGTGTGTACATCTAATTGTTAGTGGGTCTGTGTGTAGATCTAATTGTTAGTGTGTCCATCTAATTGTTAGTGTGTCTGTGTGTAGATCTAATTGTTAGTGTGTCTGTGTACATCTAATTGTTAGTGTGTCTGTGTGTACCTCTAATTGTTAGTGTGTCTGTGTGTACATCTAATTGTTAGTGTGTCTGTGTACATCTAATTGTTAGTTTGTCTGTGTGTACATCTAAATATTAGTGTGTGTCTTTGTTTAGAACCAAATGATAGTGTGTCTGTGTGTAGATCTAGATATTAATGTGTCTGTGTGTACATCTAATGGTTAGTGTGTCTGTGTTTACATCTAAATATTAGTGTGTGTCTTGGTTTAGAACCAATGGATACTGTGTCTGTGGGTAGATCTAGATATTAATGTGTCTGTGTGTAAATCTAATTGTTAAGTGTGTCTGTGTGTACCTCTAATAGTATAGTGTGTCTGTGTGTACATCTAATTGTAAGTGTGTCTGTGTACATCTAATTGTTAGTTTGTCTGTGTGTACATCTAAATATTAGTGTGTGTCTTTGTTTAGAACCAAATGATAGTGTGTCTGTGTGTAGATCTAGATATTAATGTGTCTGTGTGTAGATCTAATTGTTAAGTGTGTCCGTGTGTACCTCTAATTGTTAGTGTGTCTGTGTGTACATCTAAATGTTAGTGTGTCTGTGTGTACATCTAAATATTAGTGTGTGTATTTGTTTAGAACCAAATGATAGTGTGTCTGTGTGTAGATCTAATTGTTAATGTGTCTGTGTGTAGATCTAATTGTTAGTGTGTCCGTGTGTACATCTAATTGTTAGTGTGTCTGTGTGGATCTAATTGTTAGTGTGTCTGTGTGTAGATCTAAATATGAATGTGTCTTTGTGTACATCTAAATGTTAGTGTGTGTCTTTGTTTAGAACCAAATGTTAGTGTGTGTGTGAGTCGCGACATCCCTCGCAGTGTGTGGGTGTGTGTGTGTGTCATGAGTAGATCTGGATTTGCTGCTGAGGGGTTGACGCGGCGTCCTGATGGCGTCCCGATGACGTCCCGATGACGTGGTGTCCTGATGGCGTCCCGATGACGTGGCGTCATGATGGCATCCTGTCTGCAGACAAGGAGAAGAGACGTGAGGAGGATCATCAGGATGTGTCTGTGTGTACATCTAATTGTTAGTGGGTCTGTGTGTACATCTAATAGTTAGTGTGTCTTAGTGTACATCTAAATGTTAGTGTGTCTTTGTGTACATCTAATTGTTAGTGGGTCCGTGTGTACATCTAATTGTCAGTGTGTCTGTGTGTACATCTAAATATTAATGTGTCTTTGTGTACATCCAACTGTTAGTGTGTGTCTTTGTTTAGAACCAAATGTTAGTGGGTCTGTGAGTACATCTGTGTGTGTGTGTGTGTGGGTGTGTGTGTGTGTCATGAGTAGATCTGGATTTGCTCCTGAGGGGCTGACGCGGCGTCCTGAAGGCGTCCCGATGACGTGGCGTCCTGTTGGTCTGCAGACAAGGAGAAGAGACGTGAGGAGGGTCACCAGGATGTGTCTGTGTGTACATCTAAATGTTAGTGGGTCTGTGTGTAGATCTAATTGTTAGTGTGTCTGTGTGTAGATCTAATTGTTAGTGTGTCTGTGTGTACATCTAAATATTAATGTGTCTTTGTGTACATCTAAATGTTAGTGTGTGTCATTGTTTAGAACCAAATGTTAGTGTGTCTGTGTGTACATCTGTGTGTGTGTGTGTATGTGTGTCATGCGTAGATCTGGATTTGCTCCTGAGGGGTTGACGTGACGTCCTGATGGCGTCCCGTTGACGTGGCGTCCTGATGGCACCCTGATGGCGTCCCGTTGACGTGGCGTCCTGATGGCGTCCCGTTGGTCTACAGACAAGGAGAAGAGACGTGAGGAGGATCATCAGGATGTGAGACAAGATTCATAGATCCAATTATTTTAATTTGATGCACATTTTAATTATTTCATGTTTGTATGGATGTGTAAATCTACATTATATATTTGTGGTTGTTAAACTGTATTTCTGTATTTGCTTTTTATGTTTAGCTAGTCACTGTGCATACCAATATGTTAGTGCGTCTCTGTGTAAGTACTTTTTACATTACATTACATTTCATTTAGCTGACGCTTTTATCCAAAGCGACTTACAATAAGTGCATTCAACCATAGGGTACAAACTCAGAAGTGCAATTTCCTCAAATAACTTTTATATGTTAGTGCGTCTCTGTGTAAGTACTTTTATATGTTAATGCGTCTCTGTGTACATCTACATGACAACAGCAGGAATCAGAGGTTTATCTCAAGGTATTAGCTTTAAATCACAGCCTTCCCCACCCGATAGACCAATACATCATTCACAGCAGTAAGGCTGCAGTCTGTCTGGATTCCTCACTTACCTTGAGCTCTGTTAAGTGCAGCAGAACGCGTCTTCATTCCCTCTACAGACTCCTGAGGCATTACATGGTTGCGTTCTGCAAGTGTAGGTCCGGAAAACTTCAGTGTGTAGATGCGAGGTTTGAAACTGACTGACTGGATGTGCAACAGACTGTGTTCTTATGCTGTGGTGAACGGAGCATAGAACATAGAACATGGAACATGGAACATGGAGAAATGTTCCATCATGATGTAACGTCTCTATGGTTACAGTGAAGGTATCTACAATATGCAAATGAGCCTTTAGAGTAAATGTGTGTGTGTATTTGTATTGATGGAGCTCATCCACTTGACATGGTGCATAAAACACTTTGCTCTACTTGTTTTTTTCTATGACCCCATCTTGATCTTGAAAGCAAACACTTAAAGAATAAATAAAGAACGATTTTTGTCCATTGTTTCATCAAGTCGGAAATTTGTAAACTGTTGAATCCGGATTTTTAAACATCCCTTTCGAGCCCTCTTGTCTCCAGTCTTCATGCTAAGCTAACCAGCGGCTGGCTTTAGCTTCACGTTGAGCGCGCAGACATGAGAGTAGGGATGAGTATCGTTTGGGTTTTCCGATACCGATCCTAAACAGCCTGAACCCAAACACAACTGAAGAAAAGTTTTTTTTCACTTCAAACTATGCACAATATATGAACTTTTGAAAGTTTACAGTATGATTACAGTGTTTCCCCTCTGTAACAGCGGAAGTGTAGTTAATTGGAATTTGGGGAATATTAATCATTTAATCTGAGATTCATGTTCATTGTGCAGAACTAAAGACATTTATTGAAAAGCATTTACGTTAGATTGACGCCCCTTGTTTGTCTCAAAGTATTGACGTGCAACACAGAAGAGCTGCATGAGGCACGAGAGCACATCGCTTTTCTATTGTGTAGAGAAATAAATACGAATAGAAGGCAGATGGCTAGCTAGCTGCTGTAGCTACACAAGCGGTGAGCCATCGTTAGCTGCTGCGAGGACAGAGTTATCAGGCTGTTTCATTCGGCTGACCAAACGTCCTCTTTTCCCCGGACATGTCCTCTTTTTGAGACCTAACAAAAACGTCCGGGATTTTGCTTCGTCGTATATTTGTGTTTTTCTGGGTCTTTCACAAACTAGTTATTACGCCCATACAAGTGTTGTAAATGGTGTCTCACTTACGTTCCACCTTCTTTCGCGAGCTCTGACTGTAGAGAGAACAGTCATTGGTCGACCGATCTCAATGTTGCCAGATACACGATAATTATCCTCCAAATACGACCATTTTGAGCCTTTGGTACGATACTTCACCATTTACAATCTGGCAACACTGAGCACTTTGCCGCCTCCACTAGCTGCGTTGTTTACAGCACATGACATCTGCAGCCGTGCCGAAACTAAAGGTAAGTTTACGGACGAACTAAAAGAAAATACCATGTTTTCGCCTCGGCCGTGATGCTTCGGAAGCTTTTCTTATTTTAATATGAGGCTATATAAAGCATTTACTATTTATTATTTGTTTATTTGTTATCATTATGGCTTCAATATATGGACAAGACACATTAAAGAAGCGCTGGACTAAATCCCACAAAAAAGATTTGTTTTACATTTGCACTTTTCAGTTTTGTTAAAGTTCAATAAATAGATGTTCATATAGTCATTTGTGTCATTTTTGTAATTTCATTTCACCAATATGGCGCCGGTGCTCGGTACATAATCCTACATGAGAGTGGTCAAATCAACTATTGCTAAGTAAAGGTTTGGAATAGCTCAAATTCAACGAACAATATCTATTTAACTCTCATTCATTACCAAAACAGCTGGGCATGGTGAAGTCTTTGGCACTGCGTTTATTGGAGGCTGTTTAAGCCCCTTCTGCTGGAGCACAATTGTTTCTTCATTCATCAAAATTTTAGAATAACTATTACTCGCACTGTCATCAAATCCCCCCAAATGTGTTTTGACATTCGACGGGGCATTTATTTATTTCTTGTGAGAATTTCACCGAACTGCTCCGCGGCGCCCACAAGCCGCGCTCCTTCCTCCTCCTCCTCCTCCTCCTCCTCCTCCGCCTAGTGCTCGTGCAGTGCTGACACACAGGTGATGACGGTGTTTGTGAAATCCCCCGACGTCGTTTAGTGGTAAATTACTACCAGTACAGATATTTTTAGGATGAAAATAAAAGAAATAAGCCTCGCCACAGCTCCGTCACTTTCTACCCTGTCTCCTCCACCTGTCACTCACCTAATCAGTTCATTCAGTGCACCTGCTAGTCACAAACACTACTGAGACATCACATATACGTGTCCCCATGTCTGCTGGTCCCCCCTGCCAGACAGATTGGGATCAATCTAAATCTATTACAAACTCAATTTGAATATTTAATTGTGCATTACTTTGATTACATTTTACATTTGATTTCTTTGTAAAATAATACAAAAGGTATCCAACCAACTCCTGGCTCCAACTCCATGACCTTTGACCTCTTCCCAGTTGCTACCGTGTGTTATATGTGTATATATATATATATATATATATATATATATAACACACACACACACATATATATCACACATACACATACACACAACGCACCATTAGTCCTCCGCGTCATCATTAGCACTGACAGCTTAGCATCGTGGTGTCTTCCTTTGGACGGAGGTAAACTTTTAGCCCCCCCCCCCCGGCAGGACAGACTTTGGTGAGTCCCACCTTCAGTGGATCCCAGAAGGCAGACCAAGCGGCGATGTGCTGAAGTTCACTTTGCACTCAGAAAGCTGGAACTCGTCCTCCATCCCTCCTGTCGGGTCGGGTCGTGTTGGGAGCGAATGCTGGTAGGTGCGACACCGCTGACGGACCCGTAACAGACACCGAGCCGAAGCCCTTTGAAGTCCGTGGAGGATCGGTAGTTAGCTGCCGTAGCATCCGCAGCTAACGTTAGCGTTAGCGTAGAGTGGTTCTCGTTAACGTTACGGGACTGAGGGCTGAGCCGGGAGTCTGTGCTATATGTCGGGTACTAATATGTCAACGTCAGCGCCACCGAGGGAGCAGTATACGAACAAGGTGCAGGTGACCGCTGCGCTCACGGCTGCGCCTCTAGTAAGCTGGCGTTAGCTACGCTAACATTAGCTACATTGTGATATGTACCAGAGCTAGCCCGTAGCATGCTATCCAGTTAGAATGACCGAAGAGCAAGCTGGAGATAAACAGTCCCCCCCGCTTTTTGAATAACATGTTATGGCACTTTATGTGTGATGACACCGACGTGCTCTTTAACGCGTATTCTTGCATTGTTAATTAAGGTGGCTCATTTGCGGTGTTACCAGCAGTGTAACGGTAACGTCCGCTGTGCGGTGACGAACGTGCCGTGTAGCTGACGGTCCTCGCACCGGGAGCTCCGGGCTGCGGGTCGCCCGCCGCAGGCACCACTCCCGGTCACCAAGACCCGTCACTCCGTCCATCCACCGGGCTGCGGGTCACAGCTGCAGGCACCACTCCCGGTCACTAAGACTCGTGACTCCGTCCATCCACCGGGCTGCTGGACTGCGTGTATGTTTGAGTCATGTCAAGGGAAATATTATAATATAAGGAACCGTAAAAAGTCACTTGTTGAACGAGGCTGGGGAGAAACCCGGTGTTGTCGTGCCTAGTGGGGCATTTCCAGCCCGGATCAAGTGTTGGACTGACTTGAGTTGCAGGCACGTTGCTGCCATCGGTCACTCTCTTGTGCAAAGTATCCCAGTTTGATCTGAATACAGATCCTGCAGGAGAGTAGAAAGGGTCACGTTGTAAAGGTCAGATTCTGTAACCTAGTTAACCTCTGATCAGGTGTCCCGTGGTCTTACTGATGGCGTTTCGGTGCTTCATAGTAATACTTTATTTACACTGCTGTGACTCCGTCCTGGCAGCAGCGAACGATAGCTACAGCAGCTAACGAGCCGTCTACCTTCTATTTATACTTATGTAAGTCAGTGTTTGCCTCCATCATTGAAGTCTGGGAGTTTTTTTTGTTGCTGCAATTGAGCTGCAGACGCAGAGACTTCCGTTCCTCGCGCGAATGACGGGCTAACAAAGCAAACTAAACATCCAAATAAAGCGTTCCGTCACGCGGTGGAAAGCGACGTGCTCTCGTGCTTCATGCGGCTCTTCCGTGTGGCACCTGCTGCGATCATGACGTCACCACATCGGGACACACAAGGAGCGTCAATCCAACGGGTTAAAACAGGCACGAACTCCAAATTCATTAGTCTACATAAAGATTGAACATTATCATTAACTTTATTATTTTGTCTTTTGTAATTTGAAAACTGCTAATAAATGAAGCCATTTTTATCCATAAGAAAAAAGTAATATGTGACCCCCTTACTTGACTGAGCAAGCGAGGCAAAAACCCATTTTTTAATGTTTATTGCTCTGATCCAACAGCAGCGGCGCTCTGGTTTCCCCTCGGTATGAGTCGATATCTCAGGAGCGCCTGCAGAGAGGTTCTGAACGCTTATTTACAATGTGAACCTCACAAACACCTTTTGACCCAGAACTCTAGCATTAATTAGATTTCCACATTTGCTCAAGTGATGATATTTTGGTCAAAGGCTGCAACTAATCATTTCTTTGATTAATTGGATTAAAAAAAGCAGAATTTAAAAAGTATTACTTTCCAACCCTGTATTCTAAAACTGCAAATTTACAGTGCAAAATAAAACTTCAGAAAGTGCAAAAAAGGGTTGCTCCGTCAACATAATAATAATAATTCATAAATATACAAATCGGAAAACTTGACAGGGTTTATTTGAACGTCGGGGCTTGTTGTTGGACCTCTGGTGCCGGGCCATAGAGAAGGAAAAAAATTCTATTTGACATTTTGTTTTGAAAAATTGCCTTGTCCTTGTTGACGCATTTCCAAGCGCTGGCGGGTGCAGTTTCTACTACTCCTCCGCTGGTCTGTAAACATTTTTCCAACATTGAACAGTCTTCAACAATTTGAAATGAGGTAGATAATTTGCTCAGATGATTAATGGGCGTTCCTGTACTACCCGTTGAGATCAGGGCGTCCGTATTGTTTTTGTGTTGAGTGGTTAAGTTCATAACTTCCATCACCAGAGCGCTGACACAGTGACGATGTCCCGTCGTTCAAACTGTCCGGCTGCTTTGCATGAAGCTGAGCCGAACCTTTGTAAGCGCAGCGATCATCACCTCCTGTGATGTCTGTCTGGTGGTTGGTGCTGACGCTCACTTTGGTGGATATTTTTAGATGTCACAGCCAGGTGTGTTTGAGCAGGATAAACTCATCAGTCACTCCTGGAAAAAGGCATTGAACACTAACAAAATACAGTAGTTATGCATTTTCTGGAGTTCATGATTCAACGCCGATCCAAAAGAGGGTGTTTGCAGATCCAGTGATCTCAAACCTGACAAATCAAGGGTTTCTTTCACAATGATGCTCTTTCAGTGCCGGTTGATCTGCAGCACTGCAAAAAGGAAAAGATGTAGTGACTGATTTTAGTCAGCCACCCGGCTGGGTGGAGAAGATCCTGCAACAGATTCCAGGTCTTTAGTTTACTTTTTATTGTTCACAACTGATGCTACACAACCTTCTACAACTAGTCTCCGTCTTTAGTTGTGGTTGCGGTGCCAACTGTGCGATGTCCCCGTCCCCCATGCACCATCACCCCTGTCACTTCCCCATATGTAAAAGTCCTGGCACGCTAACATTCACTGGCTTGCCTCGTGTTTATCAGCCTGTGAGCGATGCTCCTTCTCTTCCCTCGCAGAGGAGACACCACGTCAGAGGAGCTCCGTCAGTGTAGAGGTGACAGAACACCACCTGGCGCTTCTCGGTGGAGCGCTCTGATGATGGTGCTCTGAGGCATGATGGGAAGAAGGGGCTGAAGCCCGCTGGAGCGGTTTGCTTCAGCCGTTGAAGGGCATTATTGGTGGTTTGTCTGGAAGGAGTAGCAGGAAGGGGAACAAGTGGAGACACGGCAGGTCGGCTGTAATGACTAGTTTGTTCAGGAAGCGCCGCCCTCTTTCCCCACCATGACTGCGGTCTACGGAAGGTTTTTCAAAGGTGTTTGATTTCATGTCATGGAACTGGGGATGTTTCCATGGTGCTAAAACTGTTGTAACTTGGATAATGAAGTGGTACTTGTAAATCCTCTCAGGTAGCAGTCGAGTGTTGAATATAATTTCCCCTTGTTTCACAATTTTTTTTCTTAATCTTTGTTTCTTAACGTTGTGTTTCCTTCCTTAAATGTACGAAGGATGTCAGTGTTCTGCGAGTTCCCCGGATGGAAACCAGTTCTACTCATTTGTTTCGTGGTAGTCCTTTTATTTTGATGTGGCCTTGGATTCTATGATTCATCTGTGAAATAGCTTTTAATGTTGTTTGGTGGTTGACGGTTGTTGTTTTGGGTGAGATTTTAGCTTAGTTGGGTTCACTGCTTCTCTTCACCTGTCGGTGTGGCTCCGTGTGCGCCTAAGCCCCGCCCCCCTGGCCTACATTATGCTTTATTGAAGATACTTGAAACTAGAGATTGAGACCATGATTACAATGTTTACTGAGGGAATGAATCAAACTCGCTAGCCCCCTGATTACAACACTGATGCAAAGCTAGCAGTGTGGAACAAGAGAGCCTCGCAACCAGAGAGTGGAGCAGCATCCACGCAGCGCCAAGCACCACCCTCACCTCGTTCTACATGCAAATACTATGAATACAGAACCAAATGATGGGTAACAAATATGCTAACTGCCAAGGTAGGCGTCGCTGCTTAGCAACCGCCCTTCCAGCTCATGTTGGATATTGAGTTTCTATGTATTTAACTGAACATGTCTCCCATTGTGGTCCATGTTGTGGACATTCTGTCCTCTGTGGTGATGCTTTTTCCCCAGCTGTAAGTTCCCATGTCAAAGCGTTCATGTCCTCAGTGCTCCTCTACATGGCCCTGCGCTCTCCTGGATACCGGCCTTAAATATTATACCCATGAGCCTGGGCAGGAGTTGCTACGGTGGTGAAGTTGGTCAGAGGCTGCTGACAGTTTTATCGTAACTCTTTACCGCGACCATAACGCCAAACACGCAATAGAAGTGGAAGCTCCATGATGTGATGTTTGTTGCTGCCGAGTTCTGGACTTACAAACTGCCCACATACTAGGTGTTGTTTACTTAAACTTTGTTGTTGTACTAGTTATTCATTATTTACGTCCTAATCCTTGAACTGCTCCAGCTAACGGATGATTGACTACCTCCCCCTGAATGACGCCTCCATACCTCAAGTAGACAATAGACTTCTTTTCATCATTTCAGCTTCATCCAAGTGTCATTTCCTTTCTCCTCCTCCCCCTTCCTTCTCTCTCTAGCAGGAGTCCTTTGCATGGATCTGAATCAGAGTTTTCTAATCGGCAGTATTTTCCAGGTGAGTCTCCATTTGAACTCTGAGCCATCTTGGTCAAATAGTTCAAAGTGATTAGCAAATGACATTTTTTCCTAATAGGTCCACAGGTTTTAAAATGTAAGCTGTTCGTTGTTCATCTCACCCTCTGTCCTCATCCTCTAGGTGTCATTCTGGGATGTCCAGGCTAATGGTCCAGGGGGGCTCAGCCCTGAAGCACAGAGACTACTCAAGCCCTACAGATGGACACATCCACGTGTAGAAACCTGCTCAGCTGCTTGAGTCAGAACTTCCCCCTCTTTGATCGCCTAATATTAGACACTCGATCCATCAAAGAATCGTCCAGCCTGTCCTCCTTGCATTCAGGCGCTCAGTGTGCCATGCGCTGCAGGGCGAGAGGTGGCAGGCAGGTAATGGATGATGTTGGCCATGGTGACCTGAAGTAAATGGCTATTCCTCAGCACAGATCAGTGCCGGTGTCTACTGCTCGATCCTCCTCCTCTCACCCCCCCTCTACCTTTCTGCTCTCCTTCCCCGTGGACTGCTGCCGCTCGCTGCCCGGTGCAGCCTCCCCCCTCCAACACCATGGTAGGGGCTGGCTTGGGTGTGTGGAAGCTACTGCGAGGCGTTCGCCAGCTGGAGCTCCACCGCCTCATCCTGGCGCTCATCATCTTCTGCGTGCTGTCTATGGCCTTCCTCGCTTACTACGTCTCCAACAGCCCCAAAATCAAAGAGGCCCCCCCCATGCCCTTCAGTGACTGCGGGGGAGGGGGGGTGATGTCGCTGGGAGCGAGCACCGCAGCCGCTGGAGGAGGGTCAGGAGCCCAGAGGGCACCTCTTCACCTCCCCCAACGGCAGGGCCGGCTGCGGCAGGTGAAGGCGGTGGACTACTCCAGGACGGAGCCTGTGGTTCTGGTGTTTGTGGAGAGCATCTACTCCCAGCTGGGCCAGGAGATCGTGGCCATATTAGAGTCCAGTCGCTTCCACTACCGGACAGAGATCGCTCCGGGTAAAGGAGACATGCCCACGTTGACTGAGCACAACCGTGGGCGCTACACGCTGATCATCTATGAAAACGTGTTGAAATATGTCAATCTGGACGCCTGGAATCGCGACCTACTGGACAAGTACTGCACTGAGTATGGAGTCGGCGTCATTGGCTTTTTCAAAGCGAATGAAAACTCTCTCCTCAGTGCACAGCTCAAAGGTTTCCCCCTCTTCCTACACTCACACCTGGGACTCAGGGACTACCGGATAAACCCCAATGCTCCTCTACTCTACATCACCAAGCCCAACCAGGTGGAGCAGGGCTCTTTACCAGGGGATGACTGGACCATCTTCCAGTCAAACCACTCTACCTATGAACCAGTTCTTCTGGCCAGCACCAAATCCTCTGAGGCGCTGGCTCACGTTGGACCCAGCCCCTTGCGGGCCCTCCATGCCACGGTGGTCCAGGACTTGGGGCTCCATGATGGCATTCAAAGGGTTCTCTTTGGGAACAATCTCAACTACTGGCTCCACAAGCTGGTGTTTGTTGACGCCATCGCCTACCTGACCGGGAAGAGGCTGTGCTTGTCCTTGGACCGCCACCTCCTGGTGGATGTGGATGATATCTTCGTTGGCAAGGAGGGAACCCGGATGAAGGTGTCTGATGTGGAGGTGGGTGACCTGGCATGCGACGAGAGAAATGCTGCTTTAGTTGCCTCTCCGCTTGCATGGGGTTGAATGTGAGCTGGTTCAGACGTACTTTAAACTAAAGCTTCAAACTAAACAATAACCGCATACTAACTGCACACTGCAGCACCTCTAAACAGCGTTTACGCGCCTTCTTTTCTGCCGATAGAATAATCAATAAATAACCAAAATAAATTTGGTGTCATAGAAGTGAAGATTTAGACGGCCTCACACATCTCTGTAGTGTAACGCCACGTGTCCAATCAAATCTATTTGAAACACTGGTAGCAGAATAATTCAAGCAAACAGGGTGTCGCTGACTTTGGGTGTTTTCTGTTCTGCCCTAAAGGACGACCTGCGCCATCCTGCACTCCCCACAAAGAAATGCATTAATGCTTCACACCGTTTTAAACAATCTCCACTTATCCGTATGAAAATGCTCCAAACACAACAAGTTAGAAAACGTGTTGTGCGAATGAGTCCGGAGACGTGCACCCGGCGAGGCGCATGTCCACTTCCCACTGACGCTGAGGAGAAAAGCGAGGCGTTGAATCTCTAGACGAGAGGACGCTGAACACAGAGATATCCGTACCACTTCTCCCAGACAAACCCCACTGCAGAGTAAAATAACCACGAATCAGAAGTGCCCCTCACCCTTTGACGTCTTCATCACATTCTGAATTGTAATGAGCGAGATGCGTCCTGCCGCCACCGTACGCGCCTCAGCGACCGTTCAGCGCCTTCTGCCCTCTTTCTAGGCTCATTTTACACTCGACCCGCTACGGGAGCCGTCGCTCTGACACATCAGACGATTCCAACAGGTTCACCAGAGCCGGACTTGGGAAAAGAATGCAGACATGAGACGGCACTAAGACCTCTTCCAGAGTAGTTTGTCTTCACTCTATCAGAGTAAAAGTGTCCATGAGTACTGTCCACACACATGTGTCTTGATACCGTTAGGGATTTCTTTTCATGCAATTGATTTATTTCTTCACCAGTAACCTACAAACTGATGGTTACACATCAGCACACTCTCAGGGGCTCCTGTCCAGATGAAGTAGATCCAGAGTTACTACACTGCTACCATTTTTGGAGCAGAGGCCAAAAAAACAGCCAGAGTTTAAAGAATGGTCGTCAGCAGGAAATCTGTTGGCACTAAAGACTGCACTGGGCGTTGGTCCTGTTCAGTGTGTATGAGAGCGGTGGGGGCGTCATGACTGGTGGGATATTTAAATGTCAGCCACCTGTACAAGAGCGACGCCAGACGCCCAACGATGCCCCGCTTGTAGTCTATTGTGCAGTTGATGCACTGAGATGTGAGGAATGATCTCCGAACATTGGAGGCTTCACCAGCACTGGCGGAGAAAACCCCCCAAGCATCAGGTCTAAATGACTGATGCAGAGAACCGACGTGTTCTGTCTGCGAGCTAGAATGTATTTATCTGCTAGCTGTGAGAACTGATTCATATGATCCCCTCTAAGTCTGACTAAGCAACTCTTATAAGTATTGAATGAAACCAGTAAGCTGTGTTTTTCATCCTTCCACAGGCATTACTCAATACTCAAAACAAGCTGAGAGCGCTGGTCCATAATTTCACCTTCAATTTGGGATTTTCTGGAAAGTTCTACCACACAGGTATGGATCATCTGACCTTCTTTTATGGACAAAGCTTTGTTTTAAAACAGAGCTTTGTTTCTTTGCCTTTCCTGTGTAGGAGCTTTGACATCTAATTTATGCAGGAAAAAGCCAGTCATAAAACTGCTCTCTCCAGAGCCCGTGCTTGGTTTGTCCCTTCGAGGCTACCATAGAAACGTGTGACATAGCCCGGTTTCCTGGACAACCTAGCACCAACCACACACCGAGGGCTCGGGGGATCCCGGGACCTGGTGTTTCCAGTCACTGAAAGATCCTGGGAAATTATTTCAACATTGTCCGTTAGCAGAGGATGATGCCGGCTTGCTCATGCCAAGCAGTCCTTGGACATTAACTGTCATTAACAATCTAAACCCTGAAGGGGATCTGCTCTCATTCCCGTCAGAATGCAGGGCCCTACAAAGTCGGCCGCCTGCTGTAGAAACACTCCCCACTGCCCCGCGTTCACCAACAAAACCTTTATTCACTATCAAGATCTCTGCCGGTACGGACTACCAATGGGAGCCTTCGGGTACCCCTAACCCTCTAAAGTGTTCAAATAAAACCGGTTGTAACTATACAGTTTCTTTCTGCACGGCGCTCTAGAATGAAACAACGCACACGTGTCTGTCTACATCCTGTGTAGCCCATTGGAATCCTTTTATGTAAAGTAGCAAGAGGTCAGCTGCACTAAGAACTGCTCAATTCATAAGCAACGTGGACACGGAAAGGTCAGGCCACGTTAGTCTGCATGCCAACATCTGTGTGCTGTGTCCACGGGATTTTAGGTACTGATGAAGAGGATCTGGGAGACGACATGCTGCTGCAGCACAGGATGGACTTCTGGTGGTTCCCTCACATGTGGAGCCACATGCAGCCTCACCTCTTCCACAACGTCAGCGTCTTGGCAGAGCAGATGAGGCTCAACAAGGTCTTCGCTCAGGTCAGATGCTCCATCGCTGCCGGCCTGGCAGCTGTGGCTGTATGGAAAGAGGGAGGAGCATAATCTGTGGCTACCTGGGTAGAGTCCGCGGTGACCTCTTATGTGCAACCTCTTTCTATAGGAGAGCAGCAGTTGGTGGTGTACACCATCAGCAAGCTGGACAGCTGAAGATTATATCTGAAAAACCAAAACAAGTAGAGTATCAAGGCCTCAAACTTAACGATGGCCTCCCCTCCTCTGTACAGTGGTTCCCCTGGTGCACAGCAGTATCTGGGCTGATGTCACACCTCTTCTAGCTCAACAGGAGATTTTTGTGCAATTAACCTGATGTGTAAAGTGCTCAGAAGCCCCCATGTCCGTATACGCAGGGAGGCCATACGTGTCCCAATGCTCTGTGGGCTTGGAAGGTTTCTTGAGGCTGTGATTGTCACGGAGGGCACAGCAGGGCTGTCGCCTCGGCTCTCTAGTCAAACCCAAGGAATGTCATCCGTGCATGTTTACGGGTATGATTCTCGCTTCGGGTGCGAGAGGTCCCGGGTTCAGATCCCGGACGAGCCCCCATTTGTTACGTCCACAAAGTGAAACAATAACTTAACAACCAAATTAAACAGTCAGTCAAAGTGATGTTCAAAAATTAAGTTTATTAAATGACAACTGAAGTTTTACAAATGTGGTGGAGGTAGGTACAATATAGTTGTGCCAAATAATCACTGAACAAACCAAAACTAGGCCTAACTAAATCAGTCTTCTGGACAAAAGGCTGACTGAGTTCTCTACAAACGGCAGTTTACAAAACATACAGGGATTGGCAACAACCACTAAACCTAGTGTGTCTAGACATGAAAAGACTCTAGGTGCAAAAGTGTACAGGGTACCCCGACTTACCTATGCCCTCTACCTCCTTACCACACCTAATCGCCAATTTCCCCCTGGAAACAAGTGTCACAATGACTTATTTGTCACTACAAATGAGACCGCCCCCCTAAGAGCCCACATGGTGCCTCTTTTGTGTGCAGCCCACTCAGCAGCTGGCAAACTCTGCACAGGTGGACTCCAATCACCTCCATTAACTCTGGATCCTGGAAGCACCTGCAAGACAAGGGGGAGGGGCAGAACCACACAGGAGCAAAGCTCTGCAGGCCCGTGTGGCCCTGCATGCATGTAGCTCCATATCAAGAGTACAGAAGGAAGTGCTTCTTTTTGAGTTGATTAGGTGACCGTGGACCCTACGGGGCTGGAGACTTGTCTTGGTAGCCTGTCCGTCAGTGTTGTGTGTAGGCAGCTGTGAGGTCTCTAACCGGGTAAAGCGATATAGACCCACGTTTGCTCGCCTCCCTCCTGACTCTCTTCTCCACACTCCTCCCTTCCAGGAGCATGGCATCCCAACGGACATGGGCTATGCGGTAGCTCCGCACCACTCCGGTGTTTACCCGGTTCACAGCCAGCTGTACGAGGCCTGGAAGGCTGTGTGGGGCATCAAGGTAACCAGCACCGAGGAGTACCCCCACCTGAGGCCCGCTCGCTACCGCCGGGGCTTCATCCACAACGGGATCCAGGTCAGTCCACAGGCTGCTGCCACTGCAGCAATGGGAGTGATCCATCGGCTACGATGTTGGTAGAGAGAAAATCCATGGGACACAGTTCATGTTCCTCAAACAACTCTTCTCCCCTTAAACAGCTGACATTTTGACAAGAGGACATTGCTATGAGCTGATTTCCTGTTAAACGGGTAACATGCCTCACATTCGAAAACCAGCTTGAGTTGAGCGGAGAGACACACACACACACACACGATAAATCGATCGTCTGAACTGGGCCGAAGTTCACTTGAATCCACACAGACGTCCCTGGACTTGGTTTCCATCACTCAGGTGCACGGGTCAGAGATGAAGATGACGAGTGAAGAGTAGAAGCGGTCGTCACATTCTCCACTCACAGAAAATCAGATGAAATATTCTGGATTGTTGAAGTTTATTTGTACATTTCTTTAGAGAAAGCCGTCTCCAAGAAACGTCCATCCGAAATAGTGGCGTCATGTTGAGCGCCACATTAACGTACAATCAGTAGTTTGTAGGTATGAGGTTCCACACCGTCTCTCTCTGGTAGGATCACGTTACAACGTGATGCACACTCCTTTGTGCACACGGAGTCATCATAAATTGGCTGGTTCCTGTTTTTCTACTCTCTGCTGCACCACTGTTGAAGTGTCATCAGGTCGCAGGGCGGACAGACGGCGGCTCTAGCTGCACCTGATCACACAACTTCACCTAAAGAACTGGTTTACAAATCTCCTCCCATCTGCCAATGACCTCCTTGTGTGTTTCAGGTGTTGCCCAGGCAGACCTGTGGTCTGTTCACCCATACAATCTTCTATAACGAATACCCAGGAGGCTCCAAGGAGCTGGACAAGAGCATCAGAGGGGGGGAGCTCTTCCTCACTGTCCTCCTGAACCCTGTAAGTCTGGAACTGGTCTCCCGTGACGCTCGTCCGACTAAACCAACACGCCGCCAGAACAAGCTCTTGCTTACACGAAAGGACAACAGCTGGATGTGGAATAGTTCTAGTAGTAATTAGTTCGATTAATCAACGTCATAAAGCAGAAGTACAAAATAAAACCACTTCAAAAGTTCAGTCAACGACTGAGACGAACGACCAAGAGCCGGCGTCCTCCTGCGGGCCTCAGCCTCCCCGTCATAAGAGTCTATTTATGGCACCTTCCCATTTCCTTTCTATATGATATCATTTAGTTGTGTTGTTCCGTATGTTGTCACCATATTTTTGTATTTTGAAGCACTGCGTCCTCTCAATCCAGATCAGCATCTTCATGACACACCTGTCCAACTACGGCAACGACCGCCTGGGCCTGTACACCTTTGAGTCTCTGGTGAAGTTTGTCCAGTGTTGGACCAACCTCAGGCTGCAGACGTTGCCCCCCCTCCAGCTCGCCGAGAAGTACTTCCAGATCTTCCCCGAGGAGAGGGACCCGCTCTGGCAGGTCAGAGGATTCATTTTAGTTTTGGAAGTTCACACTTTCAAATGAAATCCCAACGTTGTTTGTAATAAATTGTGTTGCTGTGATCCTCTTTCAGAACCCTTGTCACGACAAGAGACACAAAGATATCTGGTCTAAAGAAAAGACCTGCGACCGCCTCCCCAAATTCCTTGTCATTGGACCACAGAAAACCGGTACCCTTCTCCCTCTGCGTCCATTCGTCCTCATCGGAGTCTCTCTCCTGCTTATTCTAAAAGCTGCGTCTTTCTCAAGGCACCACGGCGCTTCATTCCTTCCTGAGCCTCCACCCAGCCGTCACCAGCTCCTTCCCCAGCCCCAGCACATTTGAGGAGATCCAGTTCTTCAGCGGAGCCAACTATGATAACGGGATCGACTGGTAAAGACGTGGACTCTGCCTTCAACAACGTAGGATTACAATGGATACAATGTAACGCGGAGGCTTGTTTGTGATCTGCAGGTACATGGACTTCTTCCCATTCCCTTCCAACGTCAGCACAGATTTCACGTTTGAGAAGAGCGCAAACTACTTTGACACCGAGGCGGCGCCTAAAAGAGCTGCTGCCTTGCTCCCCAGAGCCAAAGTCCTGGCAGTGCTCATCAACCCGTCGGACCGGGCCTACTCCTGGTACCAGGTGGGAACTTGTTGCTCCGCGTGTTGTTTCCTACAGCTGGGAGTGCTCCTCCTCAACGTAGCCTCTGCGCTTCGCTGCTGGTGCGCCGTCACATTGGTCTTTTCTATTTAGTGTGGCTTTTTATTTCGAATGTTCTATTTTTGTTGACTTACTAGCTGATTGTTTTTTTCATGTTCGTACCGTAATGCCCCAAAACGACCAAGTCACATTTTATACACTGTGGTAAACCATTTGTTTGTGTGGAGCGCAGCACCAGAAGGCCCACCAGGACCCTGCAGCCTTAAACAACACTTTCCATGCAGTGGTGACAGCGGGCCCCTCTGGCCCCAGGGACCTGCTGGCCCTCCAGAGACGCTGCCTTCTCCCCGGGGCCTACGCGCCTCACCTGGAGCGCTGGCTGCAGCACTACCAGCCCAGCCAGGTACGTGCACGCCACGCCCCAAGTTTACGTTCTGGTTAAACTCCTTGAAACATCTGGAGGAATACAAACGTCATGAATCACGTTACATCTGCAAAACCTCAAACTCTGCATCTACTCACCTGGTTCCTGGTGATCACAACTTGTGATCTAATAAAATGTCAATAAGCCATAGGCTATAAAACCTCTGCAAAGTGATTATATTTGGCTGTGCATGGTGTTCCTGTTCAACTACGCTGTCAGAAGTGTGTGTGTGTGTTGATGTCCTTCATCCCCACTGTGTAGTACGGATGATGTCTGACTGGTGTGAACCCGACCAGCTGCTTCTCACCCCATGAACCTCTGTGTGTTCCAGCTGCACATCGTGGATGGAGCCCTGCTCAGGTCCAACCCCACTCAGGTGATGGAGGGGATCCAGAGATTCCTCGGCGTCACTCCCATCTTCAACTACACCCAGGCTCTAATGTGTGTACCGCACACGCATACAGACACACATTCCTACACCGTGTGTGGTGGAGATTCTCATCTCTGATTAAAGCATTGAATACCAAAGTCTCACACCTGACATGGCTGTAAATTCCTAAACATTTAATTAGACATCTTTGAGCTTTTACTCTACAAACAAAACAAAGTCGACCCTTGAACCAACAATTCTTAGTCATAAATTATCTTATGCAAATATTTGGTGCACTTATCAATGGAAGCCAGCAAAGGAATCCACCACCACATTGTATCCGCTGCTACACACACAGATCCTCCCACAGCCAGGCCCTCACGCCACATTATCACTGTTCAATCAGGAATGACCTTACCTTTGCCCTGTTCAGCAAAAGAACACAAGTCCCAGCTTTTTTGGATGCTGAACACCAAGCGGGTGTGTGTCTCCGTTTCAGGGTCTGATTTTATGGATTTTTTACTGGCTGCGGAAGCTGCCGCTCTCCCCCACGGGGGGTCGGCCACGATTCTATTTACTGACCGTTCTATAAAGAGGCGGGGCTTAAAAATCGTCCAGGAAGCGCCTGAGAATTGAAATAACTGCATCTCCGCTCTTTGCTGTTGGCCTCCGCTAAAGTGAAACCTGTCCTCACACTAGGCAAACGTAAAGGAGCGGTGCAAGCGTCTTCATCTTTTATAGGCGTGAAGCCCCTGGAAGCTTTTCTCTTTTTTTCAGGCAAATTTGAGAATTATTTGGTGTGTGTGTTGGTGTGTGTGTTTCACACCTAAACACACTCCAATGGTTCCCTTCATAAATATGCCAGTTTTAGTGTGTAAATGCATTTTCGAGCAGAGGCCCGCGTTAGACCTCCTGCGTTAAACCCCCCGGCTGCCGCGGCGCGCTGGACACCTTCTCGAACGCATCGCAACGAGCCCGATGCTTCGCCCGCTCGTGTCCCTTGCACTTATTTTTTGGTTTTATTTATATATGATATATTTTTCCCTTTCCGATTCTAATGTCTAACAATACGGACAAATAAAACATTCTTGGTCTGAAAATTGCAATAATATCGCAATAAATGTCGGTGCAATAATTGCACAACAACTGTTTGATCTGGTGACCGTCCTACATGGGACACATGCTTAATGAACTGTGTGCGTGTGCAGGTACGATGACAGCAAAGGCTTCTGGTGTCAGCGGGTGGAAGGAGGTCGAGCCAAGTGTCTGGGGAAGAGTAAAGGCAGGAAGTACCCAGAAATGAGTCCTGAGGTACAGCTACGTCTCACCTGCTTCTCCACCCATAGCAGCACAGAAAAGCTCCACATTTATATCCTCCAGCTGCTGGAAATAGTTACGTTTATTTAGAAAAATGAGCACTTTTAGGAAACTGCCTTTTTAATAAGGAAAAGTAGAGCTGCTTTTGAAGGTTTACATCTTTAGTAGGAACCAGTTGTTGTTCTGTTGCTTAGAAACACAGGATTTGTTCACATATATTGCAAAACACCAGAGCATTGATATTAGAGAGACGCACCTCCGTATGCTGTGTGCAGTTCTTTTGACCTCTGACCCTTCTCTCTGCGTGTGCAGTCCCGGGCCGTCCTGGCCGAGCACTACCGCGAGCACAACATGGACCTGCTGCGTCTGCTGAACCGGCTGGGCCACGCGCTGCCGTCCTGGCTCCGCCAGGAACTCCAGAGCACCAGCTGGAGCTGAGGCCACACCCCCACTCATGCAGAAGGACAAACCCGCCACAGGAGAAGCCGGGACCGGAGTCTGGGTGAGCCTGCGTTTGGCTCTGGGTTAAACTGGACTAGCTGGACTATCGGGGGCGGAGCTGATGTCCCTCAGGGTCGCTCTGTTTGAGGAGGACACCAGCCGACTCGCCCTGTAACGCCGGATCCGTTGCCATCGTCCTGCCAGCACTGGGCAGCTCTCTGCCTCCGTCAGTGTGTGTGGATCCAAAGGACTGGGTGACCAGCAGGTTTGGGGAATAAAGAACGATCAGTCGGCCTTAAAGTGTCTAACGTGGAGTCGGGAGGGGGACACACGTCTCCGATGGGAGACAAAATGTCCAACGGGCGGAATAAGACTGTCCACATGCTGCGCACACGCGTGTTCACTGACACACGGTAGATGTGAATAGCAGGTCTGGTCCAGGCTCAGCTCGTCACCGCGTCCTGTCAGCAGGTCGATGCTTTTACCTCCATCGCACAGGTCATTAGTGTCGCTGCGCCGTCCTGCTGCTGACGCAGGACTGGATTTTTAGTCTTCATATTTCGTGACCAGAACATGAAAGTTGACGTCAACGCTCTGGATGAACTAACGGCTGGTTTTGTTTTACTGGCTGCTGAGGCTCATGGGTACTGTAGCGTGAGCAGCTGTTCAGCAGCACAAGTTAAAACTTTTGATCCGGTTTAACTTTACAAAAGTTACAAACATGAAATAAATGTTCCACATTAGTCAGAGACAGCGGTTACCTTTTAAATGGGTTTTTAGGGATTTAGTGTTGCACTTTGTCTCCCAAGAGACGAGTCAAACCAACGATGGCCGAGCTCCTCCAGCACCGCAGAGACCTCATAGCTTTGACTCCAGACTCACCGTGAATAACTAGCACGCGGGTTACACAGAGGGCACCTGGACCACGGGGAAGTACGACTTGGTCCTTGTTATTTATTTAGTCATCAAGCTGAACGCGTTTTCACCAGTTTAATAGTGAGAACTGGTTTGCAGCTGTACAGGGATCCTGCCGTGATGCGTCCTTGAGCCATTCAAGCCCACCGTGGGACGAGCACCTCGGCCAGTAGCAGGAACAACACCTGTGAGAAATCTTCTGGGAAAGCAGCACAGAATGCTGAACACACACACACACACTTTAGTCTCCACCAGAGGACCAGGGGTCAGAACCAGTATGGAGACCAATCAGAAGCTGCTGTCTTGTTTGTTTTGTATAAATGTCAAAAAGACCCACCGTGTATTATCTCTAATAAACGCAGGTTGGAAGCAACGGCTGACGCGTCTTTTCTTCCCTCAACCCACCTTCGTGTTGCCTGGAACTGTAATCAACTTTGAAGGAAAAACAAAGTGACATTTAATATAATCTCATTGTCCTCGTGTTTGGAAGGTGAGTATTTTAGGTGGTTCATGGACTGATGCCTGTGCTGGTGTCGCAGGGACGACTACCATGCACGTCCAAGTGGGCGACTGTGGGTGAGTGGGCAGCACGGTCGCCCTCCAATCAGAGGGTTGTCTGTTTGATCCCAGGCTCTGCTAAACGACGACGTGTCCTTGGGCAAGACACTTAACCCAACATTGCTCCTGTAGCTGGGACTACAGTGTGTGCATGTTAGTGACTGATGGCAGGTGTCACTGTGTTTGGTTCTCCTGTCATCAGTGCGTGAATGGATGAATGATGTCATGTAGTGTTAAAGCGCTTTGAGTGGTCAGAAGACTAGAAAAGCGCGTACAGTCCATTTACCAAGCACGTCCATCAACAGTCCCACGTGGCCTGTGAGTGTTTATAGTCAGTCAAAATACAAATGGCCTCTGACTAAATCTGACCCCAGCCTGCATGTGTAACGGTACAAATAGTGAACTTGTATATTGTAAGGTGCAGGCAGCGGTGTTGCTTATTGCTCATCAGGTTTCACTCTGCCATTAACTCTGCCGGTCGACATTAACACAACTTTTAATATTACTGTCAGAGGCTACTGCTTGTGCAAGTATATTTTAGATCTCTAGACCACCCCGTCATCCCAGAGGAACCCAGGAAAGCCTTTTACGTCATGCTCAACAAATCACCTGCTTGAATTCACTTTTATGATGTGGCAGAATATTTCGCAGAATTCTCAATGAAAACATCAGGAACTATACTATTTCAATAAAACACTAGCTAACAGATTGTAAACTTGTCATACTTTCACTGGTCCAGCCACATTTCTTAAAGGACAGATGTTCGTCCACCATTCTGACCAAGAGGCAACCGCCTCAACACAACGTCGTTGCATCGTTGTGCAGTGGGTAACCAACAACTACACATCTGCACCTCACAGGATCCACTCCATTAGCATTCATCAGACCTATAGCATCAATGAAATGACATCCATCCCCAGTCCTTCCACAAGGCTTCCCCCTCACATCCACCTCTTCCAAAGGTGTGCACATTAAATACTGTGGTAGTGACGGGGATGAAGCAGCACATCCTTGAGGGCAGTCTGTCAGACAGAACGTGCTTTGTGAGGCTTCAACAAGTCGCTTTTCTTTGTTTCCTCAATGTGTTTCTGCAGATGTGTCCATACGTGCACACTTCAATGAATCGTGGTCTCAAGTCTACGTGTTGAGACACAAGATCGATAGATCAACACACCGCTGCAGCAGTGAACAACCACAGCTGTAAGGGGCGGAGCCTGCAGAGCGCACAGTGCACTTACACACATGCAGAAACACTACATACTGTGGTACTGTGAACAGATGGATTACAAGCACATGACATTTTACAGAAACGCACAGCTGCGCCAAGACAATCTGAGTCAAAATCTGTGCAAAGCTGTTATCCAGTTTGCCCCGCCAAACACGCACACACACACACTAACACACAAACGCACACACTGGGAGGAAACATGAACTCTTCTCACACAATCTCTTACCTTCTGTAGCACACAGGCCTGATCTCCACTGGGTTCATAAATAATGCTTTAATAGAGGTTCTCTTCACGACATTCACATCATTACTGTTTTTTTGGTTAACATGCATTTGTCAAAACTGAAGTCGTACTGTGAAACTCTTCACGCAGTCAGTGAAGCACACGTCTACATGGATCGAACAAAACATGAATCACATGAACCCATTGACTCTTATAAAGCACCTTCTGTAAAACAGTTGATGATGATCCTCCCACTTTACCGAATGGACTTTTTTATGCTCCTATAAAGCAGGTTGTGGCAAACATGACGCTGTGGGAACCTCCATGTGCTCCCCAGTCACTGCTAGCATCTGTTAGCCAAAACCCCCCACACCATGAATGACCTCCGCCTGGCAGACGAGCTGAATGAGTTCTACTGCAGATTTGATAGACAATGTCCTGATCCCATCCCCCACAGCTCCACCAACCTGCTGCAGTCCTCCTCCCCTCCCTCCCCCAGCCCATCAGGTGCTCACGCCTCTTCAACTGTATCACCTTCCCCTCCCCCACCAGCAACGACCCTCTCTATTCTGGAGAGAGACGTTAACCGGCTCTTTAAAAGACAAAACCCCCCGTAAGGCAGCCGGCCCGGACTCCGTCTCCCCTCACACCCTGAAGCATTGTGCTGACCAGCTGTCTCCGGTGTTCACTGACATCTTCAACACCTCCCTGGAGACCTGCCACGTACCAGCCTGATTCAAGGCCTCCCCCATCATCCCTGTTCCCAAGAAGCCCAGGATCACAGGACTCAAGTCACAAGTCTTTTGAACGGCTAGTCCTGACACACCTGAAGTCCCTCACCGACCCCCTCCTGGACCCCCTGCAGTTTGGCTACAGAGCCAACAGGTCTGTGGATGATGCTGTCAACATGGCCCTCCACTACATCCTCCAGCATCTGGACTCCCCAGGAACTGATGCCAGGATCCTGTTTGTGGACTTCAGCTCTGACTTCAACACTATCATCCCGTCTCTGCTGCAGGACAAACTCTCCCAGCTGCACGTGTCCGACTCCACCTGCAAGTGGATCACAGACTTCCTGTCTGACAGGAAGCAGCACGTGAAGCTGGGGAAACATGTCTCAGCCTCCTGGACCATCAGCACCGGTTCCCCCCAAGGCTGCGTTCTTTCCCCTCTGCTCTTCTCCCTGTACACCAACAGCTGCACCTCCAGTCACCAGTCCGTCAAGCTCCTGAAGTTTGCGGATGACACCACCCTCATTGGACTGATCTCTGGTGGGGATGAGTCCGCCTACAGGTGGAGTCTGACCATCTGGTGTCGTGGTGCAGAGCTCAACGCTCTAAAGACAGTGGAGATGGTTGTGGATTTCCGGAGGAACAGAGCCCCACCCTCCCCCATCACCCTGTGTGACTCCCCCGTCACCACTGTGGATTCCTTCTGTTTCCTGGGCTCCATCATCACCCAGGACCTCAAGTGGGAGCTGAACATCAGCTCCATCACCAAGAAGGCTCAGCAGAGGTTGTTCTTCCTGAGGCAGCTGAAGAAGTTCATCCTGCCAAAGACGATGATGGTCCACTTCTACACGGCCATCATGGAGTCCATCCTCTGCTCCTCCATCACCGTCTGGTACGCTGCAGCCACAGCCAAGGACAAGGGCAGGCTGCAGCGTGTCCTCGGCTCTGCAGAGAGGGTGATCGGCTGCAATCTGCCGTCCCTGCAGGACTTGTTCGCTTCCAGGTCTCTGAAGCAGCTAAAAAGATTGCGGCCGACCCCTCCCACCCCGGACATAAACTGCTTGTGCCCCTTCCATCTGGCAGGAGGCTGAGGTCCATCAGGACTAAGACCTCCCGCCACACCAACAGTTTCTTCCCGTCGGCAGTCGGGCTCATCAACAGAGCCGGTCCCCCACTGACTGACTCTGACATTCCACTGGCCCCTTCTTTCTCACTGCATACGTCACTTTCACTTGTCACTTTCTGTTCGCTGGTGCAATTTATTTTTTTATTTTTACTTTAACTTTTATTCCTTTCTTTTCTAAACTAACCCATAGCCTTATACTACTAATCCATAGCATTATATTTTATTGTATTCCTCGTGCACTGTTATTATGGCAATAAATGTTTCCTGATTCATTTGTCGTCATCGTGGTCGATGGTGTCCTCCGTGTTTTGTGCCATTAATGGAAATGAGCAATACTGACTGCAGCTTTATAAAAACAAAGCAAAATGTAAATGTAAATATGCACAGGCCCACTGAGCATCCCTGTTGCAGTTTCCATAGCAACAGGGATAGTGATGTGTGTTGTGTTGGTGGGGGTAGTAGGTAGCAGGGTTCGGGAGCGAGAGGAGCTGTGAGATTAAAGTGGTTACTGTGGTCCTAGTGGGACTGTGTGTAATGAGTGATGAAGAGGAGGGGGCTGAGAGCCGAGATGGAGCAACAGGGTGTGTGTCTTTACATCCTCCCTTGTGCACATGTTCACCCAGGTGGAGGGACGATGACGCTGGCTGCCTGACTACCTCACGTCATTATCGTGCCCCCACCCTCTCCACCCATCTCCCACTACAGCTGGATAAGCCAGCCGCTAACCGGCTCGACTCGCTTACAGAACAGGGATTTGAAGATTGCATCCTCACATTTGTAATCAGATGGAAGAACGGATTATGTCAAGGTCTCCTCCATCTTGTGTACAGCCGGCGGGCTGCTGAGACAAAGAGGGGGAGAACAGAGAGGCATGCAGCTCAGTGAGTGGAGAGTAGTTCAGAGAGAGAGAGAGAGGGGGGAGAGGGGGAGAGGTCACCTGCTGATGCGAGGACGAGGATGAGGGCTTCCTATAGATCTGCACCCATCACCCGACACTTCTGAAAGGAAAGATAGAGGCTGAGCAGCGAGCATCTCACTGTGAAAGGTAAGCGCTGCTCTTACGTATGTGTCACATTCTCCCTGAATGTGTGGCTGCATGCGTTGTGTGTCTGGCTTGTGTCCATGTGATTGTGGGAACGGTGTGCAGAAGGGTGTGATGACATTTCTGGTTCTGGTTCGAGGGGGTTCAGTCCACCTCCTGAGGTCATCTCAGCACCCAGAGACGCAGCTGACGGTTTCCTTGAATGAGTCCCGGAAATGTTCCACACATATAAATCCCTGTGGCTAAATCTGTTTTAAAATAAGAAAAGGAGCGCATCAGTTTAATCTAGTATATCTGCCGTCTTAAATTGTATCTGAAAATAATTCTAGTTTCTAGATTTGCGATTCTTGTCAGTGAGCCGCTACCAGCAGGCTGAGCCCCCCACCAGCAGGCTGAGCCCCCCGTGAGCACCGTCAGCAAGCACTGACCTGTTGCTGTGCAGGTGCAAGATGCTCAACCACAGGCAACGTCTGCTTTTCTTTTAAGAGGGACAAATTCTTAGTTGAAAACATCAATGTGCCCATGTGACGCTCTATTGTTGTTGCATCAGGGCTGAGATCTGATCAAGCCTCTCGTCGAGTCCCCTGCACATTTTGCTTTGGGTTCACAGATTACGATCAATGCATCATCATTGTATCAACAAAATGTAGCTTCTGAATGATATGTTAAGAGTTGCAGGTTGAAAAGTTGCCTAAAGCAGTAGCGGTTAACTTAGTCTCTGTAACATTAATGTTGTGTGTTGAAGGAGGCTTTGGATTAATTGCACATGAAGGTGATCAAACACTAGCTGTGTTAAAATGCTCCTCCAGCACACCGTCTAAAGAGGCAACAACATCCACCAATCCCCCAAAGAGGCCACGGAAGTCTAGTGATGCATATATATATATATATATATCATATCATATTTAACAGGTACCCCATCGCTCACCCCTGGTGAGTGAACCGTACAATAGTCCAGTCTACTGAAGATGAATGCATGAACAGGTTTTATCAAATCCTGTTGAGAGGTGATAATAGGCTGATTTAGTAATGCTGTCAGTACAATGCTGCAGCACCTCCAGATGCTGTCAAAGGAGTATAGTGATATTGGGCTGCACCATGTAACTCATAGAGGGCAGGGAACTACTTTTCCTCACCAACCGGGCAAAGCACACAATATGGGCCCACTAACTCTCTATGTTGTCTGTGAGGCAAGAAGAAAAGACACTGTGTGGGAACATAAAGCACAATATCGACTGGCCTCACAAGCCCGGGTTCTCCATAATCACCTAATGCTGCAGCTGATATTGTGCTCACATAGGACCATATTAGACGCCTTTATCAGACATGCATCTACATTAGCTATTCCAGCCCAGGAATGATGTACATGGTCCACAGGGAGGAGGGGGAATGGGGCCAGCTACCTCGGTTTGACCTTTTTGCCTCGGGCTTCGCAATCAGCTTTCAAAGTTGGCAAATTAAAAAGTGAGTGGTTTAAGTGTGCACTCACTTGTTGTATTTATCTTTGAAGGTTTTCCATGGCCTGGCGTCCCGTGTCCGAGCAGCTCCCTCTGGTAGGAGCTGCTTCCTTGGACGCTACCCTCTCTGATCGGTCTCTCTTCGACACCTCTAGGAGCTCTTCACAGACTATCACACCCTGCAGACCGGCAGGGGGACTAGGTAACACCTGCAGTGAGCCACCAGAGGAGCCCTGTGCAGAACCTTCAGCTACTTCTTCAACCACTGAAACCAACTGTAGCAGTCTGAAGGCCGGTGGGGAGCCTGGCGACCGAGAGCAAACAAAGACATTTGTGAACCTATTCAATGCCCCCCCTCGGGCCTCCCTCCCTATCCACAGGAGCCACTCGGACACTTTGCCTCTGGTTCAGCAGGAAGTGCCCCCCCAGGCTCCAGTCTGCAGGACATGTGCGCCTCGGTTCCACCACGGTGGAAATCAAAGTATCCAGAACGCAGAGGGTTACTCCATGTCAGCCTGCAAGCAGCCCATGCCGCTGCAGCAGTGCAACGTCATCACCGCTGTTTGCAGAGGGGTAACCGGCGGAGAAGGTGGTGCACAGCACGCTGAGACCAGGGGTGGATGTGTCTCGTCCCCCAGGGCAGTAGCCAAAGTGCAGGGCCGTGGAGAAATGGGTCCTTATTGCAAAAAGCTACTCTGCTATGGGTCCAACAACCAACATGTCAATTCTGAGGACACGTTCGCTGCCTACTGCCACCCCCAGCCCATCCCAGCCCCCTGCCAGCTGCTGCCCCACCCGGCTGGGGCAAAGACACACAGTGACAGCAAGTATGTGGTGGCCCCTCCTTCAGCGACGGACAACCTCCCCCTACCTCGCCTCATCTCTTCTGTCAGTGAGACGGGCCTAGACGCCAAACACCTGCTGCGCTGCTGCAGCCTCAACTGCTCTTGGTCCGGCTTGCTGCCTCCTGTTGTGCCTCAGTCCCAAAAATACTTTGGCGCTGAAGAGTGCTGCATCAGTCCCGTTGGCCACGTCAGCACCATAACTCGGGACACGGGCACAATGACGGCGCTCAAAGAGCTGAGGGACGTTGGGGTGCAGACAGGACAGATGGTCACAGCTCACGTGTTCCCCCAGATCTGCCTGGTGGAGGAGAGCAAGGACGAGACGTCCTGCAGCAGAACTCTCAAGAAGTCGGGCGGCGCTTTGAAGTCGCCGGTGAAGGAGGTGAAGTGGGATGCAGAAGGAATGACATGGGAGGTGTACGGGGCCTCTGTGGACCCGGAGGAGCTGGGCGTGGCCATACAGAAACACCTGGAGCTGCAGATCAAGGAGACAGCAAGCCTTGCAGCCAAGCTGTCGCGTCAGGACACCAACACCTCCCAGCAGGTGGAGCACGCCAGCTGTCAGAGAAAGAGGAGCGGGATCATTAGCTCCATCAGAACCCCGGGGTGCTGCACTCGCAGCTCTACAGCTGTTGACTAACGGGACAGAACCTGAGCGGCTTACCAGAACCAAGGAAGAGGCTCGCTATGATGACCATTCAAGACTCGTGGTGCGAAAAAGGGAAGGAAGCAAACGATGAAAGAACATTAGCCTTTAACCATTATTTTCGGAGGGCCATCCATTCAGGTGCTACTCAATGGACACCTGTGCTAACTGGGTCCACAAATGGTTCGTGACCTCTGAGTGAGCTCTGGAAACATTGGTTTAATTGATTGGCGGGAAAAGATCATCTGTTAACCAAACCTGAATGGATCTTGTTGAACTGAAGAATGGGACAGCAGGTTTTCCTTTTGAGAAATGGGTCCACCAAAAAAAAGGTCTTGACACACTAATTCTATTTATGTTCTAGAATATTTATGTTTTCCAGACATCATTTATGAAGCCCCACAACTTTGTCTCAGCTGTGTAACTAATGTTAATGTAGTAAAAGGAGCCTCCCCTGATGAATAGCCCTGCCAAGTACCATGTGAACTGGAAAATACATCACTTGGGTGGTATGAAATAAGCATATGAAACTTGTTCTCTGCAGAGAGCAAAGACAAAGCGCTGTGGGATTCATCAGTGTCATCTGTGAAGGAAGCAGAGACTAAGAACGAGACGTGGTTGAGCATTAAGTGTCCAACACACTGAAACACAAGCGTTCGGTCCAGTATGAAGTCATCAGGTTGGATTTAGTGTAAAACAGCTGATCCTCAGCTCCGTTACTCAAATTTCCTCTATGTTTGTTTCCACCTGTGTGCAGTAAAATTCCTTGTCAGGGGAAATGTGAAGTTATCGACTCTGTTGTGCCTGTTCAGTGTGGACACACCAGACCGACATCATCGACTCACTGTGTCTCCTCACTGCGTCCGAGTCTCAACCCACCACAAAGACTTCAGTCACAAGAGGAGACGGGACACCGTGGTACGAGGCGTACAAGCCGCTCAATCGATGGAAGAGCTGCTGAAAGCAGGGCTCCAGGAGGCCTGAGGTGTGGGGGGGCGTCTACGGGCTAATAGTCTGCCTCACGTTTTAATGGACAATGTGATTGTGTGAAATCTTCAACCAGATGAGAATATGAACACCAGTTTCATCTCTTTATGTCTAGTAAGTATATAGAGCGGTCTAGGAAGGATGGGCTAGCGGAGCATAAAGCCTGGATGTAGACTGCTTGCCTCAAAGCAGGAACAATACGTTGTTACTGATGTTTGTTCTCTCGAAAATGATGAAATCTGCTTAACTAACCGACATAACCATTTTACAGTAGAGCTGATGTTTAACGTATTCTGTGGTGTGTTGAGTTTGACTTTCGTTGTTAGAAACAGCGGGAGAGATAAAGCACGTCTGTGAGACTGAGGTACATCTAGCAAGACGTCCTCTTTGACTCACTTGGATTTGATTTCCTGGTGATTTGCTTGACACATAATGGCTGCTTTCGAGAACCACTGCGGATGACCGTTGTTTTGTATGTGTAGTTGCACACAATCATTTGAGGTCCCACACAGGCATTAACGCAGGATGTCAGTTCATAGTCTTGTCTAAATTGATCAGAGCAATACGAGTGTACAAATCTTGATGCCAGCATTAAATTACTCAAACTCTGTGTATCTTCGTCTTGGTGGATCAGTGCAAAAATCAGATATTTCCACTCGGTAACATGAAGTGGCAACAGTTTTTGATGTGCGATGATTTAGTCTCCAACGGATGGCACGTAAAGGAAGCGAAGAGGTAGGTAAAATCAGGATGAGCGTCTGGTCTGGTCTAGCTACGTCCCAATCCAGCGGCTGCGTCCAACAGCTCTCCCATTGCGTCAACCCCTTCGAGTGCGGTCGACAAATGCAGCCTTCCTGCAAAGGCAATTTGAAGGACACATCTGGTGCATCCTATGCGGCGTGGCATACCGATGGACAGGATCTCGTATCTGTCCATGCTTGATCTGTCCCCGTTGATTTGAAAAGCGAGCATGCGGCGTTAGCGCGACTGCATCCAGCTAGCTAAACCTCCCGGGTGCAGCAGCCTCTACAGAAGCTTCGCACGTGTGGCTTCCCTTTCACGGCAGCCTCAAGTTTCTCCCTCAAAGTTCTTCTCTGAAACGGGTCGTGGAGGAGAGATTTGACGGCGTTCGGGTTGGGTCTTCTTGGAAGAATACTGCCTCTGCTCGCCACTGCCATGTTGTTGAAAGGGCGCCCCGTGAGACCTCGCCTGACGAGAGCGCGGGACCAGCGTAGGGCTGGCCCAATGCCAGATCTATTTGAGGAAGCTGATTGGCTAAATTATATGTCACTCATTTGTCTTAAATCAGTAATTGGCTACACTGGGCCAGATGCTTCTTAGACCCGCCTCTTTTGGGCCCCATCAAAGATTCTACACAGATAGTTTATACAAAATTACTGGGTATATTGCAAATTTCAAAAACACCAATTGTTTCCTATGGGTCAGCCACCACCGGTGTTGATTATGCACACATTGGTTTTGTTAATCGCTTGGAGGAACAAAAAGCAGAGGAAATACGCAGAATTGGAAAAGGATCCGGGATGCAAGTATGAGTAAATATTGGGCAAAACAACAACAGACCAGAGGAGCTACTAAGGAGGTATTGCCCTCTATTGGCCGGCTGCCACTGTATACAGTTGCAATCAAAATTATTCAACCCCCCATTGCACATTAGGTTTATTGGCAAAATATACAATTTCTCAGCTGTTTGCAATAAACAAATTACACAATAATTGTTTAAGTAGTTTAATGAAACTAATATTACAATGGTTTTATCCAAATTTAACACAAAATGCTACTTTTAATGACTTTAATGAATTTACTGCAGTCTCAAAATGATTCAACCCCTTCGTGACGAGCATCTTCAGTACTTGGTAGAGCACCTTTGAAATGATTCAACTCCCCGTATCAAGCACACCTGGTGCAACTAACAAGGGCTTCATTAGTTCACGTGTGCTTGAGATAGAACACATAAATACCTGGTCTGGCTCCGGGTTGGTTGACATTTGATTGCATGTTAGAAATATGCAAAGTCAAAATAATTGTCCAAAAAGTTCAGAGAAGAGATCGTTGCACAAACAAGGAAAAGGATACAAAAAGATGGCAAAAGCACTGAAATTCCCTAGAAATACAGTTGGAAGCATAGTTGGCAAGTTGAAAGTTGAAGGATCAATGGCTACACTACCTGGATGTGGCAGAAAGAGGAAGCTGTCAGCGGCTGCCACCAGATTCCTGAGGAGGCAAGTGGTCAAAAACCCTCGAGTGACTGCAAAACACCTGCAGCAAGACACCTGCAGCAAGACTTGGTGGCAGCAGGCACTGAGGTTTAGTTTGCACAGTGAGGCACATACTAAACACTGAAGGGTTCCATGCCCGGACTCCAAGACGCACACCACTACTGACCCAACAGCACAAGAAAAGTGCTGAAAACCACATAAATAAGCCACCGAAATCTCTGGTGGGATTTGAAGAAGGCGGTTGCAAAACACACACCAAAGAATATTACTGAACTGGAGGCCGTTGTCCATGAGGAATGGGCTCAGATTTCCTCAGGAACGCTCTGGAACGACAAAACTTTTGTAATATTAGTTTCATTAAACTACTTAAACAATTATTGTGTAATTTGTTTATTGCAAACAGCTGAGAAATTGTATATTTTGCCAATAAACCTAATGTGCAATGGGGGGTTGAATAATTTTAATTGCAACTGTATATCTATAAAACAACATTAAATTGCTGAAATAGGTTAATGAGTTCAGACAATGGGTGTTGATGTTTGGATCTACAGCCATTATGCATCTCTTTAAAAAAGTTGCACTTTGAGAAGAAAACTTGAATTTGAATTTGCCGGAGCCTCAAACAAGAACCTCACGCATGTAACGTACAAACAGAAATGACGCGTGCAGGACAGCACTGGAGTACTGGTACTAGTTTGAGTGTCCAGAGAGATGTCTTTGATTGAATTGTCTACTGACTCACTGTTATATGCTCATTATGTCCTCAGTTGTGCTGATCTGTGTTGTGCATGAGCCACAAGGGGGCACCCGTTAATAAATATGTCGAAGACGGCTAAAGACGGCTCATCTGAATCGTCCGCTCTTTTCCTCCGAATGCAACGTTATCTGCAAGAACTCAACCCTCACAAGCTGCGGTCACGCAATCATCTCATCATCATTCCTCAGCGGACCCGCGTCCACACACTCACACCTCTGGGCGCTACACACTTTCAAACCAGCTCATTCTACAACAATGCGATAATATTCCACTCCGTACCGACTGGTGGCAGCCACGTGCCACGTGACCACGTGTGACGTTTATATCTCTGGAGCGGAAGTGTGGGCGGAACTCGGCACAGTTTCGGGAAAATGGCGGAAACCATGAACATCGTGGAAGAAATTCGGAATCGAGTAATACTCGGGGAATATAATGTGAAGAATGTAAGTCCGCTTTTATTAATGTGTTCTGACAGTGTGGTTTCTGTCCTCTGAAACACACGCGCATTCACAAAGCGTAACGCGACGCGTCCACGAAGAGAAGCGACATGTACGTTAACTGTCACGCATCATGTGTGCTGCTACTATGCGGACACGGCAGGTCAATATCAGTCACACGAGTGAAGAGTCATATGACCGTGAACGCATCTTAATGTCCCCATTCAGCCGGTTCTACTCAGCGACCATGAACGCATCTTAATGTCCCCATTTGGCCGGTTCTACTCAGTGGCCATGAACGCATCTTAATGTCCCCATTTGGCCGGTTCTACTCAGTGGCCATGAACGCATCTTAATGTCCCCATTTGGCCGGTTCTACTCAGTGGCCATGAACGCATCTTAATGTCCCCATTTGGCCGGTTCTACTCAGGGACATTAAGATGTGTTTATGGTCGCTGAGTAGAACTAGTGAAATAGGGACATTAAGATGCGTTCATGGTCCCTGTTTCAGCCGGCCTGGTGAGCACCTTTAAATGATCCTGCTCCCTTTGCTGATGATGTGATCCCAGTATTCTGTTGTCATGGAGCTACTGATGTATGACGTCTATAATCAGCCTCGTGAGTAATGAGCGGGTGATTTTGTTGCGTTTAGGTCCATACTTCAGATTACCCTGGAAACTACCCAGGCTATGATGACACCTGGGATATGCAGAAATTCCAAAAGGTACGTTTTGGTTATTTTGGACCCGAGGGCCTGCTGGTGATGTAGTGTGATGGACGTGTTAACATCTGTGTGTGCTTTGTGGACACCCAGCAGCATTCACAGGCCTGGAGAGTGTTGGTTGGTCCGTTTGAGATTGTCTTTAGTCTGTTGATGTCTTCATCAGGCTGCTCTTGGACATACTGTCCTACGGTCCATTGTGCTTCTCAGCAATATGCTGAATCACAGCCTAATATTTCAGTTCCTGTCTTCCTCAAGGACATAAACTGGACATGGGTGTACATGTCTATTCACATCTATAAAATGCATGTAAAGCTAAAGAGCGTAGTTTGATGTTCTATGTCCAGAAATAATGCATTTTAAGTCCGACTTGGTGAATAGTACAGTGCTTTGAACCAATGAGGACTCCAATGTCTGTGACCACACTATTAAATGCAGATGTGCTCTCGGTTTGCAGAACTTCAGAATTGACATTGTGCATCTGGATGAGAGCACTATGGAGTTTGACATGGTGGGTATCGACGCAGCCATCGCCAACGCCTTCAGAAGGATCTTACTAGCAGAGGTACAGCTCCCACCCTGCACCATGCTCACGCCGCCCTGCACCATGCTCACGCCGCCCTGCACCATGCTCACGCCGCCCTGCACCATGCTCACGCCGCCCTGCACCATGCTCACGCCGCCCTGCACCAAGCTCACACCGCCGTGCACCATGCACCATGCTCACGCCGCCCCGCACCACGCTCACACCGCCCTGCACCATGCTCACGCCGCCCTGCACCATGCTCACACCGCCGTGCACCATGCTCACACCGCCCTGCACCATGCACGATGCTCACACCCGTGTGTTTAAGTCCTAAAGTGAACAAATTGTACATTCTGTGTCAGTTTTTAAGAGAAGGAACTCTTGTTTCATACAAGTGTGATTATTTTGGGTTGTAGGTGCCAACCATGGCTATAGAGAAGGTGTTCATCTATAACAACACGTCCATCGTCCAGGATGAAGTCCTGGCCCACAGATTAGGCCTGGTCCCCATCAAAGCTGACCCCCGTCTGTTTGAGTACAGGAGCACCGGTAAACCCACACGGATCCCTCCCGCTCTGCTCGCCCTGGTTCTGTATTATCTCTGATCATGTGTTCCATCTAATTAAGTTTCATCTTCAACATTGCAGAGTAACTCAAGTTCTTTAGACCAAAAAACGCATACACACAGTGTTTGCGTTTAAGTGCGTATTCCATAATAAAGAAATCTGTTTTTTCTATTTAGTTTGATGACCAGTAGCTCCAACTTAAAATACTGCACACTGAAAGCGCCTGAGTACTGCTTTCCAGAGGTCTGTCCCTCGTGCACGGGCCGGCTGGTTCAATGAGCACTCTTTCCCTTCCATTGAACAAGGGCTCCTTCGCTTCTGCTTGGTTTATTCAGGTGAAGCGTCTGCAGAGGAGGAAGGTTCAGAAATAGACACAATTCAACTGCAGCTGAAGATTAAATGCAGCAGGAACCCGAGAGCCACCAAGGACTCGGCTGACCCTCGAGAGCTGTACCTCAACCACATGGGTAGGTTTCAGCTCCGTCGGCTCGACGACACTTTCAAAGTAAGAAACCGTAATGGGATTGTTTTACCCTCCCACGCCGTCAGTTTATTCCAGGGACATCAAGTGGGTCCCGATTGGGAACCAGGCAGACGTCTTTGCAGACTCCGTCATCGCACCGGTGCATGACGACATCCTGATCGCTCAGCTGCGCCCGGGACAGGAGCTGGACGTCATCATGCACTGTGTCAAAGGAATTGGTAAGAGAGCGGCCAGCTCAGAATACTTTAAATGCATTCATTATTATTATTCATTTGAATAAAGAGTCTTTAGCTTGTATGGAAGATTATGGAAGAGGAGTCGCCCCCTGGTGGTCACTACGCACAACGCCTCTGTTGAGACACGAAACACTGGCATTATCTGTGGGAATAGATCTCTTGTGTGTATCCGTGACACCATCACATTCCTAGTTTGTATCTTCGCCGCCTGATGTTTTTCCGTTGCAGGTCAGGACCATGCGAAGTTCTCTCCAGTGGCCACAGCCAGTTACCGCCTCCTCCCAGACATCACCCTGCTGGAGCCGGTGGAGGGCGAGAGGGCCGAGCGCCTAAAACGCTGCTTCTCCCGAGGAGTTATAGACATACAAGATGTTGCTGGTAAGAGAGAACCAAGCTCACAAATCTCAAATCAAACAAAGACCCACTCATCAGAGAGCAGAGCACGGATTCATTCATTTGCAATTTTGGGCTGTACAAAATAAAATGAATTGAATGAAAGCAGTGGTGGCCAACAGGTGGCTCCTTGCTTCTTAACGGACTCGTTTAATCTCCATGACTGAAAGCAGTGGCACCAAACTCTTCTTGTGTTCCCCTTGTCAGGGAAGAAGGTGGCCAAGGTAGTGGACAGCCGCTTGGATACGTGCAGCAGGGAGTTCCTCCGACACGACGACCTGAAGAATGCTGTGAAGCTCGCAAGGTTTCGCGACCATTTCATCTGTAAGTTCATCGACCTTGTTCACGTGCAAACTGCTTAAAGACGCGCGGCGTCTGATCAGTGTGTTGATGGTCGAGGTTCCAGCTGACACCTTTCCCGTCTTTAATCTTCCTCAATGTGCATATAGTCATGTTTCCACATTACAAACCATCCTGTTCTGTTCCGTCTCGTCACCGGGCTCCTTAGTGTGTGAAAAGCCTTCATTGAATTTTAACGCAGCACTGCTCATCGGTTGATGGCGCTCTTCCTCTCAAACAGTCACGGTGGAGTCGACTGGCATCCTGCCTCCGGACGTCCTGGTCACCGAGGCCATCAAAGTGCTCATGGTCAAGTGCCAGAGGTTCCTCAGTGAACTGGACTCTACCGACCTGGAGTGAAGAGGAGGGTGAAGCGCGCGCGCCCGTGAGGCTCGTGTGGTTGGTCGCGTGCTCTCAGTTGATAAAATCCCCTCTGGACCTTCGAGGGTGGCTTGACTGTCTTGTAAGTTTGTATATACTGCTGTCTCCCGTCTTTTGTATTCCACTGAGGATTTCTGTGATAAACGTGCTGAATCATAAACGAACACCCAAAGCAACGTCTGCGTGCCGGAGGCTCTGTTTGGACTTTTGCCCATGAAAACGTGTTCTGGCAGACTGGAGGTACACCAGTACAACCAGCATGCAGGAGCGTGGGCCCGTTCATCGCTGCCACTTATTACTAATCTATTGCTATATATAGTTTTGAGATGTAATCAATAAAACCTAATTCATGTGAAGGTGTGAAGGTCCCCGTGGCACAGAGGGCAGGACCTTGACAATTCTGTCAGCTAATTCAGATCCACGGTTTCACCAGTACAAACCACGTCTAAATAAATCCACATTCATCATTCATCAATAGTGTCCACGCCCCATTCGCGGTTGGCTCCGGCCCGGATTCTCTCTCCAGTTGTGGTCTGTTAAATCCAATGCAAACCCGTGAGACCGGGTGCCTGATTGGACAGATGGAATGAAGCTCCACCACACTGCTCGCTGCTGGAAAGGCTGCAAAAACACTGGTTTACAGAGGGTTAAAGTAACTAGCAGTGTTATTAAAGATGCGTTCTTCTTCTAGTTGAGTGTGTTTCCATTGTGTTCTGTGGGATTTGGTGTTGGATGTCACATGAGCCGCGTGGAGATGATGGGGCCCAGTGATGCATACATTTAAAGCTATAAGTAAAAGTTGGAATGATGTTGCTTGGGTTAATAAAACACAGTTTAACTTGAAGGTCAGTTGGGTTACAATGAACGTGTGCAAATTAAAGAGAAAAAAATGGAAAAAAGATCAACAGATGATAAATTATTACTTATTTTTCTTTGTAGGTGGAGACAGTCTGAAGTTTGTAAAATAAACAGAGGTCAACTTCGTTTTTATGGAACCAACCTTAATTTATTTGATATCTCCAAAAGCACAATCATATATATCTGTGGTGGCTGGACGGAGTCTCCTAAATGACGTCACTGAGCTTCTCTTTAAAACGTCACTTCCGGCTCCTCCTGAGCGAAGCAAGATGGCGGCCGTCGTGGAGAGAGTGGACGGATGTGTTGGGTCCTTGGACTCGGACGCGGTGTCGCCGAGACAGTTCAGCCCCCCCCCGGACCAGCCGCACCAGAACAACCCGCTGCTCGGGCTGCCCATCGTGGCCATTGAGACCGTTCTCCATTTCCTGTCCTACGACGAGATCAGCCTGCTGCGCTCGGTAAGACCGCCGACCGGCCGGCTGGAAGGTGAACAAAGCTAAAGCTAAAGCTAGCTGCGCGCCTCTGGAGGCTAACTGGCTTATGTAAACGCTGCTCACCCGCACGGGGACCGCATCGGGAGGCTTCGCCCCCTGCGGTCAGTGCTCTGTTGCGTGTCGGCGGTGCCGAGCGCCCCCATCACCACCACCACCACCATCACCACCACCCCCATCATCATCATCCACAACAACAACAACATCCGTCCCGCAGATGCGCGCCGTACGGGCCGAACGCTTTGCACGCCTGTTCTCCAGTTGGTGTCGCGGTCTCTCGGTAGCCGGAGTCCGCAGCAGCCCGCTGAGGTCACGTGCGCTCAGGTGGAGGTGTTGACCAGGTGTCCGGTCCTCAGGCTCACGTTGTCCCCACATGCTGAGACCGACTGGCATTACGGAGGTTTACCTAAACCTGGTCGCTGAAATCACGGATTGTAGTCGGGCGACAAATGACGGTTCTGCAGAGTGAAGCCGATTCTGAAGCATCAGATAACCTGCATTATGTGACCATCTCCTCTGTAAATAGAGGCTTAAATGTATAGAAATGCTTTATATTTACTCCCTCGGTTTATGGTCTGTAGTTTCAAGTCTTCAATACAGCAGATGTTCATTTGGTGAATGCGTCCGTTTAGAGTCTGATGGACCGTTTATGATGGAGCTCGATGTGATTGACGGGTCGCTGCTGCTGACCTGGATGAGTAAAGAACCCTGGTACCAGTATGGACATGACTTTAATCACGTTGACCATAGGGGTCTCATTGGTGACGTCCCAATCACAATGTCCACCTCTTCTGTATGTGTCTATAAAGATGGACAACACGACGTCTCGATCGCCGCACTGAATGCAGGTTAAGTGTTAAACCCCGCCCCTTGATCCAAACTAACATGGCGGCTGACTGGGTGATTTATGCTCCATTTGACTCTAAGTGGACTTCATTTACTGAAGGAACATCATGCTGTATACGAGAAGACTTGATGCCCTCTGCTGGTAAGAAAAGGCCCCAGCGCCGCTTCACCTGCTAAGAATCCTCACCGGGCCGTCGTCCTCCTGCTGACGATCCAAAACCTGCTTCACGGTCGGTTTACTGCTGCAAGTGGACGCCCGACTTTGTCTCATAGTCCATAAACCTTCTCCTCCCAGGTGTGTAAGCGTATGGACATGATCTGCCAGCGTGTCCTGAATCAGGGCTTCCTGAAGGTGGAGCGTTACCACAGTCTGTGCCAGAGGCAAGTCAAGGCCCAGCTGCCCAGGTGAGGGTCACGCTTCAGACTGAACACCTTCACAACACCCCGATTTAGTTACTACTATGCTTCCTTTTTAAAATGACTACATTTCAAAAGCTCATGTGTCATATCTGACTTTTGAATTGAATTCAACTGGGACCCCCGTGTTTGCATGTAAATGAGTTGCTCACTATAAATTCTGTCTGCAGGCGAGAATCCGAGCGGAGGAATCATTCGCTGGCCCGACACGCCGACATCCTGGCTGCCGTGGAGACGCGCCTCTCTCTGCTCAACATGACCTTCATGAAATACGTCGACTCCAACCTCTGCTGCTTCATCCCTGGAAAGGTGAGCTGCTCCCAACCGCCGCCGGACCAGCGGCCACGTGTCTTCAGCGCTCTGCCTGCACCTGTGGTTTGCTGCGTCGTAGAGAAATATTACTCAAAGAACGTTAAATTCCCAAACCCACTCAGCCTTTCGTGGGCTCGCGTCCCGCTGTGGACCCCGGTGATCTCCCTCACGGTCCAAACGCGCGTGTGAGCCGCCGCTCGACCACGCGGTTCCAATTGAGTCAAATCAAGTTTTACTGACATCGTCGTCCACCAATATTCATTAAATCAGTGATCGGGACGTTGATTGTAAACCAGCAGAGCTGCTGAAGGTTCAGTCCCACTGTGATGCATTCAGGCTCCGATCAGACAATTGGGCAGTAAATTATAACCTGTGATCTTGTTAAATAGATCATTATGAGCTGTTTTCATATTACAGCATGAAAACTACTAATGACATCATCGGTTTTAATGAAATCTTTTACTCCTCTGAAGTGTGTTGTTATGACTGCAGCACCATGTTAACCCAGTTAGACAGACTCCGCCCCTCATGGACGCTCTGAGAAGTAATTTGAGCGCCCCAAAAAGAGGCAGGGACCATCGCAGTAGTTTGATGAGCAGAGGATCACACAGCACTGATGGCTTGAGTGCACCGCTGGACTACCCAACAACAACAACAACAGTATAAAAGATCTAGTCAGCATGGACTGGTTTCTCTGCCAGTTTGTATCGTTTGATGCATGGGTGTGAATGGAATATAATCTGGCTGTGTAGTCGGCAGCGTGTTGGTACAGTAGCTCTGGATCGGGCCGTTGGCGTAAAGCAAACCGGCGTCTCGATCACGAGGAGCGAGCAGAGCCCACAGACGCCGTCCGTCCTCTCATCCGCCCCGTCGTGTGTCGGTGTGTTCGGTGTGTTCAGGTGATCGATGAGATTTACCGGGTGCTGCGCTACGTGAACTCCACCCGAGCCCCGCAGCGGGCCCACGAGGTGCTGCAGGAGCTGAGAGACATCTCCTCCATGGCCATGGAGTACTTTGACGAAAAGATCGTCCCCATCCTGAAGAAGAAGCTGCCGGGGGCCGACCTGTCCGGCCGCCTCATTGGCTCCACACCAGGTAACCCCACGTTTCTCCTCAAGTCCCCTTAATGCGGCGGTTGTTGCGGACGTGTCCGCTCTTGTGCTTTGGACCACAGTTTAAATGGAAGCAAACGGAGCCACAGTGTTGATCGTGTTTGCTGATGAGCATCACTGCATGTCTAGAGAGCATGAACCTGATCACTGTGAATAAATGTCCCGTTCCCTCAGTGGCGGGTCCGTCTACCTCCCTGACCACCATGTCCCTGCTGGCCAAGAACACGCCGTCCCGCTCCGAGATGACCAAGGTGCAGCAGCAGGTGAAGGTGAACGGGGCGTCCATGACGGTGCTGCGCAGGGAGATGCAGGAGATCCGGGTGAAGCAGCTGGAGCAGCAGAAGCAGCTGCAGGACCAGGAGCAGAAGCTGCTGGAACAGACCCAGGTGATCGGCGAGCAGAACGCCCGCCTCGCCGAGCTGGAGCACAAGCTGCGCGAGCTGATGGACAGTAGCGCCGCCGCCGCCCCCTCCACCTCCAGCGCCGCCGCCGTGTCGTCCTCCGCGGTCGGCGGTGCGGCCGCGGCCGCCCTGCCCAGGGGGCTGGAGGGCGAGGGGGGCGAGGGGGGCTTGTTGCTCAAGCGCAGCAGGAAGAGCGCAGACCTCCCGCGACAGTCCAAGCGGCTGCGCAGCAAGAAGTGAGAGACTCCGCGTGTCCTTTAGTAGAAGCTTTCTTTTTGCTTTTGTTTTTCCGACGGAGCGCGCGTCGTCCCCCAAGCAGAGTCCCGCCCACCACGACGTCGCTCATCAGCTGCGCTGTCGGAGATGAGCCGGAGCCCCCCGACCTTCCCCTCAGTGATTGAGAACACAGGCCGTGTGCCAGACTATTTATTGAAGGTCCCATCAAGTGACTCCATGCAGGAGCTCCTCCTGGAGGCTTCTGTGCTTCTTCATGTCTAAACAGAGATTCAGGTGGTTGGTAAATTTGGTATGTGTTATTAATGTCGTTCCTGTCTCTGGGGGGGGAAAGTACCTGACGTGATATTTTATTTCAGAACTGTACACAATGAAATAAATCCCAGTGAAAAGGGTCCTCATCACCTAGTTGATACAGCTAACAGACGTTGCATGCTCTGGGTATCCGGGATCTCCGTTCCATTTTAGTATGGAAGGAAGTCTCAATCCACCAGCAGTCATTTCATCCACACTCTTCTTACTCTGGTAAAGTGCAATAAAAGTCATCTGAAAAGTCACTGGTACCTCCTGTTCCTTTCCAGTCGGTCCACTCTGACCCGTTTGTGATGCTCGGCCTGTGGAAACCTCCATTACTGTGAAGGAGTCCCCCGTTAATTTAAGGCGCATTGACTGGATGAATCCTATTTGGTGGTACGTGTGATCCTAAATCCCTAACGTCGCTCGCCATTGCTCCGAATTATTATCTAGAAATGTTCATTTAAACCCGCTGCCTCGTCTTCTACGGCGTGTGACCCAGAATGAGCCGATGCTCTCCACTAATCAGGGGTACATCCAGGCATCTTCCATGTACACTAAAGCCGCGCAGCTGGGACTTTACACTGAAGGCCCTACTGTGTTCCAGTAGTCGTCATGTTATTTAGAGCCGAGGTCAGAATCCGGTTTCAGACGCTTCCCTCGCTGCTGGACAGGCAAACTCATCGTGGGGAGTCGGTGGACTCACATTGATGCTGGGGTTCTTCCAATGGCCCATCGTAGGGCGTCATGGGGCCAACGGGCTGTGACGTCCCCCTGTGAGACGTGGGGGACGAACAGGACAGACCGGTTGAGGTCACTTAAACTGATGCTGGTTTTACACAATGTATTATCCTATGCGTCATTCACTCGTCAGACTCTGAGCAGGAGAGGTGATGACCTGTGGTTGAGCCACAAACCGAATAAACAAAATGGCTACATACTTCTCTAAAACAAGACACAAGAACCCACAACGTAGAGGTTCCCCAGACTCACCTGGTCCTCAAGCTCGCACCATAGACCTTCACGACAACTTCCAACGCGGTCAGGCTGAGGGGCCCCTTCGCCTCGTCGCCTCCCTTCGCTGCAGAGACGAGTCACCGGGCACCCGGAGAGAGACAAACGCAAAGACGACTGCCATGCGAGGGTTCAATGATGAGCGGCGAGGTCGGCGTCTGGACCCGGGCGGCGTTGTATCCATGATTACATCCACTCGTTCAGCCGTCCAGGAGGCACACGTGACACGGTCGACCTCCCTGCCTCTTATGTGTTCACCTCCGTTCTCTGCATGTGTCCCCGTCGGGTCTCTCCTCCGTGACCTCCCCCCCCCCACGTGGCAGCCATGATCAAACCACATCACAATCAGTGTGAATTCTGACGTAGACACACGGGGGGTCGGGATGGAGGCCGCGGATAGAGGTTATTTCATGTGGGGTTCAGAGTAGAGAACTTAACCAGAAGGTTAAACCAAGTATGGACTGTGCCGTGTTGATTGTTGGAGGACGGCTCTACCAGCAGCACTGTGAAGCGCCACCAGGAGAAGAGAACATGCATTTATCATTAGATTATGGATTATTTATCACTCATCCGGTTCAATTTGAAAACTGCCAATAAATATCTTTTGGATGTCATTCAAATTAACTTTCTTTCTATTGGATTTGTCAGTTATTGACCACAAACGGACGTTAATACACCTGTTGGCTTCTTCAAATGGGACCTACTCATAGTTAGTTAGACATGGCTGTGATGTTGGGGAATATTTGCTGTATGGAAAGCGATTGAATTGAACACTCCGATGCCCTAAGCGCTGTTTCTCTGAAACCGCCGAAGACATACAAACTAAATTAACTCTGAAAATCCCCAAAACGACGCGTTTAACCAGAAAAAAGCCATAACCGATCTCCAAAATGCCGAGGTGGGAATGTAAGTATCTTTCAAGTCATATCTCATATTCACGGACTGCTTTGTAGCTTCTGTACAAGCCGTGTGCAGAATAAATTCATTTCGTTCTGTAAACACATTAGTAACAGTCTGTGAGAGTTTCACACAACCAGACCAACGACGACTTCTGATGTCATTGCCTGCAATCGAGAGATAATGTGACCGCAACGCGCTCGTATGTCCTCCCTGTTACTGTGACGCGCTCACCGTCGCCTCATTCGGCACCACGTCTGCATCCCGGTGCACACGGGATGCACAGAGACATGAAGCTCTGTCATCTAGAAGCCGCGCAGCTTTTATCACAGCTGAACTAGATGAATTCATTCGAGGGGTCTTTGAAACCTGTTCACTTCATTCCTCAGGCCCGGAGGCCTGTTAAAGGAGTCATGTGCAAATGTGTTATCAACGATTATTTAGTTATTATGAGTCTGAAACCCAGATATAAATAAAACCTCATATGCTAAACGTGATTCAGCTTAATGTATCACTATTAATTTAATGTGGTTATTGATGTATATAATAACACAATATCTCAAATGACCCCCAACGTGCTGAGCAAGACATTTTTCACTATTTATTTTTTCAGCACTTGTTTTCCCCCCATTTATTGATTTAATGTGCTTAATTCTGCTGCCACAATACAAAATAAAATGAGGTGATATAACATGCAGAGGCTGTTATCATACTGATGTCTTAAGCACACACTGCATCTTACCACGTGCCCAGCTGGGATGGGGGGTAGTAGTCAGTCCGCTCGCGCCTGATGGCTCCTATGTGCGCGGTGCCGGAGCTGCGCGCATCGCCCCCTGCTGCTACTAGAACAGTGTGTGGCCAACTGTTAACCCGCTTTAGCTTTACTTTCTTTACTTAGCTTTACTTTCCTCCAGAAGAAGCTAATCTGTATGACTAAAGTTAGCTGAGGAGTGAGGTCACGAGGCAGACGGGTATGGTGTTTGGGTTCCATGACACTGGGTCAGGCCTTGATCCCGTGACCGTTTCGTTAGCTGGGGAAGGAAAACAAGGTGATAAAGTTTCCAACAATATATGGAAAGAATTTGATATTGAAATAACAACTTGTAGAAATACGATACAGTCTGCTGGTGGAAGACAGATGTTCAGACACACGTTTTTTTCAGGTTTGTAATAATAACATTAGCGTGACATTTATTACATCATCTGATGCATATTTCCTGGCTTGTGGGAGTTAAGGAAAGACAGCGTTGCTTTCCCCTCCTCTCTCAAGAATCTCCAAAGAATCAATGATACGGTTCGTCAATGCCTCCCACATCTGGCGGAGACAGAGAGACAGAGACAGAGAGACAGAGACAGAGAGACAGAGACAGAGAGAAGGCTGATAAACGCTCAGCGCAGCTTGTATTTCTAGCGGGGATTTGGCAGGAAGCACGATGTTCGCTTTCTCAGTGTTTCTAGTGTACAGTTGATATTTGGCTCTTATGCTTAGAATAAGAAAAAAAGAATTGAGGAAATTGTTCCCTTTAAAAGCTGTGTTTAAATAATATCAAAAATACATTTTATAGATCATTGTTATAGCGAGCAAAAGAAAACATGTTTCACACCAGTCATTTGTGTATATTCTTGGTTATTTTACATTTTTTGCACAACATTTGAACTGTTTTGAAGGTTTTTGTATTCAAACATCATTAATCGGTGCAGCTTAATTAATTCGCTGTAATGTGGCATCAGTTTCTCCTCCACTTTGTTTTGTGCTCCATGAAGCCCACTGCCATTGCGACACAACCATTGTCACAGAACAAGCTCCATCCCCTGGAGACCCCGCTGTGTGGTCCGAAGCGCCAGGACAGTCAAACATTCTCAAACTACGCTCAAGCGTTAAATGTTTCGGGGAAAATCGCACAAAATAGATTTGTAAAGAAGAAATGACTCAATCCAAAGTGCTTGCGACACGCGTGGTTTCCCCACGCGTATCAGCACCAATGAGATGCTGAGGTGAATGTTGTGAAGGCAGACGGGATGCTGCACCGGGGCGGACCGCTCGCCCCGTGACTCCTTCCCCTTTCCTCGCGGTCCCCGCCCCCACCGCGCCGCGCCCCGCCCCCACCGCGACCTCTCCGCGCTGCGCTACACGTCCCCGCGACCACGATCCTTCAGGCGAGGAGACCCGGGATCATGGTCCCGCTCTGCTGCCCGTCAGCGGGCGGCTTTTCAGCAGAACCCACGGGGACCCTGTGGAGAAACGGGATGCGGAATCTGTGAGCAGGAGCCGCTGCTTTTTCCTTCACTTGCTTTGGCCTCAACCTCGGGGATTGTTGCGGGAGGATGAGCGTGAAGAGGAAGAAGCCTGGGCTGGTCATCAGCTGGCAGAAGTCCTTCTCCCTCCTGGCTCCTTGGAGGAAAGGTAGGTCCCCTTGATCAGGCCATTTGTCTCAGTGAGCAGAGGACAGTGTGAAGACATTGGCTCCACCATATGGCTTTAATCAAAGTACAATTGGATTCACAGTTAATTCACTCTTCTTTTTTAAGGGCAATAAACTTTTAACACCCAAGTCTTCATCTGGCACCGCATCATAAAATGTTTCATTTCATTTAAAGACAGGATTTCAATGAAAACGGGGGCTTTAGTGTCTGTGTCTGGTGCGGTTACTCCAGTAACAAGGCCTCCTCCATCAGAAGATGACTGGAGCTCATTGAGGCGGCTGCAGGACGGCTCCATGTGTGAGCGTGACAGAAAACCGCCAGAGCAGCAGGAGTTGTGTATGTTACTGCCTTGTATGTGGAGCTAGTAGTTACTTAACGTCATACCTGTAACGTGTATCTACTCTGATTGTGATCAGGGTGGTGAGATCATTGGGACCGAAATGACTACTGGTGGTAAATACAGACGCTGCAGGTGCAGCAGGGGCGTTGCGGTGGCACAAGAGGCCGGTGGTTTTCAAAAAGACCTGCTCTTTAATTAAAGAATATGATATTATAAAAGAATATTTCATTAAATGAATAATTTCTCATACAGACGTGTGATGTTACTGTGACACCTGATGGATGCTTCCCGAGCAGCAGGCGCGCTCTGGCACCCGTCGCAGACGCCTCACACCGCCGGCTAATTGGAGAACCACGAGTGCCGACGGTGTTCCTTCTGCGTGGGATTGAGATGAGGATTGAGATTGTGACACTCTGCGCATGCGTGTCACAGCGCGTAGCATACGGTCCACTCCGAAGCAAAGAGGTTTTAAGCTGCAGAGAGCCGTCTTCATTCTTCATCACGCTCATTATCCCCTTTCCCTTCTAACCTCGGTGTCGGGTTGCCCTGCATTCCATGAGCCGCATTCAGCTCATCCACACATCTGCCCAGCTGCAACGTCGACGCGTTTACTTGTTGAGGGGGAGATATCTGCCCCATTGTTTGCATGCTACTCAGCGCAGGAAGAAGAGGACCATTGTGGACAGTGTGTGGCTGCAACTGTGTGATCTCACAACTGTAACGGAAGAGAATCCCTGGAATCTGGTGTCCCGTGTTTAATGAGACATGCAACACGGAGGCAGCGTAGTTCTGCAATGACGACAGATGTTTGGACATGAAGATGCAAATGTGTGACACAACCAGTGTGTTTATGCAGTGGTGGAAATAGCAGGTCAAGAGATTTGCTCAGGGGCGTAATTCTTATTCTTTGGTGCGTATGTTATGTCCTCCACCGCCCCCTGAAGGGAGGGTCCATACGTTAGCATTTTAGTTCAGGTGCGTCCACCTGAGTGTAAATCAGGGACAAAGGGGGCGTTTAAAGACATATTTCACTCCCTGCAGCTTTGGCTGGAATTCTGGAGACTAAGTTACTTTTGAGCTTGGAAACTGGAGATTAACTAAAACTGTTATGACTCTACATTCAGCGCGAGATGATCCCATGAATTATCTGATCATATTCCTTTCTCATGCAAGTAGAGGCCAGTTACCGTTCTCGCTGGCCTGTGAGTGACGACGTTGCCGCTTAATAGTCAATTACAGCAGTTAAAGATCCTTTTTCGGTGCACGTGGTAAGTTTGCTTACGCTGTGTATTTAACAAGTGGAACTGATATGTTCACATTCGTCTCCTTTTACCCAGAAGTCCTTGCATTCGTTTCACAATAACCAAATTGACTGGCTGTCAGTCATATTGGCTGCTTAAACCCCATACGTCTTATATTTGGGAAGGATGCAGAGTCAAACACAAAAACCGTCAGAGGAAATTAGTCAAAAGAGATTTGACTTGAGTTACAATGCTCCTGCACATTCTTGCCTTATCTTAATGGTTTCTGGGTCGGGGGGGAGCCGTTAGCTTTGATAAAGAGGCAGTCTGGGCATCATCCTGGAGGTTGATGACGCCACGGCCAAGAGAGGTGGAAACAGAGCAGACATCACAGCTGGTGTTGAGAGACGCGTCCGGGGGAACACTTTCCCATGGTGAACGTCGGTGGGGGTGCATCGGTATGTCCTACCTTATCTCACACGTTGAAGCTCCTGAAAGGGCACAAGACAACGATACTGCTTCCGAATGTTTCAGTGGAATCACCAGCGTTAAGACAATACACGCAAACACACACTAAGCCAGCTGTAGACACGGTGAATGAAGTAAATGTCATCCTCTATGCCGCTTATCCCATATTTGGAGTCACCAATTAACCCGATGACCACAGGATGTCTTTGGAGAACCCGGAATTTGAATCATCAATTTAAAAGAAAATGTATTTTGCAAATCAAGAAAGTTGAAGTTCCACCCAAAACAGTTATTGAACTGCTTTTCTTGTACATTACCAATCCAACATGGCCGCCACCTCGGCTTGCAAGCTCGACACAACATTTAATGCACACAGCTGATTTTACCTGGTTTGTTTCATCCAGCAACTCAAAAGTACAAACAGAAACACTTAGTAACCACATTTCTTTTAACAGGATCACAGCGTTCGTAGATATTATAAGATACTTGTTGTTTCAATCAGCTCCAAGTATTTTATACACAATGGAAGGAAATATTTCAACTACGTTAAACAATAGAGCCGCACAAAACCAGGGTGGATGTGCACGATGTGTGGAGCATAAAGTCGATTAAAATGTCCAATGTATTTTAATAAAAATCTTCATAATAAAATTAAAAGGCTGCAATTCCCTCACAGTCTGGCAATAAAAAGTAATTATTTCTTGTATTCGGAGGATGTTCAAAACGTATCGATTGGTGACAATTGGCGATATTGCCTCTGGTCTGAACGTAGTAGTTTCATAAAATCTGGATTCTCACAAAGAATGTAAGGGAGGAAGTTTATTATGAGTTGTGTGATGAACCAGAGAGTGACTCGTACGCATGAGATATGGACCAGTGAATAAGTTACAAAGTTTACAACAACCGCACTCAGAAAAGGTCTTAAAACAAGAGTACGACTGGGGAGCAAACAAAAATATAATATAACCAGGGAAATATTCATGGGGGAAACCCACTGGGGAGCCAAGTGAGCAGGTTAGGATGGACAGAGAGGACGTGACAGCGAGATACGGGGTCTAAATACACTCGGAGGTGCAGAGGAAAAGATAAAACGAGGGCGGAGCAGAAAATCACACAGGCGGGAAAACATACAAAGGAAGGAAGTGAAATAAAAACAGGACACAAGAGGCTGAAAAATACAGAATTAAAAAGGAAACCACCCAATCCCAACACTGGCATGAGTTAAAAGGTTTGAAGTTTGGTCATTATCTTTTTCCCTTCCTCATTATTAACAAGCCAAAAAAATGAATCAGCATTGACGTAACCCTAAAATATCTGAGATTCAAATGTTTTCATTTTTAAAAACACTCTCCCACCAAAAAGCCCGAGCACACCAGCGATGACTTTTGACCGCTGACCACCCAGAGGGCCCCCAGGGGCCGGACTGAGCCGTAACCCACCCGCACTATGAAAACAACGTTCTTGTCACAGCCTGTTTGTGACCTCCTGCGCTCAGGAGCTGAAAGGCCAACCGGGCGAGCCGTTTAGCTCCGGGCGTTGCCTCCTAAAATCCATCTCCCGCATTGTAAGGGAGCCTTGCAGAAAAGGGTCTTCTCAGGGTGAAGCACATACCTCCGTGACATATTTCAAGGGGTAACAGTATTTTGAACTGAAAGCTTTTGATAAAACCCTAAAACCTCTAAAGGGAATTCACGTTGTCCGGATCATTAATACTTCATCATCTTTGTAAAGCTACAGAGAAGAAGTGTGTAGTCTCACATCACACCGTCTCCTCTCTGCGTTTACACAGCCGACCACCTGCCACTCAGTGCACGTTAGTGCGTGTGAGCGTGCACGTTAGTGCGTGAGAGTGTGAGTGCGTGTGAGCGTGCATGTTAGTGCATGTGAGCGTGCATGTTGGAGGGTTAGCCCTGGTTATGGCGTGTGAGTGCGTGTGAGCGTGCATGTTAGTGAATGTGAGTGCATGTGAGTGCGTGTGAGCGTGCATGTGAGTGCGTGTGAGCGTGTATGTTAGTGCATGTGAGTGCGTGTGAGCGTGCATGTGAGTGCGTGTGAGCGTGCATGTTAGTGCGTGTGAGTGTGTGTGAGCGTGCATGTTAGTGCATGTTAGTGCGTGTGAGCGTGTATGTTAGTGCATGTGAGTGTGTGTTAGCGTGTATATGAGTGCGTGTGAGCGTGCATGTTAGTGCATGTGAGTGCATGTGAGTGCGTGTGAGCGTGCATGTGAGTGCGTGTGAGTGCGTGTGAGCGTGCATGTTAGTGCATGTGAGTGCGTGTGAGCGTGCATGTTAGTGCATGTTAGTGCGTGTGAGCGTGTATGTTAGTGTGTGTTAGCGTGCATGTTAGTGCATGTGAGCGTGCATGTTAGTGCATGTGAGTGCGTGTGAGCGTGCATGTTAGTGCATGTGAGTGTGTGTTAGCGTGCATGTGAGTGCGTGTGAGCGTGCATGTGAGTGTGTGTTAGCGTGCATGTTAGTGCAGGTGATTGTGTGTTAGCGTGCATGTTAGTGCGTGTGAGCGTGCATGTGAGTGCGTGTGAGCGTGCATGTGAGTGTGTGTTAGCGTGCATGTTAGTGCATGTGAGCGTGCATGTTAGTGCATGTGAGTCCGTGTGAACGTGCCCTAGTGGTGGGTCGCTGGCCCGGTAGGATCCACCGTCATCGTCATCATGAGTGAACGATGTCATGTAGTGTTGAAGCGCTTTCAGTGGATGGACCATAAAAGAGAAATTACACATGTTTACCATTCAACAACTATGGCAAGAGGGCGAGACGCCTTTATTTCTTCACCGAGCAAATACAATGTCTACTAATGTTGCAAACATTATTATTATCGATTATTAGCAACTTCCGGGGCCCCAGACTGCCCCAAAAAGGTGGGCTGCTCAGAAGAGAAGCCCAATTTGTGTTGGACAGACACGTATAAACCTCCATTTAAAACGTTCCTCTTTCTTAACAAAACCTTCCCAGGATGCACTGCACCAGCTGACCTTCTGGCTGAGATCTGAGTGTATTATGCTAATGGTAGCAGAGATTATGGGTTTGCTGCAGAGCTCTGTGTTTTTGTGAGCACCTGGATGTCGGCTGTGTTTCCCCGTCGGCCCTCGAGGCGCTCAGAGCTTTGTTCTCCTGGTGTCCATTAGGGAGGCCAGCAGAGCCGCCACTTAACCCCCTTTGGACCCGAAATCTTAGACCTAAACAACAGCGCTGGCCTGCCTGGAAGGCGAGGTGGACACGATGGGAATGTCTCCGGGACGCTTTATGGCAGAAAAGAGGCTTTAAGACGGGCGGGGAACGGCCTGTAATCATAAGTTGAGGCACAGAGGGTGTAAATAAGCTGCGTCAGCCCGTGTGGGCAATTACAGGATAGAATATGTGTTTGTGTTGTTTGGGAGCTGGTTGGGGGGCCGACACCCGTCAGGCTGATGGGGGTTGCTTAGAGGGGATTTCAGGAAAAGAAGTCAGGTTACAGCTGGCTGCGTGACCTCACTGTATAATTAAAGGAAACCTGCTCCGGTTCGTATTATCTGCTTGCAACCGACAGGCACGAAGAAACTTACGTAAGAAGTTAAGTTAAATAAAACGATTTCGGGGCTTCATGCTTGCAACTATTTTCAACTTCTGGAAAATTTACAAAAGTACTGTCACAGCGACCTTTCTTTCAAATATGAACATTATTTAACATTTGTATATATATATATATATATATATATATATATATATATATGATACTGCCCTCAGTTTACAGTCTCCACTTTGACTGTACAGTAAGACCTTGAGTCTTTAGTTGTTAGAGTAGTCAGAGTATTTCTACTCAAATTGGTGGCTATTTTATTAAATCAGCTGCATCAGCTATTTTAGTATTTTAGGTTTCTTAAGCAATTGATTTAAAGCCACACATAATGCTTTAAAATCCAACGTTTATATTCAAATTAAAGAATTCATCATTCAGCTTAAGAAAGTCCCCAAATCAGCTTAGAAATGACAGACTGCTTTTCAACATAAATGTGTCTGTGCATAAGTTATATTTGATATATTACCTATATGGAATATTACTAGAGCCAATTTAGCCAGTTTATATTTTAGGAATATGGTTACGTGTTGAAATAGCAGAAATCTGTTCCCTGACCAACTGTCTGTCCGTAACCTCCGTAGCTTCATAACCGAGCGAGAGAGACAAGAAAAGATAAGGAGGCAATGTGCCAAGACGGACAGATGTGTGACTGGTGTAAAGCTCCAATCACATGCCAGTCTGTTCCAGCTGTGACATCATTTTCAGGATAGGATCACATGTATCAGGGTTTTCGGTTCCACGAAGCAAAGAAACTTCTGGATGTTCCGTGTTTCACTGCTTCAGTTGATTGATCCGCCTACACACAGATTCACACACACACACACACACACACACACACACACACACACACACACACACACACACACACACACACACACACACACACACACACATTCAAACTCCCAGTTCTACATGGTCATCTACACACATGTGTATATACACGCATAGATCAACTGGATACTCGTTGGGCTTGTTTTTACTACTGATATTCATTATTATCAACTATTAATCGATGATGCATTCCATGAAGTCTACTGCCAGCAGCTTGATTTGCCCTTAAAATGAGTCTCTACATTTTCCCAACACTTACACACTTAACATGAGCGCGATAGGACGGGATATTATCCCCACGACTGACGTCTGGTTGGAATTAACGAGATCAGCATTCTTTTGGCAGCGCTGCTCCTTTTCAACATCACAGTTACAAAAACATTTCATTTTCCAGGAAAACGTGGCCAAAGAAATGTGGGCGTGTTGCTCTTTGGTTTTCTGATTAACGCCTTCGGCATAGAGACCTGAGATTCCTTTTCTCATCCATTTCATGTTTGTAATTTCATCAAAAGCAACCTGGTCTGAAGATATTTCTCATTTTGACGCTAGAAACGTTTAACATTTAGAAAACGAGTTTGGAAACCCGGTCGGTCCCAATCAGCTGACATCCTGTTTCTAACTCATCACTCAGGAGTCATTCTTCATTCATCTGAGGCCTCCACCCTTCAGAATCACAACATCAGAACCCTGTGACACAAACATGATCCAGTTCTACTTCCAACACACCGAGGACTTCCATTCCAACCCCCCCCCCGAGTTCCCCTCAGAGAGGATAAAAGCCTCGGATTTACCACTTCAAAGAAGTTCTAATCTGGTATTTGGCCGGGCGAGATCTCCACTTCATGCTGCAGGAAGTCGCCCGCCTCCTTTATTGTTGAGGTTTGATAAAGCTGAGCTGCAGTCTCATTATAACAAGCATAACACCTGAGCTTAATCCCAGCCTCTGCGTTTCCCCGGGGACACATCTACGCTCTGTATGAAGCTTCGTGTCTCACCGAGAGCTTGCAGGGGACACAGACACATTTCACAGTCCATCAATGCAGCATCACAGAAACGCCTCCCAGCAGCTGGTTTGATGATGCAAATGATCCGGATCCAGTCCTGCTGATCAAATCCCTGTGCTGCTGGCGCTCTGAGCCAGGTGTTACGTCATTTGACTTTTTGGCACTCAGGCCGCCCTGAGCTTGACCTTTGGCTTCACCTCAAGTATTTCAAGGTCCTTTGTTTCCTTTGGACGCGCGCCGGTGACCTTTCACACTGTGTGAAAACGAACGGACCAGGTTTGCAGAGGAGGAACGCTGTTTTCTCAAGAAGCTCAGCTGGTTCTGTCCTTTAGTTCACGCGAGACCTGCAGCGGCTAAACATCCATGTTTTATACTGCCAGCGAATACTTAGAAATCTTAACCCAGACAAGCTCACTGACCTCGATCAAGTAGATATTTGACCCGAAACCGCCCTGTGTGCCTCGACCTAAACCTAAACCTGAACCTAAACCTGAACCTAAACCTGAACCTAAACCTAAACCTAAACCTGAACCTAAACTAAACAAAGTGTTGAGACGAGGCTTCTTAGATGAACACACGTTTCCTCTTCTGTTGAACAGGGAAAGGAGACAGAGACGCGGTTCTGGACAGAGAGGTTGTTCTGACCAAAATGAAGCTCTTCAGCAACATCCACAAGATGCTTCCGACGGCCGACGACTCGGCCTCCACCATCTCAACTGTGTCCGTTTCGGAGCAGGACGTCTGTGACCCCAGCAAACCCTCTGAAGTACGTTCCCACCGCGTTGACGAGCCGGGCCGGCTTCAGACGGAGTCCGTCTCACGGCACCCGGCCTCGGACTCTCGGCTGACGAGGTCGTACAAGTTTGAGTCGGAGGACTCTGGAGTGGAGCTGCCCAGCGGCGCGGACTCTCCGTCCACCCCGACGAGCTCTGAGCAGAGCTTCACTGTCCACAGCCGAGAGTCCTCCTGCAACCGGAACTCCGACGCCGGCGCCGCCCCCGATGACCTGGTGCCACTCACGCAGCTCCCGGAGAGCAAACAGGCGCCGGGCTCAGCGGACGATGGTGCGAGTGCAGCAGCGGGGGCTCTGAATGACGGTTTCATACACTCAGAGGAGCTCAGTTCAGCCGTGGGTGCAGAGCGGCGCGCAGGTGAGGAGGTGGACGGGGACCAGAGCGGGGGGTCGGGAGCCAGCCCTGAGAGAGACGAGGACATGCCGGGACAGCTTGAGGAAACCTGCGCCGAAACCGAGAGGACCTGCTTCCGAGGAGACGGCAGCCACTTCGAGCCGGCGCCTCGGCGGAGCCGTGAGACCAGAGACAGCCTGGAGGACTACATGGACCAATGCTGCAGACTGAGTGAGGTAAGGAGGTCAAGGTTCAAACTGTGGCAACATCAAGCCGCCGTGTGACCCCCGCTGCTCTCTGTGTGTGTGTGTGTGTGTGTGTGTGTGTGTGTGTGTACAATCTTTTTAGCAATCGTCATATCAGTCAAACGTGGGTCCACAGGTTTAACAGCTGTGCAATAAAATGTGCAATAACAGCACCAGCTGTCAGATATTCATAATAATCTTACAACACAATAACACTTTTGATTTGAAAGTGCCTTCTACAAAATAAAGGAAGCTCTACATGTTGTAGTTATATATAGTTTTTATTTGTATCCGCGTATCGTTTTCTCCAGAGTCATCTTTTAATATTATCATCAAAAATTTCAAATGTAATGCAATATTTGCAGCATTCCAATGAAATTAAAGTCTGCTGGTTGTAGAGTAAAAGCTTAACTTGTGTCCCATTGGTTTGTTACTGAACTGCTGCATTCGCGTCAGACCAGACGCCTCCTGTGAGAATAAGAGCCTCCTCCTAAACATCCTGCATGTAATGGAGGAGCGAAGGAGTCCCGGCGCTTTGACCTGACCAGAGCGCAACTGAAGGCAAGAACCTTCAGGAGCACGTTCCCTTCATGTCCCGGCCAGAGACAACTCCTCCTGCTCTCATTCAGGACGCCAGCAGCTGACAGCTGTGCAAGCTGCACAGTCATAATGGGCTGTTTGATCGGCACATCTGTCAGCTCGGCCTCAGAATTCATCCCGCTGATTTAAGCACGTGGGGAGGAAGATAATCACATCAAAGTTTAAAGCTGCGAAGAGAATGTGATTTTTGAAGACTTTCATTATTAATCATTATTATTGTTCATTGCGTTTCCACCAGTTTGATGCTACATGAAGTGAAGCTGCTGAGCAGCTGAGACACTTCTTTGTCATTTCTATGGTAGTAAGTACAGTCAATATACAGCACACATCACAATTATGCTGTGTACTGTACTTTTAAAATATGATATACTTCATATTATGCCCACATATACATATATTAATACCGTGTAGTGTATGTACAATAGCATTACGTTCAAGCAGTTAGTTCAATATAATACTATTTTACTTTTTAGCAAAATTCCTCTGCTGACTAAATGTGCTCTACTCTATGCAAAGGTTATTAAGAGAATCATGCGTCTAATTGGAGTGTATTTCACTGATAAATCTGTCTCTGATTAAGCTTTTTCTTCTATAGTAAGACTAACTATTAATTCATAGTGTAAGAATTATCATCACTTCAGCCAATTGTTTAATGAAGAGTGAAGACATTATCAGTGGGACGTACTGTTCAAAGTGCAGCTTTGAATTCTTTGAGGATGCTGGACAGTTTAATGGATCTTCTTGTATTAGTGTCAAATGTGAATCAGCGACATTTGTCCCTCTGCTAAGCGGAGTCGTGCAAACGTTTACAACGTTGAAAAGCCTTTAGTCAGTGTGCCGGCGTCCCTGCTTGTCCACCGTGTGTCTCTCCGCCCGCTTCGCTGAAAACAATTGATCATCTGGGAACCTTTGTAGTCGTCCTCCCCGTCTCAAACCCCCCTGAGACCAGGCCGTGTCCACATGGCGGCCGGCAGGCCGACTTGCATGTCTTGCATGTCATGCAGCACCTTCTCATCTGGGCCACCTGCCCCCCCCCCGGTCTGAGCGGAGCACCTGGATGCATCAGATCTGACGTATTCACCCAGATAAAGGCCCTTTGATGGGCAGCCAGTGGGGTGTGTCGGTGGCTCAGCTGACAGGCAGCCCATCACCAGCCCGGCCCCTGCTCAATGGGGCTCTTTGGTCCTTCTGTTCTCCAGATGGACACTTTCTCTATGAGTCCGATTTTACAATAACATAACATGTAATTACATGAATATTCATGAATACACAGTTCAGAGGTCTGACATTCCATGAGTGCATATCTGTCGTCTCCTACACCTCCCAGTACCACTGATCGAGAGTATCACTTCATTTCATTACAACTAGGAGCAACTCTAATTGATGCTTTTCATCATTACTGAATCATCTTCCATGAATATGAAGCTTAAGAACAAATCAATTGAGGACAGTATTTGAAGTTATTTATAAGTTAGATACAAGTAAATGTTGAAAATAACTCTTTACTGTTTACTGCAGTCACAATAAACACACACTGCAAATAAAACAAACAGCCTCTGTCCTCTGTCCTCCTCCGGCGGTGTGGATGACAGACTGAGGACAGAGCAGTTTGTGTACATGTTCATACTTATTGAACAAAAGTATTGATTGGGCCCGTTTTACTCTGTAATATTGTATTACACAGGAAGTGTGTGTGTGTGTGTGTGTGTGTGTGTGTGTGTGTGTGTGTGTGTGTGTGTGTGGGTGTGTGTGTCATACCAACACATTGAAGGGTACCAATAAAAAACCCAGGGACGTTGTTTCTTGTCAGCACTCTTTAGTAATTTATATAAATAATACACATATGATCACATGTCATATTATTACAAGAATGTGCTTAATAATCCAAAGCTGCATATTTAATAGAAGCAAAGTCTTCTGAAACAGCTCCACATTCTGCAGGAACGAGGTTCTCCTTCAGTAACTGTGCTCATCAGGGACGCTGTGACAGGAACGTTTAAAAAGAGAAGACAAAAGCACATCAAAGTCAGTGGACAGAAGGACCAGCTCACTCAGTCCCGTGTGCAGCGGGGACGTGAGGAGGACGTGAGGAGGACGCGCTGTCCGCGTGGTGAAAGACACGGCTCGTGTCTTCCTCCCTGTCTGGGTGCTCTGCACATCTGGAGCTTCATTCCTTTCCAACACTGTCATGTGCAGGGAAGCCTCGAGGGGCGGCGAGGACGTGGGAGACGGCCTCCGTGTGCACGACTCATTGCCTAATGCTCCTGGTTTGAATGTTGGACGGCGAGTCAACCAACTGGCCGTCAATAAAAAGCTCCCTCCTTCATGAACGTTCATCCCACGTGAACAGACGGTCTCGCTTCTTCAGCCACGCGGAGACCAAGGCAGCGTCCCAATACATGAGACACTTCTCTGGTTCTGTGGCTCTCGTAGCGGTCCGAGCCGACGGAACGTGGGTCCGCAAAGAGCGCTCGGAGCTTTGGCCCCCACCCACAATCCCACAGTCTGTCACCTGATCGAGACTCAAGCATCTCCACAGGCGATCAGAACCACCTTTCAATCAACTCCTTTGCAAAGCGAGTCAGAAAAAGAGAAACCAACCTGGTCACTTGAAGTCTGACAAGATAGAATTCTGCGTGATTTCTTGTGACATCCAGTGTCCATGCGAGGTCCTCAGAGGATGGATCGCGTTGATTTGAGTGAACCCGAGAATTTGTCTCAGTGCCAAGTCCAGATCTTCCAGTGCAGAACCTTTGATGACCAAATGAAAACACTGTAGTTTGTGTTTACTGCTAATTATCAGATCCCACTGGAAGGTGTTTTGGTTTTGCATTACAAACTGGGAGGAGACGAGTCAGCTGAGAATATACTGGTCTGTTGCTCCCTCGCAGAGAGCTAAACGCACCCCGCCTGTGATCCTGGCTCCTAAACGGTGGAATGAGCTCACCAATGACATCAGGACAGCAGAAAGCTGCTGCACACCATCGATCTTGGTGTTTAGGCTTCAGATATCCCTGCAGCCTTTAAATGGGCCTCGGATGAACACTAAACACACATATATTCCTCCGCTCACTATCGTCCTACTAGCGGGATAAATGGGATTCCCGATCGGACACGGCCATTAGAGACCTCGGCCAGGTCCATGAGCGAGACGTTGCGTTCCCTTTAACTGGGAGGAAGTGGAGCAGGGCGTGTGCGCGTGTTTGTTTGCACTCTGAAATGAAGCAGCGCACACAAAAGTGGGCATTGCAAGTTCCCCGTCCTGTTTCCCAGCTTCAGATCACCCCGGCGGTCCCTGTGGGGCCGCGGATAAGATCAGCTGTAGCCCCGATGGCGTGCCCGTCTCAGCACGAACGGATTCCGGTTACACCCCCCCCCTCATCATCAGCTACCCCGGAGGAAGTGAGGGTCATCTCCGGGAAGGAATTCCCTTCCTCATCCCGAATAGACTAAAGGCCTGCTAGCTAAGTAGAAGGCTCAACAAAAAGAAGCCATTGAATGGATATTACGTTAACCCTTTGATTGTTTTGTGTCTAACACAAAATCCTTTTTCTGTGCTATTGGTAGCGAGTGGTGATGGCGGTCGCACGCGCCACGCCATGCTGTTCAGATGGCGCCTGTAGAGACAAGCTTATGGCCGTACCATTTGAGGACACTCATTGGCTCACTCGCATGTTACACATTTATATTTTTAAACTACTCCATAGACCCGCAACCTGTGGGACGATATTTCTGGGTGTATTTCCGTGGCTCAAGGAGGGGACGTCCCCGCGGCCCTTCATGGCCTCAGAGGCGTCTCCGTCCAAACGGCATAATGCAACAATCGTACTCCTGTTTGTCCAGGCACAGCAAGCGAGTTCCAACCCTCCGGGCTCGGGCCTGGATTACCTGGATCACATCTGCCAACTCATCGCCAGGATCGGCCACCTGCAGGAGAACAACCTCCAGCTGCAGCGGCAGATCTACAGCCTTCAGAAGGACAGCAGGACGGCAAAGACCAAAGAGGTGTGTGTGTGTGTGTGTGTGTGTTATTCCTATTTGGAGGGCGTTTTAGAGAGAGGTGTATTAGAAAAACAAGGAAGGTCTAAAAAAAGATCCTTTGCTTGCATCATTGACGATTTAGAATCTTTGGTCAGCAGGTTAGTGTGGCATTTAAATAATGATCTTACGACTGAGGTTGGTGGACTTTGGTTTCAATAAGTTCACTACAACAACGTGAGAACAAAACGCAAACCTCAACATCACATCGGTCACGGTCTCATTTTATTTTGTTGTTTCCCGCATGTCGTGTCCCAGGGTTCACTTCACTTTCTGTCAGGTGAAGGGAGAAGAAAAAAAATACTTTATTTAGGACCAACTGTGACGCACACTGATGACTCACCAACATTGACCAGACAACTCAATGAACCCACCAGAGACAAGGGACACACCTGCTTTAAATACACTGGGCAGGAAACAATCACAACCACAGGGGAAAACACACCAGGGCAGGAAGTGGATCGGACCCGGGAACACAAGAGGCAGGAAACTGCAAAATAAAACAGGACGTGACTCAGTATCAAGCACTCGACCAGAGCGACAGCCGTCATCCATGGAAAGCATTTACATTATGATGATTGGGTTCAGCGTCCCCCCCTCTGAGCACATGTGACGTCTTCTGGTGCGTTCATGGTGACTTAGTTATTTAGAGTTTTCCATAGATAAAGTGGTGCAATGAGTACACTTAATGATTTTCAATGTCTCTCAGTCAATGTAGATGGTTATATTACGTATTACATGCATGCATTTGCTGATCACATTACATTTAATACAATAATATTCATGCATTGTTAATACTCCATTGATGTATTTGAAAACAGCTGTACACTGGCATTACATCTCATTTCTTTATTGATTACATAACTCATAGAAAGTGGATTATCAGTTTTGGTTCTTGTGAGACCTGTAGGTGGGTTTTGTTTGATGTGTTTTTGATCAGAGGTTTCTTTCAAGGCTCCAAGTGGTCGCAGGGACTTCCTGCTCACTGTGTCCGCCCTGGTTATTGTATGTTATGAGTCTAACTATGTCGGGGCTGCTTATTTAAGAGCGGTGACACGCAGACAGATTTGCAGTGGTTTGCATGCCGTGAGAAGAGGTTTGAGCTGAGGATCTTCAGCTTGGCTAAACACAACAAATCCCACATTCTGTCTTTTGTTGTGGCTCAAAAGATGAGATCCATAAAAATGTTTGGTCCCATTTTGAAGATTACTTCCACACCCAATATTTTATGATGCATGAATTTGTGTTTTTATTATCTTCGCTGCTATCTTGACTGCCATAAAAACATTTCTTTTTTTCTTGCTTCTCCTTCTACCCAATTCTGCATTCAGACGCTTCCTTGTAAACATACTGCCGGCCTTTTTTTAAACCCAGAGGTTAAAAAGAATGTAAATAATGAGTTGTGGAATAAAAATAAAAGTTGTTGTGTAAGAAAGCTGAGAGACGTTATCTGGATTGATGGCAGGAGTGAAACGTGCATATGTAGCTGGATTAGCGCTTCCTCTAAATTCCCATTGGAACCTTTCTTCAACAACAGGAGAATGTTTTGCGTCACACCAGGGACTGCGTGATGAAGCTGTGACATCTACAATGATCAGTATTCACCTGGAGGTGATGTCATACTGTAGCTCTCCGAGTCACATGACATGAACCTCAATTAGCCAAAGGCTTTGGGATGACTCAGTTGTTGGTATTGTACCATTTGGTACCCGAGTCATAGAGTGTAAAACAGCAACACGCTGTTTAACATGTCTTTAACTTTAAGGAAATGATTGGTCCATTAGAACAAAACACCAGTGTAGCAGACATCAGCAGCGGTGAGCGCTCCTGTTCTTGCCGCTCATTTACAAATAGTTGGCGCCACAATGAGTGGAAGGGCAGCAATCTGCTATGAATGTGTGTTAAACGTCCTCCACGAGCATGAACGGAACTACTAATGGCCACAGATTTCTGTGGAGGCGTCAGATTGGCAGTAATAAGAAGTAATAAGTGATCTCAGTCACCTTATAAAGCCCTGTGGACACATTGTGATGTGGATTGCTAGTTTTCAAAGGTACCTTGGTTTTAATTATGTTCAGACTCAGGATTACACTGAGATCTGATAGAAAATATCTTATGACACAACAATATTTGTGACAAATGTTGTTGTTTGAAGTTATTGCATACAAACACACAATAAAAACATGTGTGTGTGTCTTCTTTCGGCCATCTTTCTGAACAGGACTTTTTCCAGCATCACTGCAGCTGTGGGGCGGCCTGCTTGTCTTTCCAGGACATTCAGAAGAGACAGTCCAGAAGTGACTTCTCGTCCCCCAGTGGGACCCTCTCTGACCTGTCCACCATCCCCGAGGTCACCCGGCCTCCACTCTTACCAGCCCGAGGAGGTAATGTTATGACGTGTTTTACTTACTGGAAGGAAATTATACAGAAATACTGGAGAATATTATCATACACATGCAAATGAGAAGTGTTGAGCTGGAAAAACCGTCCTACAAGTGTGAGTTTGATGGTACAAACCATGAATATTTAGAGAGGGTTGGTTGGTCTAGTAGATGTGTAATAATGCACGTTCCCCCCTCACTTACCTTTGTTAGACTGCAGATCCCAAGATGTTGCTTTGGTGGGTTCATCGTGATCACATCTGATCAGAATTGATGGAACCAACGAGCAGCAGCAGGAAATGCAGGGATGAAGTTATTACCAGTAACTTCTCTATATGCAACTTACTGTAATTCAGTAAAGGCACTAGGCTTCGTTCTTTGGTGCACACTGTTTCCCAACCACGAAACAGTCGTTTTCTCTGGAGGTCACTGAATCCACCCTAAACAAACACACGTGCACGACTGCATATTAATGTTTTCCTGACGTGTTCCTCCATTGGATCAGTTACTCCAGGTATGCTATTGGAAGGCTCTCGTAGGGCTTAGGTTTCCTGCTATCATTATTGTTTTCGTGGCAGGTCACGGTGGCTGACCGCTGGGTGGTCCTAAGGGGAAAATTAAATTATGACTCAAGTGGGACACGGGGCGGAATTCCCGGCATCCCGCTCAGAGTCCACAGGAACATATGATGTCCCGTGGACTCTGGAATGCCTTCGTTCTTCCTCTCAAAGTCAGGAAACTGGATCTGGAGAAGAGGTTAAGAAATCAGGACGGGGTGGGGGGGGCAGATTAGGTACAATAAGGGTTAAATAGCTCTCGCTGGGCCACGGTGAAGTAGAACCATACAGGGTTAATTTAGTTCCCAACGGATAATACGTGGCGGTTCCTGGTAGAGCCTCTTCTGAAGGTTGCATCTCAGTTCTCCATGGACTTGGAGGAAGGCTTACATTGATGTGGGATGTGGCATTCGCTGACAAACAGGAAGAGGACATATAGTACCTTCCTTTCAACAACGCAAAGTGCTGCACATCAGTGGTCCCCCCCCACCCGGGTCCCGGTGCCGTGGGCACCAAGCCGCACAGGAAGAATAAATAACCTTTTTTTCTCCAAATGACCCAATTCTCTTCCCAATTACAAGAACGTGTCCCTTTTGTCACGTGTCAACTGGTTTCCCGACGCCTGCGTGTTTGTGCTGTGGTCCTTGCAGAGCGCCACAGTATTTGGCGTTATTCCCTTAGTGAGCTGGAACCACGTCTGTGTGGAGGAAACCTTCTGCTGTCGGGGGATGTGAAACCTTGTCTTAGAGCACTAATCTAAGCAGACAGCTCTGACTGGTACTACGATGGATCTGTATCCACTCGCATCGCCTGCTTTCAAAGAGTTGGAGATAGAATAGTGATGCATTACATGCTGTGAACTTGGCCACTTTCGATGGCTGCTGGTCCCCCACACACTGGGGTCCAACAGCGATGGACGATGTTTCAGACATGAGCGGTGCGGGTTTGACACCCGTCCAACTGTGGAGGACGGGCTTGTACCGGAGGAGTTACACCGAGGGGGAAGAGCCCTTCCTCAGCCACAGCACCGAGGCGCTCTCCATCCCCCAGCGAAGGGTGAGTCACATCTCCACACCGGGCTGACTGCACAAAGCACATTACGCATTCTCTTGGTATCTCTTACGGAGGGAAGTTTCCATCTGAAGTCCCATGAGGCCAACTGGAGTGCATGAGTAGAAAATGGAATGAAAAAGGTGTCACGGAGACCTGTGGGGCTCCACAAGTCACACAGTTTGTTATAACTGTCTCTGTCTTGTGTTCAGCTCAGCGAAAACTGCACATGGGGACGAGTCAAAGACCTGGTGAGGAAGACTAAGGTGAAGAACCAAAGCCGGCTGCGCCTGAATTCTGCCTCCCTGGAGAGGTCCTGCCCACAGCTCTACATGTGAGAAACACTCGCGGACTGTAAATGAATAGATATGAATAGACTGTTTGTGCTGTTCTCTGAATAGAAGAAACGTGGGCAGATGTTAACTTGCTTGTAACGTCATGATCGCGAGGGGAAACTTGTTATAATGCCGCAGCAGATTGCTTTGGTTTTTCATTAATGACTAAATTGAGATTTACAGTAAATATGTTAGCTGCTACTGAAGGAAATACTGCTGTTAAAAAGCATCTTATTTCTTTAAAGTGTTTGCACAAATGAAAGTACTACTTTTTAAAATAATCATGTCATTTTACTTATAACAATTAAGAAAATGATGCAATTAATTGTGATTGTTGCCACGTTAAAAGATAAGAAAAGTAGAAGCATCGTGAACACTGAAAATCCTTAAATCAGTTTTCCTATCAAAGATAACACCTTGTTTTGGGAGGGATGTCGAAACATACTAGATGGAAATGGCGCTGCCTCTACTTCCTGGCTTTCTTGAGAAGAAGAAGGAATGACGGAAATGCAGAATGGAATGAGAAAGGAGTGTCGGATGGTGGTTCTCGGGAGGTGGAGCAGTATCTGTTGGGAGGTGTTGGCCCTGGATCCTGACCGGGGGCTGGCATGGGCCCAGCAGAACATGAGGGGGGTTGGAGAGTCACGGTATGCCTCGAGGAGGGGGAGGATTGCCCCCCGGCCCGTCCAGGACTCGTTAGAAGCAACCGCACCCTCCTGCCGAGACACATGCAACGGGCGCCTGCAGCGCTGACGAGCCGCAATGAGGGGAAATATGTGTCTGTCACAGCCGCAGGCCGAGCTGCTGGGACAGAAACACCGTAAACACGATAATAACGGTCTCCTCTTCTTTACAGGCCTGACGTGGAACCATTAGAACCCGCTTGCAGAGACAGGAGCTCCATGATAGCCTTGGGCCACCACAGCAAACTGGACGTCCCTTGGTTACAATAAACATGGAGGAGGGACACGCATCCGTTCTGGGAGAATAACCACCACGCACCATCCAGCAATCCTCAAGCCATTATTTTATTAAAGGCTGTTGAAGTGGTCCGATAAAGGATGGGCTCCGGGAGAGAAGGGACACATTCTGGGGCTTTACAATCCACTACATGATGCGGCTGCTGCAATGCTGCCATTTTTGGGCTAAAAAAATAAAGAAAAATTGACTTGATACACAACTAAGATTACTCGGAATGTGCCTCAGTCTGAACACACTTTCAGAAGCTTGTAAACGTTAAAGTTGGCTGGACGTTTTCTTTGGAATGCACAGTGCAAAATATACTAAATCAATATTGTAAAGTTGATATTCTCGCTATCAAAAGAACATTTCTTGATCGCTAAGTCACACCCTCATCTTTGCACAATGGATGGAGAACAAACGATAATAACACAGATAACAATTGTCATTTGTTTATGTCAGAGTAACAAACAGCTGGTTGGTTGATTGGGACATTGTGATGCATTTCATTTCCAACGTCACACTTGTACCATTATGTGGTTTGGATGTCAGGACTCTACTGCATGCTATTGTACTCCAAAACGGGAAAACTGTAAGTAAACTATTGCATTTAAGTAGAATTTTGTAAGACAATAACTTTTTCTAATAAGTTATATCTGAGGTTTATCTGCATGGCGTCAGACAACTATATATGTATTTTATGTTTCTGTATGGATATTGCATTCATATTCAAATGTATTTTTTAATAAAAATTCAATCCAAAGGAATTGATGCAGAATGAGCACATGTGCCATTATGCGTGTTACACAAACGCTGAGATGGACGATCGTCAGCCTTGACCGCTCTCAGGTGGTCACAGCGAGGAAACTCAACCAAAAATACTCCGATGACAGACATTGATTTTCTCGAGGGAGATTTGTCTTGTCTGTAATTCATTATACCGTCACCCTTTTATGAATTGATATGTCTGCTGTGTGCCGCACACAGGAGGCCACAACTGCGTCTCGTTGTGCGATCCCTTGCATTGCACAGTGACAGTAACGCTCAATACTTACCTATGAAACAGTGAGGTGATTGTTTTCTACAATCCACCTCCACAGTTTTGAAGAGTCAACGTGAGTGAGTTGCATTCAAATGCGTTCACCCACCGGGTCATTACACCCTCGGCATCACATGGTGAGGGGGCCCTGGGTTCCCGGCTTCAATTAGTTGTAACAGTCAGCATCCGTAGCACACTGGCTGAGACCATACTGAGCAGGGAGACGTCAACCTGGAAGTGCATTGACGAGCTCGTGAACAGTAGTTTGACAGCAGGGCGGAGCTGAGGGGCTGAAGGGGGCTGGGGGCCCCTGATAAGCGCCGGTATCCTGCTGGTGCGTCGCAGAGTGCCGTTGCTCAGGACAACATGATTTAGAAAACGTCCCAAAAAGTTGATCATACTGCCCAGATCTGAAAGTTTTTCCAGGCCATTTTTTAGGGACTCTTTACGGACCCCGTCCCCAAAACATTGATCTCAAGATGCCTGAAAGAACGGTCTAGAGAGGGTGGAACACCGGACCAAAGCGCATAACATTTAGAATCTGGCTGATACCATGTAATGACTAAGAAAAGGACAGCACGTATGATACTTTCTATGCTGGAGTTAAGCTCTGGTGTACATCTACCACTCTATGTACTTTCTGATTCGTCCTTTACGGTAAGAAAGAACCATAAATGACGATCTGTGATTGGTATTAGACTTTAATGATTACATAATGCCGGATAGCCAAGGACAGCCTAACAGAGTCGCGACGCTTTTTGTTGCGGTGGCTTCACATGCGTCGAGGTTTGTATGATCACAAAATTTCAGAGTTCTACCACCTCTTATTTTACCACTACAGCACGCCCTATATGTGATGTCTCAGTGGTGTTTGTGACTAGCAGGTGCACTGAAGAAACTGATTAGGTGAGTGACAGGTGGGGGAGACAGGGTAGAAAGTGACGGAGCTGTGGCGAGGCTTATTTCTTTTATTTTCATCCTAAAACTATCTGTACTGGTAGTAATTTACCCACTAAACGACGTCGGGGGATTTCACAAACACCGTCATCACCTGTGTGTCAGCACTGCACGAGCACTAGGCGGAGGAGGAGGAGGAGGAGGAAGGAGCGCGGCTTGTGGGCGCCGCGGAGCAGTTCGGTGAGATTCTCACAAGAAAGAAATAAATGCCCCGTCGAATGTCAAAACACATTTGGGGGGATTTGATGACAGTGCGAGTAATAGTTATTCTAAAATTTTGATGAATGAAGAAACAATTGTGCTCCAGCAGAAGGCGCACTTTTCTCATCTAGGGCTTAAACAGCCTCCAATAAACGCAGGGCCAAAGACTTCACCATGCCCAGCTGTTTTGGTAATGAATGAGAGTTAAATGGATATTGTTCGTTGAATTTGAGCTATTCCAAACCTTTACTTAGCAATAGTTGATTTGACCACTCTCATGTGGGATTATGTACCGAGCACCGGCGCCATATTGGTGAAATGAAATGACAAAAATGACACAAATGACTATATGAACATCTATTTATTGAACTTTAACAAAACTGAAAAGTGCAAATGTAAAACAAATCTTTTTTGTGGGATTTAGTCCAGCGCTTCTTTAATGTGTCTTGTCCATATATTGAAGCAATAATGATAACAAATAAACAAATAATAAATAGTAAATGCTTTATATAGCCTCATATTAAAATAAGAAAAGCTTCCGAAGCATCACGGCCGAGGCGAAAACATGGGTATTTTCTGTTAGTTCGTCCGTAAACTTACCTTTAGTTTCGGCATGTCTGCAGATGTCACGTGCTGTAAACAACGCAGCTAGTGGAGGCGGCAAAGTGCTCAGTGTTGCCAGATTGGAAATGGTGAAGTCTCGTACCAAAGGCTCAAAATGGTCGTATTTGGAGGATAATTATCGTGTATCTGGCAACATTGAGATCGGTCGACCAATGACTGTTCTCTCTACAGTCAGAGCTCGCGAAAGAAGGTGGAACGTAAGTGAGACACCATTTACAACACTTGTATGGGCGTAATAACTAGTTTGTGAAAGACCCAGAGAAACACAAATATACGACGAAGCAAAATCCCGGACGTTTTTGTTAGGTCTCAAAAAGAGGACATGTCCGGGGAAAAGAGGACGTTTGGTCACCCTAATGAAACAGCCTGATAACTCTGTCCTCGCAGCAGCTAACGATGGCTCACCGCTTGTGTAGCTACAGCAGCTAGCTAGCCATCTACTTTCTATTCGTATTTATTTCTCTACACAATAGAAAAGCGATGTGCTCTCGTGCCTCATGCAGCTCTTCTGTGTTGCACGTCAATACTTTGAGACAAACAAGGAGCGTCAATCTAACGTAAATGCTTTTCAATAAATGTCTTTAGTTCTGTACAATGAACATGAATCTCAGATTAAATGATTAATATTCCCCAAATTCCAATTAACTACACTTCCGCTGTTACAGAGGGGAAACACTGTAATCACACTGTAAACTTTCAAAAGTTCATATATTGTGCATAGTTTGAAGTGAAAAAAAACTTTTCTTCAGTTGTGTTTGGGTTCAGGCTGTTTAGGAGCGGTATCGAAAAAACCCAAACGATACTCATCCCTACTCTCATGTCTGCACGCTCAACGTGAAGCTAAAGCCAGCCGCTGGTTAGCTTAGCATGACGACTGGAGACAAGAGGGCTCGAAAGGGATGTTTAAAAATCCGGATTCAACAGTTTACAAATTTCCGACTTGATGAAACAATGGACAAAAATCGTTCTTTATTTATTCTTAAAGTGTTTGCTTTCAAGATCAAGATGGGGTCATAGAAAAAAACAAGTAGAGCAAAGTGTTTTATGCACCATGTCAAGTGGATGAGCTCCATCAATGCAAATACACCGTCCACACACACACATTTACTCTAAAGGCTCATTTGCATGTTGTAGATACCTTCACTGTAACCATAGAGACGTTACATCATGATGGAACATTTCTCCATGTTCCATGTTCCATGTTCTATGCTCCGTTCACCACAGCATAAGAACACAGTCTGTTGCACATCCAGTCAGTCAGTTTCAAACCTCGCATCTACACACTGAAGTTTTCCGGACCTACACTTGCAGAACGCAACCATGTAATGCCTCAGGAGTCTGTAGAGGGAACGAAGACGCGTTCTGCTGCACTTAACAGAGCTCAAGGTAAGTGAGGAATCCAGACAGACTGCAGCCTTACTGCTGTGAATGATGTATTGGTCTATCGGGTGGGGAAGGCTGTGATTTAGAGCTAATACCTTGAGATAAACCTCTGATTCCTGCTGTTGTCATGTAGATGTACACAGAGACGCATTAACATATAAAAGTACTTACACAGAGACGCACTAACATATAAAAGTTATTTGAGGAAATTGCACTTCTGAGTTTGTACCCTATGGTTGAATGCACTTATTGTAAGTCGCTTTGGAGAAAAGCGTCAGCTAAATGAAATGTAATGTAATGTAAAAAGTACTTACACAGAGACGCACTAACATATTGGTATGCACAGAGACTAGCTAAACATAAAAAGCAAATACAGAAATACAGTTTAACAACCACAAATATATAATGTAGATTTACACATCCATACAAACATGAAATAATTAAAATGTGCATCAAATTAAAATAATTGGATCTATGAATCTTGTCTCACATCCTGATGATCCTCCTCACGTCTCTTCTCCTTGTCTGTAGACCAACTGGACGCCATCAGGACGCCACGTCAACGGGACGCCATCAGGACACCATCAGGACGCCACGTCAACGGGACGCCATCAGGACGTCACGTCAACCCCTCAGGAGCAAATCCAGATCTACGCATGACACACATACACACACACACACACAGATGTACACACAGACACACTAACATTTGGTTCTAAACAATGACACACACTAACATTTAGATGTACACAAAGACACATTAATATTTAGATGTACACACAGACACACTAACAATTAGATGTACACACAGACACACTATCATTTGGTTCTAAACAAAGACACACACTAACATTTAGATGTACACAAAGACACAATAACAATTAGATGTACACACAGACACACTAACAATGAGATCTACACACAGACACACTATCATTTGGTTCTAAACAATGACACACACTAATATTTAGATGTACACAAAGACACACACTAACATTTAGATGTACACACAGACACACTAACAATGAGATCTACACACAGACACACTATCATTTGGTTCTAAACAATGACACACACTAATATTTAGATGTACACAAAGACACACACTAACATTTAGATGTACACAAAGACACATTAATATTTAGATGTACACACAGACACACTAACAATTAGATGTACACACAGACACACTAACATTTGGTTCTAAACAAAGACACACACTAATATTTAGATGTACACAAAGACAATAACAATTAAATGTACACACAGACACACTAACAATTAATTCCACACACAGACACACTAACAATTAGATGTACACACAGACACACTAACATTTGGTTCTAAACAAAGACACACACTAACATTTAGATGTACACAAAGACACATTAATATTTAGATGTACACACAGACACACTAACAATTAGATCTACACACAGACACACTAACAATTAGATCTACACACAGACCCACTAACAATTTAGATGTACACACAGACACATCCTGGTGACCCTCCTCACGTCTCTTCTCCTTGTCTGCAGACCAACAGGACGCCACGTCATCGGGACGCCTTC